AATTTTTGACCATAAGACTACCTGGGCAGAAGTAGGCCTTTCTTGAGGATTTTCTTTCAAACACTTTTTAATTAACTCTTCAACCATAGGCCATGGGGCACAACCATATTCTTTAACTGGATCTGAAATATGAAAAAATACAATGCAAGTACACTAAATAAAGTAAAAGTTATTTATTTTCTCTCAACATATTTAGAAGTTCAAACATTGCAAAGGAAAACATAAAACACTGAACTTCCTGATCCTATAATTATTGTGAACTCACATATTACAAAACTAAAACAAATTTTACAACTTGGTCTCCACTAAACACATTAAAACAGATGTTTTTATTCCTTATGGTATACAAAAGAGACACAAATACCAAATGAAAAAAAAAAATAAGAGATTTCCATTTCATACCTGTGTTTAAAGTAAATTTTTATTGTTGTTGTTGTTGTTGTTTGGGGGATACTGGGGACTGAACTCAGGGACACTCAACCACTGAGCCACATCTCCGGCCCTTTTTTGTATTTTATTTAGAGACAGGGTCTCATTGAGTTAATTAGTGTCTTGCCATTGCTGTGGCTGGCTTTGAACACTTGATCCTCCTGCCTCAGCCTCCTGAGCCATGGGATTACAGTATGTGCCACCTCACCCGGCTTAAAATAGATTTTGAAAACACTTTTGCTTATATACTAATCAGGCCTCTATGGAAATACTTTTTAATACTCAAAGTAAGCAAGCATTTAATTTTCATATCACCACAACTGGTTTGTGCACATTTGTTTTTTATAAGAGGAATGCCATACTTCAGGTTGGTGCAGAAGAGAGTATGGGATACTTTCCCTGGAAACCTAACTGCTAAAATAAGGGAATTGACCTAGCTCATATCCAAAGTTTATCAAAGTAACAATAAATTTCTTTTGCCATTATCTTTAAAGGTCCCCTAAAAGGAACAGCAAATGCTATATTCTTTATACCTGGCCCATAGTGTACACTGAGAAGTTATTTCTTAAATGAGAAAGAAAGCAGAATACATGAGAAACAGCTAAATAAATTTAAATGGATACTTCATAGTGAAAACTAAAGTGATGATCACAGAATGAATGACAAGGTCCTAGGATTTCTTGAAAGTATGGGAAAACCATTCAAAATAAGGTTTGAGCTTATTAAATACTCATTTACTCATTCTTATTAATAATTTATTAATAAAATTATTGTTATAAATAATTCAAGCTTTCCTTCCTGCATATAAACTATTTCACTCCAAGAAAATGAAAATATTATGGGCCAGTGGGCACATGGTAATTCTTTATGAGAATTAGAAGCCACCAAATTAGGTCCTAAAGGTAGTTTTCCCTCCCTGAGTATTCTAAATATAATGCCAGATACACCAATATTCACTTGAGATTCTTTAGACCTAGAGCTCTTACATTTTCATATGGTTTTTATTAATGTATCACAGGATTTTAAAATGTCCATACACTAAACAGAAATCATCAGCTATTAAATGAACTCAGCATACAACTACTTAGAAATGAAGTGGCTGGTATCAAGGGAAAAAAAATCTTTATTGTACATAAAATTAGAACTTACCAGGCAATTTTCCTTGTATTGCTAATTCATCAAACTCATTTGGAAACTTCAATCCCTCTACTATTCTACTTCCAGTTGTCAAAATGTCATAGAGTAGCAAACCAAATGAATAAACGTCAGCCTGTTGGTTATAAATGACATTTCCTCTGGCAACTTCAGGTGCACGAAACCCTGAAAGCAAGCAAATACAGCAATAAATATGCCCAAGCCTAGGGCCCACTCATCCAAGAGGGTATATTCATAAACTATGTGTCATATAAGAGAGTTGGGGAGATAAGTTCTAAATCATGCCATGCTACCTCTATAAACAGCTTGATAGATCAGTGAATAGCCTTGTCTCAGGACACTTCACCCCAAGGTGGAGCCTGAAGGATAATAAGATCTTTCAATCTTTATTATAAGATCTCATAACCCCATTATAAGATTTTCAATCTTCAATTAGATTAATTTGAGGGATAAGGATAAACATTCAAAAATAAATTATTAAGTAGAGATTCATAATTAAAGAAATGAAGCCTCATAGGAAACAAACCTGCATCATTTTTCTCATTCTTAATAAAACCTATTACCAGAGCAGTGACTTAAAAAGAGATGGTGAGAAGGAAAGAACTTTCCAGACTTCCTTTAAAGTCCCTATAACCTGGACTAAAATTCCAATGCTTCCATTATTTCCAGGACTGAGGACATGTCCTACCAAATGAAAAAATAAAAATAAAAACCCTAGTTATTAGAACAAATAAAAGTCCTCTCTCTCAGGCTCATACCTGAAATTCTTTTAAAGGAAAATAAATCTTTTATTCCAAATTTCTTTTAAACACTTCAGGGAAAAATGGAGTGACTTCAATATTATTAGTAATAGTAAAAATATCAGCAATCCAAAGAAATTCATCCACAAAAGGAAAACAGCTAATCAATGTATACTATGCAATCTATAAAAAAAAAATTTCATAAGACAACATGCTATAACACAAATGCAAAGAAATTGTACAATATAATTCTGGATGGATATAAAGCTATCAAATGTATGGAAAAAATATCTGATTTTCTTAAATGTGATAATAGTACTGTGAATTATTATAAATGGATGTCTTTAGTCTAAGGAAATACTCGCTTATATGTTTACCAAAAACCTAGTGCAACATCTACAATTTAATTTCAAAGATTCATATTCATACACAAAAAGAGCAAGAGAGAGAACAAGTGGGCAAATTGTTTATAATCAATGAATCTATGCATAATGGAAATGGGTATATATTGTACTATTCTTTCAACTTTTCTGTAGGCTTGAATATTTTCAAAACAAAAAGTTGATGGGAATGTACATAGATTAAAAACTAGAAAAAATGCATTCAGATGTAATACTGATGATTTTATGTGCTAAAATTTGTGTTCATTTTATTTTCTTTTTTAATATGTCCATATTTTTTTACAATGAACATTGATTATAGCAATTTAAATATGCAGTCAGGAAAGTAGAACAGTGTATTAGCTCACAGCCTTACAGGAATAAATGACTACATGTGGAAATTGTTCCATTTAACAGCCATCAAGAGGGAAAGTTCAGCAGTCCTTCACCAGGCAGAGGAATCAAAAAGATGGAGATATAAAATGTGAGCATGATATTCCCCACTGTACTAATTATTGGCATTCCCACTCTCTAGATATGTAAATATATTGATATGTCAATATGCTATCTTACATATCAGTTGAATAATAATATAGGTAATATTTACATGTTATAGTAAGTAACAGACCTAATATTTCAGTCTTAAATATATTTTGCATTTCTGAGAAAAAGAACATTTTCCTATGTAACCATCTAACACCACCCTCACACTCTGAGCTTATGAATTGTGTAAGTAATTAGGACTTCTAAAACATATCTACTTGTCACATAATATAAACAAACCTAACAGCTCTTGATTCATATTACTATACCATTTTACAGACACCTTGAATGTTTAATATGATATGCACACCACTACCTGTGGTAGACAGAAGAGACTTCTCATTTTACAAATGGCACATGCTTCTCTGAAAAGTTATGTGGTTTTCCTAAGGCCACAAATATAATCAATGGTAAAGTAAAGAGTCCTTAAAAATAATGAGCTACCCACACATTAACTAGCTCCTTAACTGTCTTTATGCTTATCTCTTAGAATTTAAAATGGATTTTGGAGTCTGATTTAAATCTTGTCTAATTATTTATTATTCATTTAACATGTTAGTTGAATATCTATTAGATCAATGTACTATTCAAAGACTATTAAAATGTTCAGCATATTTCTTTCCTTGATAATTTTACTATTAGAATTTGAAATCAGGATCATAGAACAGGATGAGACTTGAGGGTTCATTTGGTCTAATTTCTAAATTCTCCTCCAGTACATCTAACACCACCATATATATTTTATTATAGCTTTTATTTCTGTAGGCATCAATTCACAGAGTAGAGTTGCCCAAAAGTTTGGAATTTTTTTCACAATGATTCAGAGGACATTAAGAAAGGTAATCATGAATATATGAAAAAGAATATTTACTTCAAAATGGAAATGCTTTTAACCTTATCTTCCCCCTTTCAAAATTCATGTCTCCATTGACATGATCCCCACTATGGGAACATAAGATTATTTATACATTCAGTAAGTACTTAAATTATAATACCCTTATAATGCCTCTTTAAATTCATCCAATTAATTTCTAGTGTCCTTGACTGCATTAACAATTTACTGATGAACACCACCCAGCTATTAAATGGTGGATCCACTCTGATACTTCATAAATGTTCAATAAATTATTGTCAAATGCATGCATAAATGAATAAAATCAGTTTCATTTTCCCTTGAAGAAGTATGACAATTACAGTGTTGAAATAATTAGGAAAATATAACTCATTGTCTAAAAACTATTTTTAGAAATAATTTTTCAGAGAAGTTTGCATTTCAACACGTGTAACTAGTAAATAAAGATCCATAGAAAAAGAAAATGAGAAACTTATGAATTAAGTCTGAGTATACATCACAAGGTATTCAAAAACATATATTTTATTTCTTTTTTACTTCCAGATAAGTATGAGCACAGCACGGCATGTTCATAATCTCAGATGAAAGTGAGTAAACAGAGAACATCTTATTTACCCAAGACTGTCATATTTACATGGATGTTGACAGAGCGGAAGCCATCAGTCGGCATTCAGCATTCATCTCAGTCAACACTGCAATTGTCACAGGACCCAGAATTAACTGTCACTCTCAGCCGGAAATCCATTTGAGTTAAAGTTGAAACTTTCCAAGTTATTTAAAGTTGAAATCATCCATCCCATTTACCTTTCAACATGTAGACAGGCATCACACTACAGTATAATCACTGAATTTTTTCTGCCTTTGGACCCCCGACTGCGTGGTGCTGGGGCTCTGCTGTTAGACCGTGTGGGTTTGCATCTTGAACTGCCCTACTGACTTTTTTTTTTTTTTAACATTCCCTATGCTTTAAGTTTAGGACTAGGAATAGAACCTATATCAGAGGACCTTCAGGATTAAATGAGATAATCAGCCCACACAAAGGGCTTAGCGTAAGCCAGGCATGTAGTTCACATACTGGAAAGGCTTGTGATTCTTACAGTCCTCGCTAAGCAACTTAGTTCACCCCCACTCTCATGCACACCCAGAGGAAAGACACCACAGTAAGGGTCATAAAACACACAAAGAAGTTTAATGAATATACGGTCATTCATTTCTCAAGAAGTTTCCATGTTAAAAGACATAAAAATAACAAGAAGATCTATTAAAAGGAAAAGACACAGACAAGTCACACGAGAGAGAACTGTTGTCTTCTCAGAAAGAATTGCTTGGGAGAAGGAAAGTTCAGTGATAGTAGGAACAGTCATGATACGTACTGTTATTTAAAATTTGAGGCAGAGTTTAGGGCTGAGATAACTAGAGTGTTGTAATAATAAATAGGAGTTTGGGGAACTGATAAGAAAAAAAATGTATTGAGTGATCTGAGGGAAAACTGGGCAGAAGAAAACAGATTAGGTCTGGGTTTTTTCTGCCATGATCTTTCTCCATGTTTATATCACCAAAAGTCAATAGAAACTCTAAGAGATCAGGAACATGTATCTGGCTTGGTATTAAGAATTATATGGTCATAGAATCTTAGAAAGGTTTTGACCAAAACCAGAAAGTTATATGGTAAATGAAAGGCTCCGAGTGTGAACCCAGTTGAACTGAGCTAGCTGCTAGCGGTGGCCTAGACCACTGAGGGAAGAGGCAGAGCTCAAGTCCAGAGGCACATCAGTAGTGACCAGAGAGATCCACTAGCCCCTTCAGTGGATAAGACTTCAATAGTAGGCTTAGCACCCTGTGAACACAAAGACAAGGTTGGGGGTGCAGGAGGAAAAATAGCAAGCCCCACATGAAGAGTCCAGCCCACCTCAGTGTCACATGAGAAGAATGAGCAATTCTTCCATGCTATGTACACTTTTCCTAGGTGAGAGTATACAAGGCCTGTGGAATTTTACCCTCAAAGATGGTTTTTCCAAACCTATAGTTGACAATATTTGCTATCCATAGCTCCCTTGTTTTGTTTTACTTCTTTAATAACTAAGATTGAATATTTAAGTCTCCTCAAGTAAATATTAGAGTTGCATATGGTAGGGAGCAAAAAATCCCTCTAGATTCGGGTTTCATTTATACTGAGTTATCATTTTAGCTACTTACTGTGTGACATAATCTTACTGAGCCTCCATGTTCTCATTTTACAAATGAGAAAATAATAGCAAAGTTTCAGATCTGGCATGAGATCATGTCTCTAATGTACCTGGCATGGTGCCTGGCACACAGCAAGTGCTCAAGAAATGATAATTATTTTTATTATTATTGAACATCCCAGAGATACTCTCAGCCAGAATATATACTATGAAGTGTTTATGAGAGCGCACATTCTATTTCTAAACTGGAGCTATGCAAAACAAGAGACAATATGCTTTTGGAGCCAAAATAAAACCAGGCACTGTAATCTGGGCAATCGGGGCCATCACCTTATCCAAGTACACAAGTTGGGGGTGAGGGAAACAAACTAGAATCCTTTGCCTAGTGACATCACCTGTAGTATATTTTCTTCTGTCTTTGGCATGGTGTTTTAATTGACCTGCAATCATCTAGTTGACATGAAGTCCCCTGTACCTTTTTACAACTAATCAACCAGATACAAAGGTGGAGCTGTGGATGTCAATCCCTCAGCTTTGTCCTTCCTGCTCAGATGGAAATCTGAAAGACAAGAAGGCTATACAGGTCACTGGCTCTGTGAATGATTCTTGATAATCCAAGGCTGAGGTTCTGATGAACCTGTGAGTAGAAGATGAGGTGAACTGAGAAAGGGAGGGGGACTCCATGGGGTAGACAGCACAGGTGGGAAGCACACGCTGCATGTTAAGACCACGAAACATGAAAGTATAAAGCACAGGAAATAGATCTCCACTGCTAGTAGAATCAGTTAACGGTAATATTAATAGGATAATAGAAATAGGCAACCCCCCAAAAAAGGATGGGGGTGAACCCAGAAAGCAACATTAAATCCAAGACAAGAAAATTAAAAAGCCAGCATGTCCTGGGGGCCAGAGACACAATGGTAGGAAGAGGGGGCGTGTTTCACTTTCTATTATAACCAGGACTCTTCCCACTGTGCAGGGCCAAATAGAGTAAATCTGTTTTTTGTTTGTTTGTTTGTTTTGTTTTGTTTTTAGGAATTGAAATATTAGCAACTTATAGATTACAAAGAAACAAAACTGAAGAGTAGTATCTAAAGCCTTAAACCCCTGTACAGACCTATAATAAGAATAAAGTTTGCTTCTATCAAGAATGGTGCTACTGGGCTAGGGTTGTGGCTCAGTGGCAGAGCGCTTGCCTTGCACATGTAGGGCACTGGATTCCATCCTCAGCACCACATAAAAGTAAACAAAATAAAGATATTGTGTCCGTGTTTAACTAAAAAAAAAAAAATGAATTAAAAAAAAAACAGGATGGTGCAACCAAGGACAACCCAGGTCAAAGCCTTTATACAAAACTCTTGTAGCCATAAGTGTTTAGGAACATATACCTTTTGATATTTAAGAGTATCATCAACAAAGCACATAACCTATATGAGAAGTCTCAGAAGTGTCAGTTCCATCTGTATTCAAACATGTTTTTATATTTGTGCAGCAAAATGTATACATATTCCCACTGAGTGTGAGAAATGGAGATTATAAGCATCAAGTTAGTTAAGGTATAAAGAACCTTGGGTTTCAAAGATATAAAAGCAATGAGTGGGCCTGAGTTTGGTTTTAGCTTAGTGTCAACTCTACCTAGATCAAAACTTGTGTGTTATTTCTTACCACCTCTAGAGTATTTCAAGACTGTAAAAATCTAACTTTTAAAAATATAGCTTGACATCATGGGGTCTCCCCTTTTTACTCAGTTTTTGCCCTGAAAATTGTATCAGTTGACTCTTTATTTTTAACTCTTCAAAATACAATGATAAAAATGTCAATGGAATTGTCACCATTATTTAGACACTAAACCTCGCTCTACACAGTGTGATAGAATACGGTTTTCTTTTGACTGTCCTGCACTCACATCTGAGGACGCTGGTTATCCATCTTAAAGAGAGGATTACCCAGCCCACTTTCTCTTACCTGGTGTGCCCTCTGATGTTTTTATCCCCATTCTACAGCAGTACTGAGCAATCCCATAGTCGGCAATCTTCGCAATGATGGCAGCATTGGGATACAGGGTAAAAAGCAGTACATTGTGAGGCTTCAAGTCACGGTATATGATCATGGCTGAATGTAGATATCTGCCAGGAAATGAACAAGAAATCTTATCAAAGTATATTTACATTATAATAGCTTTTGTCATGATTTCCTTGAATATGTCCTGACCACCAGGCAAAACGTCAACGATTTTGTGGTTGGACCCTGAAAGAGGTATTGCAAAAGGAAATCTAAACATAAAGATCTAATATTGCAAAGCAAGGTTATGCTTTAAAAGACACACACAAAAAAAAATAAATCAATCCTGGTGAGTGAGTGATTAATTCTGGATCCTCTCAATGATCAAATAAATATTTTAACTATTTTTAAAATGTAAATATGTTAAAAGTCAATAGGACTTTGTTGTAACTCCTATTTAATTTTCTTAAAACTATACAGAAGTTTATTCTAACTTTTATAAAACTTGTCATTGTTATTCTTGCTTTTTCTGACTAAAATATTTCCTAATCTTTTGGAGAACGTTTTGTTTTACTTTTTGATAATAATAAATCAACAATTTTTCCTACCTATTCATGTCTTACTCTGTTTAAAGACATAATTCACTGTGAACTGATTCTGTTATGAGTTGAGGTTAACAAAGAACTTTTGGACTGGGTTAGAATGGATAGAAATTGTCTTGGAGAAGATGATGTTGAAGGATGTTAAATCTTTTCTATGAGAGACTGACCCTTGTGATGATAGCCACTAGAGTCATACTTTTCAGGTAAAGAAAAAAATAATTAATATAAAACACAATAAAGTTTCAATCTCAATCAGGTCAAAGAGATTCTAGTGCCCCAATTACTAATGTAACTATTACCACCTTTCCTTAGACATCTACAAAATTCTGGTTTTCCTCAACTCTGCCTTCTCTGTACCATTGATATCACAGATATACCATGACCTGCCTTGACAGAACATTTTTTCAAAGAACTTAATGGAAGTAAATTTAAATCCTTTGTTTGTCTGTGGGTTTTGGTTTGGGTTCAAATTATATTAATAAATATTTACTCCATTACTTAGTCCCATTCGTGGTTATAAGGATTAGGAGCAGAGAGGCTATGATATCTTGAACTTTCCATTGCATGATGGCCCAGAAAGTATGTATCACTTAATTGCATCAATTAATGCAGCAGATTCTCTCCTTTCCAGGATGTAGTTATGGCACTTGACATTAGGCCTATTCATTTCAGTATACATATTTTTGGCTGATAAATAAGATAAATGTACTAATGAAGTTGACCTTCACAGTAAGTAATGGGTTTGAAAGAAAAATTTGCTAAGGGCTTATTGAAAGGCCATTAGCTATTCTTGCCCTTCTGAAGAGAAAAGCTGGGAGATTAAGAATAAAAAAGTTAAAGCCAAGTCATACATCATTGAATAGCATCCAAATCCTTCATAATGCATGCCTCTTTCAGTATATTTATAGAACACAGTCTCTTTCAGAATACTTCCTAAAGGTTAAAAAAATAATTAAGTAATTTGAAATAACATCAGGTGGAGAAAGAGATTATCTGGGTTAGTTAGAATGCTCAATTATAGAATTTAATCTTTAAAGCACAATTTTAATAACTTTTAATAGAATAGCATAGAAAAATAGCTTTTGAAATCTTAATAAGTACAGATCTTACCTTACTGGCAAAAATTCAGCCATACTTGACGCATTGTGTGACAATGAGTATTGTCAAGTATTTTATTAAACTAAACTGTTGTATATTCAAATAGTCATTCTTTAATCATGAGTTTTATAAGAATTGCTAAGAAACCAATATCTTCCTAATTTAAAGTCAACTTTATCTCATCCTGAATAGAATTATTCTAAAAATAGAATGCATTCATTCATTTAACAAATACATAGTAGGGATCCCTGAGTGCCAGTCTCTTAAGGCGGCCACAATCTAGAGGAAACAGGTGCTCAACAAGGTTACAGAAACATGTGAGCACCAAATGCTAAGGAAATAGAAAGGGAGAAAACCACAGAGGTAAATAGAGCAACGTTGACTCTTCCTCTGGATTGTTTGCTATCTCAAGCTAAAGCTAATCTCGATCTTTCTCTCTTCAGCACCTAACACAATGTCCTAAGCGGAGCAAGAACAAGAAACACATATGAGAGAGGCTCACTCTTCTTGGAGCAGTTAGTTGAACTGCATAGTAGAGATGTTCTGTGAGTAAATTCTTAAGGGCTAATGAGTTCTCTGGACAGACAAATCTGTGGAAAGAGAGGGATGACAAATATGAAAAGAAATGTGGAAATCCACCCCTTCAGCTTGGTTATACTGCAGAATATGGAGAGTGGCAAGGTGGGGGGGCTGCCAAAGTAGGCAAGAGACACAAATAAAGAGTTTTAATGTATATCCCACAGAGTTTGGATGCAATTTCAGGTGACTGGGAACACCAGGGAATTTGAAGCACAATTAGATTTTTATTATGAAAAAACTGTTGTGGTAATTTCCTGGAGATATTGACTCAAGACAGTAGTAGAGGCTAAAAATGAACAGGTTGATGAAAAGGATCATGTAAAATAACTTCAAGAACCCAGTGGACAAATGAATGTTTGCTTTTGGAGGAAAGGACATTTGTTTGGATGCAACTACAGGGATCCCATCCTGGCAAGTGGGGAGTAGAAAAGAAAGCACAGATTTATGGTGGGGAGAATCAGGCAGGGGAGTAATTCAATTTCGAAAATATTAAAACAGAGGAAATTGTGGAAAAAGCAGGTGACTAAATCTTCATACATAGCTGAGAATTACAAGAAGGAGACCACAGGAGAGGACCAAATTACAGATGTAAGCTAACAGTTGAAGGCCAAGATTGCAGGAGAGAAGGTACGGAATGTGAAGGAAGTTCTTGTATGTGACTCTAAACAGCTGCTTGTCTAGGAGAATACAAAGGAATGTGACTATTGCTTTTTGCTTAAATACATTTGTGATAACATAACATAATACTGAGTTTTTAAAATATGCTTAGTACTAGTAGAAGATTGATCGCTACTCAAATCTACCAGCTTCCTATAGCACAAAATCTAAAAAGCTTTCCTGGCATCATGCTAAGAATAAATGAGGAAAGTATTGAAAATATGCTGAGATTTCATTTACTTCATCAGAAACTGCTGGATTGGTTATTTAAAGTACTACTGTAGAGAACTAGAATAAGTTGTCTTAGAGATGAGGATTTTCAGCAGTGTTGAATAAAAAATAGCAAGTCTTCATTTTACAAATGGACACTTTGGGGATTAGGTGGAAGAATTTGTGGAAAACAAGGGCCTGGAGTTAGTTAAATTAAGCAAAGTGACTGAGCAGCTTTGAAATACTGTTGCATAAATTGATTATGCTCAGATCAATTTAACACAAGGTTCCCCCTGGTGTTCAAAAGTAGGTATGTCAACCCAATTCCAAATCCCTGCATCCTGACACAATTTAAAATCAGCATGGATTTCAGTAGTTTCTGAACCCTTTCAGGAAGAGAAATCTACTCACTTAGTACATTTATTACTTTTCTTGTAAACCATTAATAGTTATATCCTCCTGATTAAATTTTGTTTGAGGGTGAGTATTTGTTTTCTTACTATCCATTCCATTTTCATTTCTAGATACTGTCCAAATGCACATTCACAGCCTTTTAGAAGAGAAGGAAATTTGCATCTGCTGAATGGATACTACATGCCAGGTGCTGTTTTCCTTTCTTTCTCTTTTCTCCTCTCTCCCTACCACCAACACATACTTTCTGAGGTCCCACTGATCTGGGTGCAGGATATAAGAGTGGTGATCAAGACTAAAAGTACCCACTGTCATGGCACTTAGATTCTCATGACAAAGATTTTAAAAGTGAAAATTGGGCACAGTGTCAGATGCCTGTGATCCCAACAGCTCAGGAGGCTGAGGCTAGAGGATCTTGAATTCAAAGCCAGCCTTAGCAATTTAGTGAGGCCCTAAGCACTTTAGCGAGACACTGTCTCAAAATAAAAATTCAAAAACCTGGGGATGTGGTTCAGTGGGTAAGTATCCCTGGGTTCAATCCTTAGTACCAAATACATAAATAAATAAATAGATCCAGTAGCGATAAGTGGTATATATTCCAGAGACATAGGATCATTAGAGACATCCTCTCTGGGGAAAATTCTGAATGAAATGAGCAGCTCGCCAAGTACACATCTGGGAATCAGACATTCCTAGCTGCAAAAAACAGCAGGAACAAAGCATCTGGAATATTCAGGAAGCCTCAGGGAGGCTGAGCATAGGAACCAAGAAGTGAGGTAGGAGAGGGTTAACAGCAGGAAAAGACCTAATCTGATTCTCTGTCGGAAAAACCACTCTGGCAGCAGTGCAAAGAGCAGGCTGTTTAATGGGCCAAGGTGAAAGCAGAGAGCCAGGTAGGCAACAAGAGATGAAGACAGCTGAGGCTCAGGTGAGAGTGCGAGAATGTGCGAGAAGGAAATGCATGAAGATATATTTTAGTAGCAGAGCTGAAAAGATTTACAGGATCTGGTGTGAGACTGCAGAGAAGGAAGGAATTAAAGTAAAACTACTGGGTGTCTGAGATGGGTAACCAAGGGAGAAGACACCAAGAGTTTAATTTGAAAAGTCTTCAGTTATTGCAAAAGTCCTCATAAGCTTAAGCATTAAGTATTAGTCAAGGTTTACAGACTATTAAGAAATATATGGGAATCAGAAAGATAAAATCACAGTTACTAAGTGTGTGGAACAGTGACTTATCTCAGTTCTTTTTCTCCAGAGACAATGATTTTTTCCATTCTTCTGTGCTGCCTCTGTCTAGCATCCAGCCACAAGGCCAGGTGTGCCTCTGAGATGGTCATGCAGAACACAACACAAATCAAAATTGCTTGCAAAATGTTAGTGGGGCATGATGTTACCCGGAAGTGCTATTCTCAGAGCTTGAGTGAGTTCAGGGTCATGCCTGCATGCATGATCTAGTTACCTCAAGCCATCAGCCACATGCAGTGCGATTCTGTGCTGGAGGGTCCTGGTGAGGCTGGCTGTGTCCTGCTGAAGCAGGCGATCCAAGGAACCCTTGGAGGCTAGCTCCATCACCAACATCCGAGGACGAATCCCAGCTGCCAGCAAAGATATCAAGCTGGGGTGGTGGAGGTGGCAAAGCACTACCAGCTCCTGCAAAAGCCCGGAATCAGAGATGAGTAACACGGCATCAGCTCTTACTCAAATATCTCCTTCCTTCCTGAAGTGCATCAGCTCTGGGACCATGCTTTTCTCTAGGTGCTTAGATTATAGCAAAAGTTTTTCATCTCTTATTTGACCTTTTATATATTTTTTCATCATTCTTAATAAGAAATAACTTGTTTTGAAACTATTGTTTGAATTAAAATCTTAAGTTTTATTTTACCTTTTGCTCTGCTCTTACCAGAACACTTAAAGGAAGGTATTATACACATGAGGTCATACCAACAGGTCCCATCAATCTTAACTACTCAATCCTTGTCAGTCACAGAAACTCTCAACTCAGGATTCTGATCAGTAAACTGCTGATCAATTACAACTAGCATATAGGACAAAACCTGTCTATAATCTCTTATTTAATGACTATAAAAGTTTATGGACATTTTTACCCTATGTGCATATATGACGGACGACACGACTGGTGGGATTCTGCATCATGTACAACCAGAAGAATGAGAAGTTAGACTCCATTTATGTATGATGTGTTAAAGTGCACTCTACTGTCATATATAACTAATTAGAACAAATTTTTTTAAAAAAGAAAGGAAGGAAGGAAGCCACAAGGAGCAAACAAATATTTTACAAGGATAATACCTAAGTTCACAGAAATATATGATATGTATGGTATCTCCCCTCCTAACGACTTCCCACTAATTTTATATTAAAATCCTATTTCCTTCCATTGCCTCATGACCTGGCTTGAACTGGCCCTAACCCCCCTCCCAGCCCCCAGCCCCTTTCTCCCTCCTCTTCATTCACCACCCTTCAGAAACATTAGCAACAATCCCCAGTATATGTCCTTCCAGCCACAGGATCTTTGCCTTTGCCAACACCTCTACCTAGAAATCCTTGCACTTTTCACATGGCTTAGGATTCTTGCTGCTCAGATTTTAGCTCAATTAGTAGCACTTCCTCAAGTGCCCTGCCTTGGAAAGGGAAAAGTTAGGAAAGCACGTTTAGGAAAGCAATCCCCAGCTGCCATGAGAAGCAGAGATATCACTGCAATTTGACTAGAGGTCTCCCTTCAGATGCAATTGTTTCTCGAGACCACATCATGTGAGACTTTCCAGTCTCCTTAATGAGATCATGGTGTTTGAATTCCATGTTCACCGTATTATTTATATCCTTTTTACTCTGAAACTATAATTTAGTTGAAATGTATCCTTTTCTAGAAATTTATCCTTCTTATAGACCACATTATGTGAGGCTACAGTTACTTTTATGGTGGCATCATTTTGGAATTCTACATGCACTTGACGTTGTATATATTCTATTTTATTCTGAAACTGTAATTTAGTTGAAATTTACAACTTATGTGATGTTATGTTGATTCATGTTTGAAACTGTGATTGCTGCAGAAGCTCTGCTTCTTAATCACCAGCTTCAAAAATGCAGAGTTCCAACTGCATTCATCAGGAAACTGAAGTGGGGAAAATTCTGCAAGCTAAAGAAGAAAGGCTGAATACTCTGGGAGGGGATTTTCTCAGCACAGAACTTCAAACTGCAATCATATCTGCTTAGTAAATAAAAATCATTTTCCCCACGTCCCTTTAGCTCAGCTGGTTAAAACTGATGAGAACAAGTCTAGTTAGATCTGTCTACTTTCATAGGCACAGAGAGAAGGCTGATCCAAATTTTCTGTGCTAAGAAAGCAACTCACTGATTATGAAGAGAAAGAAGTGAGAGTATAATAGTTCTTCCCCAACTCATGACTACTGGTAGAAGGACCCTCAAATTGCAGCATTGAACACCAAAGTGGTTTTCTCTTTCTTTCCTTTTCAAAGAAACACATTATGCATGCTCTGATTTTTCTATTTCTTCTACCACTTCCTGGTTCACCTAACTGCCTATATATGATATGCACATTTTTAGTGTTTGATTCATGACTCCCCAAACATGTTCCATAAAATTTGAAACATAAATTGAAGACTAATGACCAACACTGAAAAATCAATCTATATAACTAATTACCTATGGATTGGATTGTGCCAGATTTGTTTCACAGACCAGTGTTAATATACAAAAGATTTCACAATATTTGTAGAACTAGACTGTGACTTTTGTTACTAAAAATCAAAAATTTTCCAGGATATTTTGCACAGACATGAGATTTTTTTCCATTATTTAGAATAACTAAAGTATTATAACTATATATTTTTAAATTTTGCAAGAGTTACAAATACTGTTTTAATAACTCAAGGAAAAAAAAGGGAAGATGAATGAATTCCAAATTCAGTTGACTTCTGATAAAAGTGGCAGAACTAGCATTGAATTCTATCCCTCTCTCACCAGCTCTCTCTCCCTCATTCCTACTATCAGAAAGATTCAGAAAAAAGGGAATAAATTGGAATGGTGGCACACACCTATAATCCCAGCAGCTTGGGAGGCTAAGGCAAGAAGATCACAATTAATGCCAGCCTCAGCAACTTAGTGAGGCTCTAAATAACTTAGCAAGACCCTGTCTCAAAATTAAAAAGGGTCTGGGGATGTGGCTCACTGATAAAGATGCCCTGGGTTCAATAACTGGTACCAAAAAATATTTTTAAAAGACAAGACAAAAAGGGAATGAATCCTCCCAGCATCCAAAATTAAAAGTTCTGGAGTGAACACTGTGGGCTGCGCATTCCCCTTTCTTTCCTCCTTAGAGTACTTTGATGTTTGCTGATGAATTCCACCTTCATTCATGCCATCCACAGACTAGAGAGGAAACTGACTCCAATTCTGTAGCCTTAGGAGGAAAATAAAAGTGGGACTATTCTATATAATACAATCTTCACTTCCATAGTGATGGGGCTCAGGAACACAGATCTCACCTAATCAGCACACAGTGCTGCCCTGAACCCAAGTGCTCCTTAAGAAAGGACAGCAACTTGGCCAAATTTTACTTAATGGGCTACTATGTAGCACTTTTGGTTTCTTTGAAATACAAGACTTCAAAAGAGGAAAGCTCTTTTCTTCTGTGATTGTGATATGTAACAGTGAATCCTAGAACCAGTTTACCACAATGAGAGAATCATCCTGTGAGACTAAAACCATGCCACAGAGGTTGAAGGAATTATGAAGGAAATGGGTCCGATTTAACTGGGTTCAATCAACCTGATAATGAGCACCCCTGTGATTCTCGTTTTTTAAGATGGAAAGGTAATTCATCTGATTACCTGACGAAACTTGTTATAGCATGCTTTTGAGTATTGGAAGAGATATAAGACAAAGCAGGAAGTATCTAGAACTCTCCAACAGATTAAGAAGAGAAAATACTCTAGCACTAAGCTAGAAAGAAAGAGGCTCAAAGAAAAACCATCTTTCCTTTGGCAGTTATTGTGACCTCAGCAGGCCTGCAGGATCCTTGCCCTGCAGCCTAAGGAACGTTCCATGACAAAGCCGACCAGTTAACAAGAGCTCGTGGTCTCTCTTCCTATACAGGGAGCAGTAACTTGAGCATACAGGCCTACAAAAATGCAAAGAATACCATTTCCAGTTAATAATCAACATAGACCTTTAGTTACCAATGCAATCTTTTATTTTTAGATATTATGAAAAATCACCCACAAATACCTAATTTATAAAGCCAACAATAGGAAAGCACAAGATCAAGAAGAACCCGCAGAACAAGTGACCTCAAAGAAGAAAATGGCAAACAGTACAAGTAGAAAAATTTAAAATCTAATTGATATTAAGAGAAATTCTTCAGGCTATCTCATTAAAAAAAAAGTCTCCAAAGGAGTCACCAAAGTGGGGGGGGGGGGGGGCTGTGTGGAATTGCTGGAAGTTAAAAATATGATTATCAAAAGATAATTTAGTAGAAAGCTAAATTATAGGTGAGGCAATTCTAATAAAGTAAAAATCTGTAAGAGATACTTAAGTAATTTACTCAACTTATAAATAAAATTTTGAGAAGAAATTTAAGAGACCCAGGGGCTCATCATCTAATATATAGTTCAAGATAAAAGATTAGAAATAATGGATGACAAATAACTAGGTCAAACTCTGGAAAGCAGACATTTGACTGGTTTAACTTACCAATGTGTGTCCACTGTCTTGCTGTCTAGCCTGGTATGTAGTAGTTACTCAATAAAACTTATTCAGTTATTAATAAATGAGGGGGAAAATAATAAATAATACCAAAGAATTCATAGAAGTGAATTTTCATGAGGTAGATAAAAAAAAAAATGACCCAGGAGGGCTGGTGTTGTGGCTCAGTGGTAGAGCACTCACCTAGCACGCGTGAGGCCCTGAGTTCCATCCTTAGCACCACATAAAAATAAACAAATAAAACAAAAGTATTGTGTCCAACTACAACTAAAAAATAAATATTTTTAAAAAATGACCCAGGAAAAAAACACATATTTCTGATGTTTCAGAATATCAAGGACAAGAGAAATCCAAAAGATCAAAATTTTAGTTTTCAAATTAAAGGTAGCCTATATGGGAAACAAGTTATTGATTGATATCAGACTACTTATTAGCAACAGGGAGTACAAAAAAAGAAAAATCATTTCAAACCAAGATTTACAAAAATTAAGTGTGATAGCATATCCATCAAATATGAAATCAAAATCAAGATGGTTGTCTTATCTCCAAAACACTCTTTTTGAAAAAAAAATTACTTGAAGATAATCTCTCACAAGAAGTAAAGACAATTTGATCAAGAGAGGACCCTGGAGTCCAAGAAATACTGGAACAACCAAGGAAGATGAGAAATATAAATCACAGATTAATCACTGTTCAAGCACCTGAAAATCCTTCCCTCCTATTGAATAAGAAGTCACAGGCTGACTTAGGAATTTCCTCAAGAACAAAATAGAGTCCATTATAGAAAGTATACAATTAGGAATGCAGAAACTCAAAAGAATGATGGAAAAGATTTCTCAATATGTTTAAAAATAAAAAGTTAACTAGAAATTCCAGAAAACTCAAAAAGCTACATCTTAGAGAAATTAGGATATAAATGTGACCCAAGTTAAAACAAGGTCCTATTTATATCAGTTGATGATGAACACATAACAATAAAGAATCTATTTTACTTTAACATTTGGAATATTCCTTATCTGTAGCAAAAAAAAAAAAATGTTAGAGATTACATTTCCTTGTCTAAGAATAGAAATGCTTTGGTTCTATGCAAATAAAAAAAAAAAATCAACTGTGGATGGGTGTGGACAGGCCTGAAATACCAGGGGGTCAAGAGGCTGAGACAGGATGGAGGCAGGACTCCCAACTTCAGGCCACCCTCAGCAAATTAGCAAGGCCCCCAGAAACTTAGTGAGACCTTGTCTCAAAATTTTAAAAATTTAAATTTAAATAAAGGACTGGGATGTAGCTCAGTGGTAAAGCCCCTCTGGGTTAAATCCCCTGTACCAAAAAAAAAAAAAAAACTATAAAAATACTTAATTATTTTGCTTTTAGAATCAAACTATAGAAAAAAGACGAACAATAATTTTTCTCATCTTACATAATAGAACCAGTACATGCTCTGGAGCTGGTATACTAAAAAACAAAAGTTCTGTAAATTATTTCAAGTTATAATTGTTACTTTTATGAAAAATAATATGACCAATTTCAAATTTTAATTTAAAAATCTGGGATGGGAACAGGGAGAATAATTGGGAGACAGGATTAGTGTGCTGTTTTCCCCATTTTTTATAATAAACAGTCAATAGGTTCTTTCTAAAGTTGATAAATCAAGAAAAGTGAAAGTTTATCAATTAGAGTTTCAGTTTAAAATTTCTGACCTCTAGTCAAATTATCAATGTGAACTCTTGCTTTAAACTACTCCTTTCCCCCCTGGACACACAGATGCCATGCTTACTAAAAAGAAAAATCAATTATCTCTGTGGACCAGAAAAATGAAAGATAAATACTCTGCAGAAAACAGAACCTGATGACAGGAGTTTGCCAGGCTTCAGGTCCAAAAGCAGACAGAAGCAGCTGGAAGTCTGACTACTGCTGAATACCAAGGACGAAAATATGCCCCTTATAGATCCCAAGATTCTGTATTTCTAACAGTCTCTGGGGAATGCCTGTTTGCTGGTATGTGGTGCATATTTTGAGTATCAAGTTTCCAAAACAAAATAGGGAGGGTGAGTTTTCCCCAAAACATTGTACATCCTACGTAAGTATCAAAATAACAGGAATTTTCAAAATTCTTTGTCTTTTAACAAGAGACAAAATTTTTACTCCAAAGAGACAAAGTAGTATTTCATAATTAAGCTCAAACTTTTGAGGGCAATGTGGTCATTATTTTGCATTTTCACACAAAAATAAGGGTTCCAGCTTACTAATCATGTATGATTTAATATAATAATATTATTGGATTTCTTACTTGTCTTAATAGCCTAAGTGAGGTATGTTTATTGAAAATCTTCACAGCCACTTCCTCTCCTTCATAGGCTGCTCGATAAACTGATCCAAAACTGCCATCACCTTTTGGAAGGAAAATATAAATAAAGCATTTAATCTTTCCAAGCAGAAAAATGAAATTATATTTATTGTAATTATACCTGTTCCATATTTGAAGAAAAATTCAACTTACTGGTCACACTGAATCTCCTTTAATGCTTCCTCTTCCTTCTAACTCCACAAATAAGATACGCCTAAAGATTCTGTCTCAGTCTTCTCTCTGTACATGTTCCTCAGAATGATATGTCTATATCCATAAATGTGAGGAATTTCTATATGTTTTACTGGCAGCCATGAGCCACCTCCTAAGTCCTATCCTCCATATCCCACCTTGTGGTGATGTTCACTGTAATGCTCTTCCAAATCTCAATCACAGTCCATCAAAACCACATTCATCATCTTTATCAAAACATTTTTATTCCATATATCTCATATTAAAAAAAAAAGTTCTTTCAAGGTTCTTCATGAAGCCTTTGCCCCATGTTTAGCCCCACAGCTAACACTGAGTACTCTTTGCAGCCTCATTCACAGGCCTCTCCTTTGCTTTTCCCCATCACACCATTATGGTGCCTTACTGCCTTCTGCCTCAACTGGGAGGGGCTCCTGAGTTCACTATCTCTAACTCATTCCATCTCTCCAGCAAAATTAATCCCCCTGTAATTCCACTTTAACTCTATCACTTTCCTACTCAGAACCAAATTATTCCATGTCACCTATTAGATCATAGCTAAGTTCGGCCCTATATCCATAGGGCAACCCTCGATTCCCTTACTATCTCTTCTCATTGTCTCATTCTCTAGGCTCAAGTTCAGTACTCTTCTTCCTAGTTCTGGCCAAATAGTACATATGAGGAGCTTTTTAAAAGTACTAATGTCTAGACTTAAAGATGCTAATCAAATGGGTCTCGGGAAGTTCTGGTCATTGGGATGCCTTTTCTCTAAATTTCCCTGGTAATTATAGTAATGAGCAACCAGGCCTGAGAGCAACTGCTCTACACAAACTGAAAAAGCTGAAATGTTCTAAACATAATTTGTACCTTCAATCAGTGTCCTTGCTATGTCATTCTTTGACAAGTTCTGCTGCCTCATCAACTCCACCTTTGAGGAATTTAGCAAGCCTACAACATCCTAAAATATTGTGAAACCAAGGCCTGAGGAACTGACATGATCAGCCTGGTGGACCATTACTCTCCGCTAACGTATAGTAAATCCTATTCATACAATATTTATGGCTCTCATATACTGCCTTGAAACATAGTTATTCAAAGGATATAAGTGAATTAACAGAAAAATCTATAAGGAAATCTAATAATGTAAAACTTGTATTTCAAATGGTAAATATAAGGCATCCATGGGATCCTTCTACCTATTTGTATATTTCCTCGATATCTATAATAAGCATATATAATCATACATTATTTTATGCTTAGAAGTAATGTTAGTTAACAATAAATGACTTGTGTGGCTATATCATGTATTTCTAAATAAATCACAAACATGTGAAAGGCACTACCTGCATCTTATCATTCTTGGTATCCTCCTACCCCATTCCTCCAGGACTCAATAATAATGGACTTTTAAAGCATCGGTTGATATTGTTAATACTGAAAGAGCTGTGGGGGAAATGAAGCCTATAGGAACAGTTAAGAATGGGAATAATAAATAGGATTGGGTAAACAGAAAAGCAAAAAGAGAAAAGGGGTGAATGAAGGGAAGGGGAGAGGATGGAAAGGAGAGATAGAAACTTAAATAATAATGCATGCTGATTTGGTTTTCCTCAATCTGGATAGCTGTTAACAATACAGAAAATATTTAATGGGGCAGACAGAAGAAATGCATAGTAAGGAGATATATCGAAATTTCAGTTGAGAGTAGAGATTTCTAATTTTATAAAAGCTCTTCTCTATTTGAGGGTCATTGAAATATCAGTAAGGAATATGGACTGTCATGTCCTTGAGGTGGCTAAAAACAAAACTAGGGTTAAGGATTATTGTTGTGTATTTGTGACATCTAGGTAGGAAAGAAAATTGGAAGCAAGAAAATTTTTCACACCTCATCAAATCACATCATCAAAGTACCAATGTATTGTGGTTCTCTACAAAAATAGTCCCTCAAAGAGGAAATGTACCCTGTAAATCCTCAGACACATATACAAAACCCTACACAACTGTATTTTTAAATATATTTTGAAAATGTCTATTCATGTCTACAAAGGTATATCCTATTAGTCGCTGCATAATAGTAGTATCTGAGAAGCATAACATTAACAGAATCTGGAATTCATTCCTGCCCATTACAACCAACAACTGTGTGGGGATTAATTATTTTAGCACAAATACAATGAAAGTCTTTGAATGTAAATGTTTTTAGAAGAAAAAAATTTTAGATCAAAAGTACACAATCCTACCCCCTACCTCTGGCAAGGTCTAGAGACACTGTGATTGTCGCACCTGGAGAGGTTGGGGTAGATAACACAGACATCTAACCTAATGGCAGAGCACAGGGATACTGTTAAATATCCTTATGAGGATGGCCATTAGGCCTGAGCCTAAGCAACTCCATTTTAAAACCTCAGTTTGAAACCTGCAGTTTCACCAGGCAACACCCACAGAGCCCTCCAGTACGGCCTCAAATAAGTTACTTCTTCTGACCCTGATAAACAGAGTGAAGTGCCTGGCAGGCTGTCCTAGCCTGATAAGAGGGAAAGGTGAAAAGATCAGGGTAGAGACCACCAGACCAGATATTTCTGACCCCAGGGTCAATGATGTCATTGAGAAATCCGGTGGTAGCTGATAAGGATTGAAAGGGGGGTCAAAAAACCCCAAAATTTAGTATAAATAATAGAGCAAATGAATAGTGATTCAGCCAGCCAAAACACGGACGCACTCGAGCTGGAGAGCCTGATGAGGACTGACATCCCATCACCTGTCATTGTTCCTGATCCTTTGCATGATCCTCACCACTCTCAAACTCTACCACCTTGTCTGGACCGTGGTGAGAGCCCCAAGTTCTCCCTTCAACTCTCTCCTCAACCGGTTGTTCACTCCACGCCAGAAAAAGCCTGCCTTGGTTCCGGACCTAATCACTGAAGTCTAAGTGAGTGTGCATCTGCTGGACATAAAGCCTAAGGCTTAAGACTTTTGATCTAACTCTTGAACTTAGCATGCAGAGGGAATGTCTGTCATTAGCCTGTCATGATTAAGTATGTTTTGCAGTGCTTAGAATTAATCTAGTATTGTTTGCTGTGAATTAATTAATCTAGAATTGTTTGCTATGAATTGATTATGTCTATTGTAGTGCCCAGTGTTAAGAATTGTCATTTTCTTGATTAAGAACCTATAGAGTGAAATTGTATTGAGTAATTTGAGTGAATAAAACATTGAAAGGGGCAGAAGTACGTGGACATCCTTTATTTCTCCCCTCGACTGCATACGTCACAATTTTGCCCCCTCGTGACAATCCCAATCCTACAAGACATGAGGCAGACCTCAAGAAAAAAGAATTATCCAGTCCAAAATAACAATGGGGCAAAGACTGAGAAATCTTGATCTGGCCTGTTTTTCATAAAGAAACACAGACTGGATAGGTTTTTAGGGAATGGGGTTAGAGAAGGGAGAATAATCACATAGACAAGTTTCTATCTGTATAATTAAAATAACATAAAACAGGTGCTTCAAAGTACCTATGTGAATGATGTTTCTATGTGAAATGCTCAAAATTTGTCCATTAATCTGATATATATACCAATGCAGGACAAACAAATACATAATGGAGCCCTGCTCAATGACTTGGGACTCCTTCAGAGAAAGGGTACACTGTGTCTGTTATCTGCCTGTTTCCCTGGACTCTACCGTCCGATGTTAGTTAAGATGCAGCATTTGGCCTTGACCACTAGGCATTTTGTATTAACCCACAGTTACTAATACATTCACTTCCAGAGTTCCAAGGCATTTAAATTCATTCTGAACTTCCCAATCAATATGAACAACAAAGGTTTAAAGGAGTTGATTTTGCTTTATAAATCATGTCCTACGTTTTGTAAAATTTTTGCTAATAATATTGTGTCCTAACAGATTTCAGACAATCTTTCCATGGTAATTTAATTAAAAGTAAATGTATGCACTTACAACAAATACAACATAGTTACTATTTTCACATGCTTTGCATTAAGTCAACCCAATGATTGTGTCTTTCCAATGATATTGAAAAACATTTAGAATTTGAGTATATTACCCTACAGTTAATAGTAATATATTCTATGCTTGAAAACTACTAAAAGAATAACTTTTAGGTGTTCTTTTAAAAATTATAAACATCTAAGGTGATGCATATTTTAAATGGCTTGATTTGACTACTCCAATATATATAACAAAACACCATGAACATATTCTATATGTGTGTGTAAATATCTATGTATATAATTTTTACTCATCAACCATATATGTATGTTTATATACACAAACACATATATGTATGTATATATATATATGTATATATATACATATATATATACATAATTTGTACTTATTAATTTAAAAGTAAATTTTAAAATATCTGAAAAGGAGATTAGCAGACAGCTGAGACAGTGAGGGCATTAGCAGTATTATAAGAACACTAATTTTTATTCTAAAGGAGACATGAGACCATAGAATTATTCTACAAAATGACGTGATATGAAATATCATAATCTGACCATATCTTTCAAAAAGTGATATTACATTAAATATTACATGAATGCATTCAACCTCTTTTATGGAGTATGTTTAAAAACATCTTTTAGGTCTCAAAACCTATGTACACATATAGGTTAGAAATGAAAGTAAGAATACAATTACTGTGATTTCACCTTCTTTCATTCTTTCAATGAGCTACACAAATCCAGTGATTTTCATCAGACCCTGTTGAAAATCACTGATTGAATTTGTGGTACTGACCAGTACATGTGATTTTTCAGCATACAAAAAAAAAAAAGAGAGAGAGAGAGAGAGAGAGAGAGAAAAACTTGAATATGGAAGCCAGAATTAGACAGGCAGTCAGTGTAGATAGGTAAATCGAGTCAGGTCGATCTAGGAGGCCAATTTTGAGTGAGTCTGGGAAGTTGGAGACTGTCCCCTGAGGGATCTTATCCAGAACCTGCTTCTGCTTCAACTTGTTACCAAGGTAACCTATCCCAGGAATTTCTCCTCCCTACAGGGAGCTATAAGGTTGTTAAAGTGTCCTTGTCTGCTCTATCCTGCCTTTCCCCCTTCAGCCCACCAGCTTCCCACCTTTTGACCATCCCACTGAGCATTCCTGGGACTAGCAGGAAGAAGAAAGATAAGAGGGGAAAGGCAAGAGAACAAAGGAAGCCTAGGACAGATAAAAAGGAAAGAACACTTCTTTCTTGGGATACCAGGATACCAGCTATGGCCCCTTCTCCCTCGTGGGAGAAGTCTGTGTTACCCCTTTTTAAATAAACCCTGCTTTATATGCTTGCCTTGGCGTGCTTCTCTAATGTTCAAACTTCAACATGTGGGGAAGCAGGACTCATCACCAATAACCATCGGTATGTATGAGTAATAAAACTGCTGCTATGACTACACAGAGGTATTTTTACTTCACTTATGCTCCCCCTGACCTTTGGAACTGGAAATTGAACTAAAGGAAAATAAGAAAGGGCTACTTCACTTAACTGGAAACCTCCTCATCTACTTCCATTTGTGCTTCCATGATACTCCCATCTTCTTTTGGATCCTAGTCTACATTAGTATGCACAAAGAAAATTCTAGAACTGTAACATGATATTATATTAAAATACATCAATCCAAATGAAAAACATTACATGAAATGTATGACGTTACTAAAAATCTATAACAGTAAAATGATGATATGTGGACATTTTCTAAATTGTAAGGAGGAAACTGCATCCTAATTTTTATTCTCAAAATAATGAAAGTAGTTACCTAAGAGAAACTCTGGAGCTTGCTCAAATTCCAACTCATCATTATTCAACATAATATTTCTAGGCAGGTCAGCAAGAATCAAGTCAGGAGCAATCTGAGATATTGGAATAGTAAGTCTTGGTTGATCTGGATTTACTAGGAGGTCTCCTGAGAATTATGTAAAAGATTTTTTTTTAAAAAAAGAACATTTAAAGAAACAGAAATTTGTTTTTGCAAAAAACATTACTTATTTTCTATCCTTTTTATCCCTCCCTCAGTTTTTCTTATCATCCTAGATTTTTTTAGAAAAATTGAGAAATTGAAAAATAAAATCTGAAAATTTATTTAATATAAACCTACTTAGAATTTCAAAAATTCATTCATTAGGTAACAGAATTCAGAACTGCCTTAGCCTCCATGACTTCTGATCTGGAAATTATTTAAAATAAAAATAGAGATATTTTTATAAAATAAATATTTTATAAAATAAAATTTATAAAATAATTTATAAAATAAAAATAGAGATTTTGTTTAAACTAGAGATATTTTTGCCACATCTATGAAGCAACTATCATATGGCAAAATGTTGGTAAATTATGTCCATGTATTGTACTCTTTTTAACAATTCTATGAGATAGATTTGTTAGTACTTTTGTTTCACAGATGAGGTTACATCATTCCAAAAGCAAGCATTCAAACTCTCAAAACAACATTTTCAAAACAGAGAATGCAAAATTTTATTGTTAAAAATAATTTTTTCTGAATTGCCACTATTAAATATACTATTTAATATAAATATATTAAAATATATTTAATTGAATATAGTATCTTTCAACTGATCCCTATAGATAAAGATAATTTTTACATAAAAAAGTCACTTCACTTTTAAACACCTGTAAGTTGTATGAGAGTACACCACCATACCTTCTTCTGCTTTCTTCATCAAGTCATCAAGTAAGATTTTCTGATGTTCTTCACCATCATTAAAACTGTATAATGCCCATTTCTTCAACAGAGTTTCTCCTTCACCACAAATATCAATCTCCAGCAACCCAGGAAACCATTCCTCCATGAGAGAATCGATGTGGTCCACAACTTGGCCCAGAAGAATACAGCCTGCAGAATTCATATAAGAGCTCATCAACCCATACTGCTGTGAAGCTAGGCAAGTTGTTATTTTGAAAGTTGTTGGAAAGTTGTTGTTTTGATTTGGTTTGAGTGTTTTTAAGTCAGGGTCTCACTACACTTGAATTCCTCCAGCCTCATCCACCCAAGTAGCTTGGGTTTCAGGTGCATGTCATCATGCTCTAGTTCTGGAAAGGGCTATTTGTGTTTGATTTTGCTTATGATACAACTTTTTCATTTTTATTGGTTCTTTTTAGTTATAAATAACAACAGGATTCATTTTGACATGATTATAAAAGCATGGATATATTTGTTCTAATTCAGTCCCCCGTACTTCCCCTTCTCCTCCTCCCCTTTAAAGTTTAGATTTCTAAAAGGGTACAACTCAAAGTTTCAAATTAATTTGCTTACCTTTTCTACAAGAAGGAACTGTAATTTTTAAGAAGCTCTCTGGGTGATTGTCTAAGACTTCAGATCCTACCAAACAGTAAGCTTCAGGAGACCAATTCAAATAAATGCCTTGTCTCCAGTACATTCTGTTTGGGCGAAGTGCTCGCTCTGCAGGGAAGTGAAGAGGATCCAAATATATTTATTAATTATTAACTACTTGGTAAGTTAAAAAGAAAAGCTACTGCCCACACCTCAGGTAGCAGGAATACAGATATATTTATTTAAAGAAAGTGTTTGGTTGTTAATGAGTCCTCATCATATTCATTAAATTTTGCATTAAATATTTTATTCTTAATTTTGCAATAAAATAAATCAAATGTCCTTTAGAGTTCTTAAGACACATTTCAGGCACATGCTGGTAATAAATTTGATATGATTAACATATATGAAGAAAGAGAGTCATAAATAAGTTGTGATAACTTTTGAAAAGTTTATTTTCATACTCTATTAAGGTCATTTAGGAATTAGCTATATGTTAATTCCAAGCAATATAAGATTTATTTTATAAGTCTGCCTTTGGACCAGAAAAAAATTATATTTCTCCCCTTGGAGTATTAAGACATTTTTTATTATAATTTTTTTAAATAATCATTATAAACACCCATTGTTGTTCTTTTTTGTAAATTCCTCAGAGATTATGCAGCAGAATGGAGATGTGACAGTCTGTATCCTGAATGGTCAGTACCTAATACAGTTGTCAAGTAAAACTCCCCTCCTATGCAGTGCTCCCTTCTTTTTGTTACTGTTTCTTCATCTGTATGTTCTGTGTGTATGTGCGTGCATACACACACTTGTGTATTTAAACCTAGGACTCCTGTTAATCCCACTTTTTAAAATTATAGCTTCTCGTTTGCTGTGGCATAGAAAGAAAGAAATTAATTTAGTTGTTGGAAATGTGTCTAACATGAAAATAGGCTTCAGTAAGGACCTGAGGACTTTACTTCCAGAAAAATTCCATGAGTTTACATGTGTTTATATATAATGACCTCTTTGGAGTTTTCTGAGCTTATTTCTGAATTCAATTGCCTTCCAAACAAGTAAACTCTGGGGAAAGGACAGTATTTTTCTCCTTAATTTATCGAAATATTAAGTCTTCTTTAAGTACATACCTCTTCCTGAAAGCATGTAAGGTGAAATTTCAAGTAATCGATTGATTAATCTTGACCAAAATCCCATTGGAAAATAAGGCATTTCATACAGTCGAATGATAATTTCTGAGTTCTCACAATGGGGAAGTTCTATCACAGGTCTGTGGTCCGACAAACTAAAGAGAAAAGTACAACATCATTATACCTTTAGAAAATACCCAACCATATTGGGTGAAGTACTTTACTACTCAAAGTCAGTGAAGATAACTGTTCCAAGAAACTGCACCTTATTTATAATATTCTTTTGCAATATGCTCTTCCTACGTTAAAAATTCAATGATCATTGCTCAGATGTAATAAGTATGATTTTTTCAATAATACTATGTACAGTAATAAATTATTATAATTAGTTATACATAGACAAATATTAAGATTATATATAACTTGAAAAAGCATAAGTCCTAGAAAAAAGTATATATCTATACTTAGAACTGTCATCCACCGATCAGAATAATTTTCACTTTAACATCATATTTCACTATATATTTAGTATCAGATACAATGTTTCCATTAAAAATATGTGCTGTATTTATGTAGGAAGTTTACAAAAGGAGTAAAAAGAAATTTAGTATATCTATTATGCAACAAAATCACCATTACAATTAAAACAATATAATAAATGGTAAATTTCCAAGAAATTAAATTTTTAAGGGTTTTTTTTTTTTTTTTTTACCTGCTTGGAACCAGCAAATATTCTTCTCCTGTTGGCAAAGCAATCTGGAATTTTTCTAGGAGTTTAAAATACTGTGTCATGTAGTTCTTCGGAAATCTCCTTTTCTTTGAAAGAAATTTTTCCACATCTCTACGTGAAATAATTCCCTTAGGATGTTTTGGATAGCCTTCCACTTTTACTGTCAAAATCTGAAAGATTTAAACTCATAAGTCATCACCAGGATTTACTTTCTGAAATGTTTCAAATTTAAAGTTTTTCATGTCTCTTTGCTCAGTGAAAATGATTAGAACAGTCTGTCCAATACAACAGAAGACCTAATTTTTCTAGCAGCTACTCAGTCTGGAAACCTAATGGGGCCTTCCTCCTTGAAAAACATTTATTAGCTTAAGAGAGTAAATTCAGATCAGAATTTATTGGGATTCTCTGAAATGAACCTTGAGATTTTGCTTGATTCAATTAACAGATCCATCTGATACCCTAGATTTGTACTGCAATCTTATCACTAATACATTCCTAGGGAAATTATCTTCCAAACTTTTATCACTGCAGGCTTACAGTAAAATCCTACTTGACATTCATATAATATAGGAGAGGACTTCCATCAATTGGAAAAGAGTCTGAGGAGTACAGGTTAGTGAGTCTCTAAGTAACTACTATATTTTGCTGGATTCTATGTGCAAAATCTGGGGTAAGTCTGGGGTAAGGCTTGAGAATATGCTATTTAACAAGCAACCCAAATGATTTTAGCACAGAGACCTTTCAATGAGCTTTGATCATTGTCATAGCATTTATGAATCTGAATCTGGTTCAGAAGAATGCAAATTCAAATCTAGGCTGAACGACAAGCTATATGAACTTGGGAAAGGATTTGATTTCTTTAAGGGACAGTTTCCTTCTCTGTAAAATGAGAAAATGAAAGTGTCTTTTAGATTGCTGTGAGAATAAAATGACACATGTAAAGTTTGCAAAGTGTATATCACAATTTTTAGTATATAATAAGCCCTTATGTGCCATCTATGTACATATTTCAATTAATTTTTAGCAAATTTATTTGAAAAAGAGGTGTATGCTTCATATTTTAGTAGATTTATAATGTTTAAGGGATTCTTAAATAGGTGAAAGCATTATTTTTCATTTTCATGCAGCTAAGTAAAATACTAAATTGTAAAATCCTTAGGCCCAAGGACTTGTTTCACCCATCTCTACATTTCTATTCTGGGTGTGTAATTTTTATTGAATCAATGAATGCATGATTGATTGGGCACACTGGCTTCTAATGGCAATGGGCCATGGGCCACTGCATAGTAGAAATTGTAGTTTAGACTTTTCTCATGCTGTTACTTTATATAAGATCAGACTGTCCTTAAAATTTAGGAAGTGAGGCAAATGGTTTAACCATTTTAGTGTTTTTTAAGTCTTAAGAACCTTTCTGGAAATCTTGTATCTCCAACCATACTTCACATTTTCTTTGTGGCACTCAGCATCGCCAGTATATTATATGTGGACTTATCAGTTTTTTCCCTCTAATTTGAATGCTAGTCTTATGCCTGCACAATTTTGTTAGTGCTATAAGCCCAGCACCAGAATAATATCTGGAACATAGTAAATACTGAATAAGTATTGTTGAATGTGTGAATTTTGAGTAAATGTGATTGGAGCACTTTATCCTACAGATAGTTTTAACATCACTGAAGTCAAACTAATTGGTTAGAAATCATAACTCTGTCCATCAATTTCTTTATCTTCAACATGGGTACTAATAGCACCACTTAAATAGCTGTGGTGAGAATTAAATGAGGTCATCTTTGTGAAATGCAAAGTAACCCCCCTCATATGTTAGCCATTTTTATCTACTTATTTTACTTAGACAAATTCATTTTTATCTAACAGCAAGTTTTTATTAACAAAAATCATTTTTAAAAGAGCCTGTACTTGATTTTCCTAGTAGATCTATAGTGTCTTACCAATATTTGTACTTGATTTTTCAAAGGTGGAAAACAATAATTTTTCTCTCCCTATACATGTACTACTCAGTCCATCAAGAAATGCATCCCATTTCCCCTCCCCTTCAATCTGGGCTTGTGGTTGCTCTGGCCACTAGAATGTAGCAGAATTGATGTTTTGCCAGTTTTGAGCCTAGCCTTTAACAGGACTAGCGACTTTTGCTTCATTTCTCTTGATAGCCTGCCACCATGTACCTTGTCTAATTACCCTGTGCTCTTCATTCAGGAAGCCCAACCCAGTCATGGAGAGGTCTCATGGAAGAGCACCAGTACCACCCAAGCCTAAGTGTAGCCTTCTGGGACTTTCCAGCCTCATTCAACAAATGAAACCAATTGAATGGCCATACCAACATCACATGGAGCAGAACCACTCAGCTGAAACCAGCTGACACACAGAAGACTGAGAAATAATATGTTCTTGGTGTTTCAAGCCTCTAAATTTTGGGGTAGCTTATTACATGCTAATAAAATCTAAAACACTATCTTTTCACCTTTAAAATCCCCCCTACTATTCCCTCAACCTACTAACTACTGTATATACCTGCTAATTTATGCCCTTATTCAAGGAAACAAACATTTCAAATTTTTTTCTGTATTTTCCCAGCATATTATCAAGACTAAATTTCCATGCAAGCCGATTAATGCTCCACCTGATTCTTGAATAGCTCTCTTTCATATTTTTTTATCATATAGTTAAATGAGTTTTGCAAACTTCTCCCTGCCTTGACAGAACCTTCCTTAATAAGTTAGTGACCTAACAGCTCAGGGTACATAGAGGGTAGGTGGGCTCATTAGAGCTTCTGCACCATGAAATTATTCCTGCCCTTGTCTTGATGATTCATGGAGGTGAACACCCCTATTTATTTCTGAAGATGAATATCAGACAAGTTGCTTTGCTTTCACATGGTTATTTATAGCTTTCCTTACCATTAAATCTAAGTGAAAATGACATTATATTTCAATTTATCAGCATAAATAAAAATGATGGTATTTACTTGGTAAGTTAATAACAAATTTAAATTATCATTTTACCAACATTCTAAGTATGTCTTTTGAAATAACTTTGAGCTGTTTGAATTCTTGATTTAATTTTCACTTAGATTAGCATATTAATACTATAATATGTTAAAGAGAAGGAGAACTTTTATGGAGTTTTGACTTAATTATCCTATAGAATCTTCAGAAATTTTATTGTGCTCATGATAGAAATCTGTTTTTGTTTTTGAAAGGATGATTCTAATACAAATCTCTTCCTTATTACACTATAGAGAACATGCTCACCCTAATATTATCTATACATGTTCCACTTCACATGGAAACATCACTCTTGGGGGTAAAGTTAGCCTTTTCCTGCCTGTGTGGAGATTCTGATAGCTGCCTACAACAAAATCTGGAGGTTATATTTAAAACTCTCTTTACTCCCAGATATATCTACCTACATATATGTTTTAATTTTCTCCCTACCTGACACACTTTCCAAAACTACATGAGTACATTTTTACAGTTTTAAAGATGTTTTTTTCATTTCCTAGCATAATGTTATATAATTACATCAAATATAAAATTAGCTAATATTTACTGCTCACACAGAACTACAGAGGTAATTAATACAGAAGAAGCTATTGTTATCATACTCATTTTATGAATGGATAAGGGCTTAAAATGTTAAGAAATGTTAGAAACTAGTATTTAGAAGATATGTCAACACAGATCAAGCTGAGTCTAGAGCATGTGCCTTTGGTTACATTACTGGTTCTGTTATCATTTAATAGATGATGAGTAAAATCACACTTTTCATGGCACACATGCAGAAGAATGAAAATCTAACCTAAAAATACATGACAAAATAGAAAAAAACTGGCCCATTACAATTAGATGCCAATTATAATAATGTTTCAATATGCTCTCAAATTCCATAGTATAGGAATTAGCCTCCACTGAATTCTCTCTTCAAAATACCTTCCTTTATATCCTTAAATGGAATTTAGGAGTTAGTATTCAAGATTATTTGAGGAAACTTAATTATGATTTAATTGGAAGAGATATTTCTGATATAAAAATATATAATTATTTTAGGACCTCAGCAAGCCACAGGCAAAACTATAAATTTTGATCATAAGCAAGATAATTACCAATAAGTACATATCCTCCCCACCCCCAGCTCACTGCAGTTTATGATTAAGCTACACACAATCATTCTCAGCTGGAGGAATTTTGCACCCCCCAGAAAACTTTTTATCAACGTCTAGATTCATGTTTACTTGTCATAACTGGGAAGGTGCAGCCAGCATCCAGAAAGTATAACAAAAATGCTGCTATCATCCTATGATGTGCAAAAAAGAACTATGTCAATGGTGTTGAGGCTGAGAAACTCTGAGCTCATGTGTTCTAATTTAGTGATTTTCTATGGTAAATGTATAAAGAAGAATTATTATAACTAATTAATAAAACTCATTGGCATTGGGTTATAAGTGGGAGAACTTATTTTCCATATGGAGTACAAATGGAGAAAAGAGAATTATAACCACCACCATCCAAAGTTTTCAAAAGCTTATACAGTTTAGACTATGCCCTTAAGAGTGGAAACTCCCCTCCATATTATCAAGGTAGAGGTTTCAACAGGCCCATCAACCCAATTTCCTCATATGTGTTTGCCCCAAGGATTTTCATAAGGCCTTTATTCATTGACCAGGTGAATAGCCAAACTGAACATATTATCAGGATCTAGAAAAGTGGCAAAGAATACAAGGTACAGTGTTTATCTGTGACTTGGAAACAGAGACACGAAAGTGAACTCTAAGATATCCTCTTCCATGAAGCTCTTTGAACAGTCTTCTCCATAAAGTATTCTGTAGTTTTCTATATTCACAATACTTTAACTGAACACAACTGCTAAGATGCTCAGTGCTCTGGGTGCTATCTGTTCAACTTTTCAATCTCTGCAAATCAAATACCCCTAAAATGTAAGACACCAACCTGGGCCATGACTTTACAAAGCCACTTGGGTTCCACAAAATATAAGTCGCTTAACTGCAGTGCTGGGTCTTGAAAATGAAGAAGGACTCCTGTGCCAAAAATTCATCAAACAGTGAAACATGGAATCTAGAACATACGAATACTGAGGAGCTTTAGAGAAAGTCTAGTCCAACTACCTTATCTTACAGATAAGAAACTTTTAGCACAATTAGTGGCATCACTGGGACTAGAGGCTGGGCATACTGTTCCCAAGCTCAAAGTTCAATACTATAAATTAATTATTTTTGAACTATATAAATTGACCATATGTAAGCAAATTTCGGATAAATGCATTGAAGAACATATACTTATAAAAAATAAAAATCCATAATTTACTTTTCACTTTCTAAATGTACACTCCAAAGACTTATCTTATTTTCAATACAGATTTTAAAAAAAAACACACAACTTATCACAGTCTATCTGATTAAAGAATAATAAGAAAAGGGAATAGATTATCATCAACATTAGATATTTTTCATATAAAAGAATTCAGGGATCAAAAACAATTTCCCAGACACTTTCTCAAGATGCACAAATTAACTCCCACATTTTTAGCAAGATAATTCCAGGCAAAGACACAATTAGTGCTGCAGTTGGTTTACTATGAGATCCATGAGTGATGAAAACAGCAAGATTTGACAATCAGGAGCTGCGTCATCTCAGACAGCCTTCGACTCTAAATGACCCAGGAAAACCATTGCAGTAAAAAGTATCCTTTACAGCATAAAAATAACCATGACATCCACTAAATTCATTTGACTCTATGAAAGGGTATGGGTATTCTCAGTGTTCAATAGCACCTGAACAGCAAAATCACACTCATGTGGGTTCAGGAACCCACGTGTTTTAATTCCTGCTCAGGAGTCCTTAGATGATTTCTAAATTATTTTTTCATGACATGATTATTATTCAACATCCATCCACATAATGATCTTCTAAAAATCAGTGGCCTGTTGTAAGAATTTTGTAGACATTCTCTTAAGTTGTAAATATAGTCTATACAAGATTCAGACACATTTTTACAAAGAACTATGACCACGTTTTGAAAAAAGAAATGTAAAACAAATAAACACACAAACCTGATTCATTTAGGAAGTGAACTGCATGAGGAAGCTCATTTTCATCTAACTGCAGCTGATTTTCTTTCACTAGTTGTAATAATCGTTTCCGATCAATTACAGGAAATTCGATTGGCACATTTTTACGCTCTGATAAAATGATTTTCTCAAGTTCTACATAGCAGTCTGGAATTAGCTGCCCAACGACAGGCTGATCTCGAATCTATAAAATTACAAAAGATAAGCTGTAAAAACCTATTTTATTTTGTATTTGTTTTGTAAATGCAGGGCTAATAGTTTTTATAGAAATGATAGATATATCATTCAGAAATATATGTGTGAACAAAATTGAGATACAATGTAAATCTATTTAAATTGTAATGAATAGAACATTAAATTGAAATAAGAAAAGTATGGACACAGGTCAATTTGGAAAGAACTATCAAGTCTATTTTATATACACTTCTTTAATTTTTATTTTTATTTGCTATTTGCACAAAAATATTTATCTAATCATCCGGATATTTCCTGGCCAAAAAAAAGATAAATTGATAACCATAACAAAAGAATTTTCTCTTTTCTAAAGCCTTAGGCTTATATGCAATCAACATGTTAGCATATGACATCAGTAACTATTAAAGAACTTTGGACTCTTTTGTATTAGATAAAATACTCACACCTAGAGGTAAAACGCTAAATTCTGTGCTTGTTGTTTAAAAAATGTTATACTGGCAAATTGTAAATATCAATAATTAAGCCTAGAGACATAAAATCTTCTCACTCAAGCTATTTTTTCTCATGGAACCTTGAACTTGGGAAAATAAGAAATCATCTAAACACAATGATTCTGTCTCAAGAAGGCAACCACTGGGAATCTAATCACTGCTTAATAGTTGAGAAACATATAAAGTAAGCTTTTCAAAGAGTTATCTTAAGATGATAGTATCTTATAAAGTTTCTATAATAAACGTACTTTCCAAATGTTTTTGGAAAATACATATGCTGATCTTTTTTTTCCTTAAAAAGCTAATTTTAAGTACAAATACAGTTTTCTTTAACAATAGTAACTGAAATGTCTTAAATAACCACCAGATGGCAAACTCTGACCATTTCTGGATCCCTGATAATTTTTATATATATTTTTAACCTGACAATAACTACCATAACTTAAGCAAACTTATTATGAATAGAAATTCAGTATTATTTGGCACACATAAACACAAAATTTTAGCTGTTCTTTTCCTACTTATAACTAGAGGGTTAAAGAACCTGATATACAGCACCCATAGCCATTGACTTCCAAGTTCATCAAAAAAATGGTTTTTCAAAAAACTGTTTTCTTACATCCTTTGTCCAAGAAAATGAAACAGAATTCTACTAGCCTCCACTTTTAATATTTTTTTTTTATTATTTAGAAGTTAAGATGAAATAGAACTTTCGAAGTTTATGTTTTAATCTAAGGAAGAAATAAAGATTTCACAGGAAGCAGAATAGGCAGAAAGGGGATGAATTTAATAGGACTGGGTCACAGGGCCAGGAGGAGAAGCCTGTTCTGATAGTAAGCATTATTGTCAGCGCTGACTTTGGTTTTTTCCTGCATCTCCTTTTACCTTGATTATCAGGCCATCACCAGGCTGAGCCAAAAAAAAAAAAGAAAAAATGTATTCTAAAGACTCTGTTTATAAGGCTAGGGAAATATTAGAGAATAGACAAGATAAAAGGAAAAATGAAAATAAATGGGAGGGGGGAAATAAGACTCTAATCAATTAAAAGCTGCTGTTTGAAGACAGGTTGAAGCATCTCAGAGAGGAAGAATATTCAGGCTCCAGCAGCCTCACCAACCTGGGGTCATCTGAAAGAGTCACTGGTCTACAAAGAAATCCAGAGATTTTTCAAACCAATATGTCAAAATGATACATCCATTAGCAGTATATCTTTCTTTAAGTAATACTGCCATTGCTCAAAGTATTTGTTTTCTTCCTTATGTAGAGTTGTCTTTAAAGTTCATTTATAAGTGCAAGAAGAAAATTGGCCTTGTTGATTGTGATATCTTGCTACTAGCCAAAAAGCAGTATTAATTCAGCTTAATGAATCAACGCCTCTTCTACACACTTTTGCATCAACTAAATTCAGGTTTTTCCAAAACAAATTCATTCTCCACAAAAAAGTCTTCTACAATTTGATATATATTTTGGCAGCAATGAAAAAAAGGAAAATTATTAAAATATTTTAAGTAACAGCAAATTTCTTTAAATGACCAGTATTTTATTTGTATTTTTAAAAGTGTACTACTCTCAAATTCTATCTCCCACAGAGAGTAGAAAAATCTTCGAAGACATAATGCATTCTTCTTACATAAAATGCCACTACTAATCCACCTTCAGTAAAATATTTTAATAACTGTAATAAGTGTGTATCAAAAGATACAAGCATACTACCACAAAGACCAACACATTTATAAATGGCTCATTGGGTTTTGAGTTGGAGCACAACCTGTGGAAATGGAATAGAACCAAGCTAACTAGCTCACATGGAGTAATAACCAAGGTGATCACTTAATTTATCATCCAAATTGGAATGCTTTTAGAATGTACTGGAACACTATTAATCACTATGCTGGGACTGCCCAGGCCAAACAGGACTCTGGCTAAAAACCATGATCTCAATCATTAGTGCTAATGAGCTAACCCAACTGAGTCCAAATGAAATTCCTCATCATTTGGTCATGCTGAACTATCCAGTGTTTTTCAGTACAGTCTATACCATGTTCCCATTAGAACCCCAGGAAGATTTCTTTCTCCTGCAAGTATTTTTAAAAAAAGTATTCTCCCTGATGACAAATATGTTTATATTATATGAATATCTGACTTACCAGAAGAGAACTTTGGGAATTTTTTAAAGTCCTAAAATAAAAAACCTAGTTTGTATGAACTAAGTAATAATTTAGATGCTGCTGAAAACCAAATTAATGATCTTGACCAGTAAATGAAAGAGTTATCTCAAAAGTTTCAAAATACTAAGAGGAAAAAAACTGGAATGGGAATCACAAGAACCAGAAACATGAAGAAGCCACTAGGAAGATCAAGCTGTGCATAAAATGGAAACTCCAAAAGAAAGGAGGAGATAGCAAAATAAGAGCCAATAGAAGATCTCAAGACCCCGATGTTAATTTGATGGGAAGTTGGGAGAGAAAGGGCATCAGAAGCACTCAGTCTCTCAGTAATATTTTCTCAATGTCCCAGAAACATCCGCTTAGATTCTCTCAGGATCCTGTAATTACTTTTTATTCCTATTTCTATGAATGACAAATGAGGTCTGGTATAAATAAGTAATTATCAAATTGAAAGTAATAATTCTAAGGGCTATGAATAAACCCACAATTTTAAGATAATTGCTCTTTTCTCAAGACTTCTGACATTTCTAGAGAGTTGCGTAACATGAGAATTAATAAATTATATTTATCTACCAGCCTGCAGTCTGCATAAGCCATATTACCTTGAAATTGAGACTCTCATTTATGATGGTTTTCCGAAGTTTTGCCAAAGCGTCAGACTCTTCCGTGGCATTCACAAAGTGGTAATCTCGTATTGCAGGGAACCCTCGCTTATTCAAGAGCTCCTTGGTGATTTTGCTTATGCAGGCTTTGCGCTGCTTCTCATCAGAAACATCCAAATGCGTGCCAACAAGAATCACAGGGGATGAAGAAGCCCGAGCCTATAGGAAAAAGAAAGAAAGAAAACAATCTAATGTTTGCTTTAAAATGATATATCCTTATATTTCTGCTGAAATTTGTTTTGTATGAAATTCAGTTGAATGAAAATGAAAACCTAAAAAACATTAGAAGAAAACAATAACTGTTTTTCTTCTTGTTATGGTTTGAATGTATCCCCGAAAGTACATATATTGGAAATTTAATTCCCAAGACAGCAATGTTGAGAGATGACCGTTATGTAGGGATTAGGCCCTGAGGGCTCTTTCTTATCAGTGGACTCCAGTTGTCATTGCAGAAGTGGGCTCCTAATATGGTTCCCTCCTCTTGCCTTCTTCCCTGCACATATACCCTGTTGCCTGTCTGCCTTCTGCCATGGAATGACACAGCAAGAAGCCCTCATAAGATACCAACTCCTCCATCTTGGACTTGCCAGCATCCACAACTGTAAGAAATAAATCACTGTTCTTTATAAATTTCCCAGACTCAGTTCATCTGTTAAAGCAACACAAAATGGACCTAGACATTTCCTTAAACCTCAAAGAAAAAAAAAATGTGTCTTTAAGAAAAGCTTATAAATAATTTTATGTCCATTTTTAATACAATTCTTACCATTTTTTCAGGTGGCCTACATTAAAGTAGTAGTGTTATTTTTCTTTCCATTTTATTTCATGCTTAAAATGGGTTATTTGCTAAATGTGCTTCTAAATAAAAGCATTCAATAAATCCTCAAACTACATCAAAGTAATATAACATGGTTTATATTTTCTTTTCCATATTTGCCAATTTTATCTCCTGGATTCACTTAAAAGTCATTCAATCTGTAGTCTACCATGAAAGAAAAAAGTCACTAAGCAGGTATTACTGTCACTATAATATTTCCCACATCACTGTATGTGTAAATGAGAACAAAGTCAAGAAAAGAGAAGTTTCAAAAAATCACCCAGATTATAAAACAATTGCAAATGCAGTCCAGATCCATTTCCAAATGTTTGGACACAGGGTTCCAAAGGACTTCACGCTCACAGAGGAGCCCACTGGAGCATCATTCAATGAGCATGTACTCTTTCCATTTAAAAATAATATGATGGAAAACAGTGAATATAATTATTTTCAAGTTTAACAGCATAAAAGGACTCAGGAGCTGATAACATTCATCAAATGGAGCTCTTTATTGTCTCTTCATGACTTCACACTCCAAAAATTTTCCAACTCAAAATTTAGTGCTTCTGACCTAAAAAACAAAAACAAAAAGCAACACCCCCCCCCCAAAAAAAAAACCCTGCCTATTTGAAGAGATTGTTTGCCTAAAATAAATTACATTATACAAAGACCAGAAAACTGGGATTAAACATTTACCTTTATGTTGAAGAGCCAGGGCTTCATGGCGTCCACTTCAGCCTGCCCTTTGCTAAGGTCATAGACAGCGAGATACACTGCCCGTTGGGTCATGAAATGGGGATGAGTACTGTAGAATTCCTCACGACCTAAATGAAGATTAGAGAGGGGTTTGGTTTTGGTTAGGTTTGTTTTTTTTTTTTTTTTCAGTCTTCCAGGTAATAGGCAAGATTTTTTTTTTTATAAAAATGGTGGGAGGATAATACTATTGATCTTAAAAGAGAAAAACAACAGGTTATGTTTGGAAGGCTACGGTGGATTTTACCAGAGATAAACAACATTTAGTGTATGTATCCACTGACAATCAAGTAGTTAGCTTGAGCAGCCCCTATTGATTGAAATGATTTTGAAATAATTCCATAACTACTAGCTCTCTGCTGTACTTGAACAGAAAAGTCAAGTTTTTAAATTTCTGCTGTGAATAAATGATAAAAGTGAACAAATGAATACCTAGAAAAATAAATACCTGCAAAATCCCAAACGTTTAGAATGAGGTCTTTCTTCTTTTTGCCTCTTATTAGAATAGGCCAGTCTTTCACATCTATGCCAACCGTGGGCCCCTGCATTCCAAGATCTGATTTCTTGATTTTCATCAGTTGCTGCAATAAGGTGGTTTTACCACTCCCAGTATTTCCCACAATCATAAGTTTCATTCTGTTATAGGGCACAGCCTTTTTTAACCGCTGTTGAAGAAACCTGGTATTTGAAGAAAAATAAAATAATAAACTGCTTAATAATATATTTGGGATTTAGGAGGATTCTCAGACATTGAATATTTTGGAATATCAGTATGCAAAACCCTGCATAGTTCATATTACTAACAATGTAAATACCTTGCTGTGCATTATTAATATATATTTTTGTTAGTTATTTCAGAGTAGTTGATAAAGTTTGTAGCATTACCAAATATAACAGCATGTTACACTATCATCAGAAATAATAAAACACCAACACATTTGTAATACTAGTTAGAATGCAGTGTATATCCATACACACACATATACATATATATGTGTCATTGTGTGGATATCTGTGTATATGTGTACAATCTGAATTTAAATAGTACAATTATAATCCTAAATATGTAAAGTGTAAAAATTTTGTAATGCCCATATGGTTCAGAACAAAGGTAGAGTGTACTGCATACTGTATTGCATACTAAAGTTTGATAATGAGGTCATATTGGTTTTATGAGTATACATATATTATATATAGTATATATGATCTATATATATTTTTATATACAATGTATGTATATGTATAATGTATACAAATAAGGAGCTCCTATTGGTTACAGTATAAATGTATATATAAACTTTGACACTAATAGCATATATTAATATATTGCTATTACTAATAATCAATGTAAACATAACTGAAACAAACTAGAAGTGCTACATGTAAGCCAAACAAAACCACCTTTAAAATAATAGATTTAAAATGTTATCAAAAATATAATGAATACAGAAAGACATATTTGAAACTATGCTAAAATGTTGCTACAGTTTAAAATTAAATAATAAGCAAATTTTAGAGAATACTGACTGATCCATACCAATAACTAATATGACCAGGATTCCTGATGATATGATCAAAAGGCAACATTATTTTAATTGATTTATTAATTAAGAATTTGCCACTCTTTGAAAAAAAGTCAAAAAAGCAAATGATGCTTACAATTTATAAGCTATTCCAGGTATTTTGTCTTTTCTAAAATTGTTAAATGCATTTTTAAATATTTCATTATATGGTAGCTTGATAAAATATGGCATAATACATTGGAAACTAATTCTTCTAAATGTTTAGTAAGAATGAAACCAACTATTATGTAAGTGCCATTTCCAATTTCAGGAAGAGAAACAGGTAATCATGCAGGATGAAGGGTGGTTGTGTTAGGCAAAGAAGGTGACAAATACTTTTCTTTACAATTAAATCAAGCTCAGAAGTACAGAAAATTGAACCCTTCCTCATAGAAACAGACAAAAAAATTAAATATAGATTTAACAGAATTGAAGCAGTAGAGTATTGCTTAAGTGTAAAACACTTAAACCTTCTTGTAAACCAGGCTCTGTGTTGGGTGCCAGGAATCAAATAGAGAGTGTACAGGTCCTTGATCCCTGCCTTGGTGGGTACTACAGTCAAGGTAAGGATATACTGAGAGATGCTCATTGAGCTGAGGCCTGCAAGATAACTGGAGTCATTTTGTAGGAAAGGGAATAAAATATTTTATGAGGATCCAGTAATAAGACTAACAGGCTAAAAGAGAACAAAAGGTAGAATCAAATCTATTATCGAAGATATTTTAAGTTTAAAGACAGTAATATTTGCGAAGTTCAGGAAGCTTCAAAAACAATCAAGATGAGTAGGTTATTCATCCTCATAGGAAAATAAAAATTAATAATCTATCATGTCAGTAACTAAAATGCCATCGATTATAATAGACATGTTAACTATTATATGAAATGCAGTGTGAGCAGTTATTATTCTCTGCTGTATTTCTTTAGATTATATAATTGGTAACAAGAAACCAAATACATAGTAGTATCTATTTTCTGCTAGAATCCATTTCTACTGAACAGAATGGTAAGGAGAAGCCACTCTTTCAACATTGAAATGAAATTGGAATGAAAAGTCTTGGCAGTAGCACCATAACAACCCACCCATTAAATTAAAGGCAAATGGCACATAGAATATTAATGTCAAATAGTACTATTCATTTTTCCTAAATTGTAACATATATCCATCAAAATTACAGACTGAGGAAATCTGAGACAGAATTGATTTTAAAAAATAATATAGAATTATCTGACCTTATGATGTCTTTGGCTTTACATCCTATGTGTTTAAAATCAAAATTAAGACGCAATTCATCCAAAGGAAGATCCCATATTTTGCTTAATTTTCCCATCTCATTGGGAAAAGATCTCAGTTCCAAGTTGTAACTAACATCAAGAGATGTCAGATTTTCAAGACAGCCAATCTCAGGAGGAATCTTAATGAAATAAAAAAGGGCAAAACCTGTTGGTGGGAAGGAAGAGATGTACACTGGCAGGAAACAAGAAAAATCCCAAGATTCCATCAGCGACTTGCACAACCTTTCAACAGAGCTTGAAAACGCTCCAAAGGCTTGTCTTAAGTGTCCCGTATCCAGGTTATAAAAACAAAAACATCCACGTAAAGAACTCAGCCCCAATCTATGCAACTTACTTCTAACATTCAAAACCCAATCTCCCTTAGGGGATCATCTCCTCACAACAGTGGAAGTAAAGAATTTTTTTATAGTTATCCAAATCCACTATCTGTGGCTTCCAGACTGCCTATGTTCTTTAGGAAACGTTGAAGAAAAATTCATTACAAACGTAACATGGAATGTGTTGTTGTTAAGTTACAACCAAATGTTGATACTTTAGATAGCAACCTAATTGGAGTAGGGTTTTTTTGTTTTCCTATTCCAAATTTTTAAGCAGTCTATATTACATTTATGACAGAAAACATTCACTGGTTGGCAAAAAATCAGGTATTAAAAATAAAAGTATTCAGTTATTCTGAACCTTTAGTATAAGACTCTTTTTTGTTGTTGTTTGTTTTTATAGGAAGTAGGTTTGAACTTGACAAGAAAAAATATTTTCTGAGACATGTGTATAATCAGCTTCAGATTTATAACAAAGGAAACAGATCAAAGCAAAGGAGGCTAGTCTATTTTGTTGAGAGGTAGCACAGTGGAGGAAAGCAGAAATTTTAGAAGAGAGGAAAGAAAATCTGTAAAAACACAGGCTATATATAGCTAAGTTGCACCTGGAAAAATGTACAGTAACTGAGATTCGGCTCACAGTAAAAATGTAGTGACACAAAGACACTTGTATCATTACATGCATTCATAAATAATAGCGCATATTCGTGTAACTCTTAAAAATATAGCACAAAAATTAATTTTTTAAAAAATCAAGGCATATTATTACATTTATTTACCACAGGGTATGATTACATCTTACATCTAAAGTAAAAAAAATATCAAATAACAGATTTTAAAACAATAATTTGCAATAATGCAAATTACAAAACATACTTTAAAATTGTCAATAATATTAAATAAAGTTTCTTACCTCTTTCAATTTATTATGAGAAAGATGTAGTTTCTCTACTCTAGACCATGTGTATGCTTTCTCACTCAAGTCCAAGATGCTGATCTGATTATAGCTAAATAAAAGTTCCCTTAAGTTCAAAGATTTCCAGTGTGCAGGACCTGGCAGACATTCAATATCATTGCTGCTCATATCTAAGGACCGCAAGCTAAAACAATACAATTTAGATGAAAATCAAATGAAGGTTTCCAAAATACATGGAATAAAATTACAAGTAATTTTCATCAAACTGAATATAAGGAGTAAGTTTAAAAATAACATTATTTACACATAAATATGCATGTAAATTTGTGTACACATATAGGCATACATGGGTTGGAAAAAAAGGTATGATTTACTGGGAAGGAAACTGATGTAAGGACCATTAAAAATTGATTCTCTTGCACAGCAGGGTGACTATAGATAACAATAGTGTATTTTTTGAAAAATAAAAAAGCTGCAAGAAAGGAGTTTGAATGCTTTCACCATAAATAAATAATCATTTGAGGAGATAGATATATTTACCCTGATTGAACATTAAATGATGTCTATACTATTGAAATATCACATGGCACACCATAAGGTGTGGGGGGGTTGGGGATAGTTAAAGATTTTTTTGTAAAGAAAGAAAAAAAAATTGAAGTCAAATTTTCCTACTTCAGGTACATAAAAATGTCAATAATCTCGGAATGAGGAAAAGTCCCCATGTTTTACAAATGGGGTACATGAGATACCACGTTTAACACTTGAAAATGGCCATTAAAATTTCTGCCTTTTATACAAGGTTTACAAATGTGTAGCCCCTATTTATCATTTATATGGGATGGTTTTCACTCATTATCGAGGAGTTTCTTCCTAGGTTGAGTACTAGAGTCAATTATTGTTGAATATGGGTGTAGCTTCTTACCAGCTTATGTCAGTGTGGTAATTATCACAGCGCTGAGCGGGGACTTGGCATGTAATAGGCCCCCCATGCAAACTGATTGTTTTCATGCTGGAGTGTTACACCAGGAAATAGCAAAAAACACATCACACATGAGCGTGTGAGTGTAGGAAGAAAAGAAAGTCAAGGGCTGTGGTATATTTGACTATTCTAAAGACTACCTGGACTTTTACAACACATACTGACCACTTTTCCTCAGCGTATTTGAAAATTAAAGAATTAATTCTAAGCTCACATAGTAATTCATCCTGATAGACTAAAGTTCAGGTCTATACAGTGCTCTTATGTCAAAATGTTACTATATTTTGTCCTCATCATCTTCTTAAAATGCATGGAAAACAAGAAAAGGAATTTGACTATATTAGAGATGAAACTTTCCTGTCAGACAAGCAATGCAATTGAGACAAAGCTGAGAATCACTAGGTTTTCCTGAAGCACTGCCTCAGTAGCCTCAGCTAGGACTTGAACTGGCCAAATGCATGTGTGTTTGCAAAACCCAAGAAATGCATCCATTTGATGAAAACCTAAGTCTGAGTATGGTACCTAAGGAATAATTGTAATAGGGACTGGATAACATCTTTGGTTCCCTGGGAGGAAACTTTCTTTATGGCATTTTATCTCTTAGCCAAATATCATAAATATGTGGCTTTCACACATATTTTTAGGAGAATACTGTATTTAATTACACAGGACCACCTCCATGCAATAGGTGCTCCCATGTTAGAGTAGATAGGCTAACGCTGATACAACCACTGTTTAAGAACTATGACTCTGGGGAAGTACCTTATCTGTCTACTGAGTTTAAAAAGTGGAGATAATAACAATAGTGATCTTATGGGATTATTAGGAAGATTAAACACATGGCCTACTATAGAACAGTTAGGATAGTGCCTGGCATATTCTAAGCTAAATTTAAGTATTTTATGTTCACCTGACACCTTCTATGACTAGATTATAAGAAGCATGATTTGTCCACATATGTATATATGTATATATTTACATATTTGGTTTATAATGTGTGACACAATAGTATTTAAAATGACAACACATTTGAGATGTAATCAGTGCCTGAATCTATAGTTAACAGAAAGTTTTCATTTCCAATGAAATTAACCAAATCCCCCCCACATAGATATAAAAAAATTATCCAAACGTCAAAAATGTCATTCAAACATATTTTAGGTATGACTTCAAAGTTAGTAGTATTTTGGCAACATATCAACCTCTGAAAGCAACTGAAATTTTGAAATTTCATTTGAATACAATAATGTAGCAACTAATTAAACAACCTTAAATTGTTTCTAGAAAATAACCCAATAAATTAATATAAAAGTTTAAAGACTTGGATATTTTGTCTAGTGAAAGTAAAACATATACACATACAAAAACCTTAAACCAAGTAGTTTAGAAATGAATTAAATTCATATGCCAAAATCAAAACCATGTTTCTAAAGGTTCTGTTCTGTCTCATGTGGTTTTAAAATTAAAATAATAAACTTACTGTGGTAGATTTAAAATTGCATCTGGAATACATGTAAATTTGTTTTGAGATAATTTTAGGCTTGTTATAGAAGAAGGCAAGAAAGGCATAGCAGCTAAAATAAAATAAAAATGAGATAATGAACATTTTAATCATTAACCATATTTCTATTAAATTCAATAAGAACATCTACCAATGACATCACTATTTAATTTCCATTTTACACCATCAGTACTAAAACATTTACTTTAAAAGTAAGGTAATATCTTTAACATTTATGCCAAACAATAAAACAATACATACTGATCAGAATTTTTAGTCTATAAGCTTTTAAATTACTGTATAAATATAAACTCATGGATCCCACAATTGTAAGGTAAAAATTAAATTACTCTTAAGTAACCAAAACAAAACACATTTGAACACTTTGCTAATACAAAGTACAGTATAAAAATAGAAATTATTCATGGTACCATCTGAAAAAGAGTTCCTATACGTCCTAAAGCACATGAAACCAAGAATTAATAATTGGGACAGCATCAAATTTAAAGGCTTATGCATAGTAAAGGAAACAAGAGTGTGAAGAGAGAGTCTGCAGAATGGGAGATCTTTTCCACTGCTCCTCAGGTAGGACATTAATATCCAGAATATATAGATTTCAAAAAACTTAAAACAAAAAAAAAAACACAATTAATAAATGGCCAAAAGAACTAAACAGACACTTATCAAAATAAGAAATACAAATGGCCCATATATGAAAAAATATTCAACATCTTTCTGTTGAGATCTCATCTCACTCAGAATGATAATTATCAAAAATACAAATAATAATAAATGATGGCAAGGATGTGGGGGGATAGGACTGCAAATTAAACCCATTCTGGAAAGTAGTATAGAGATGCCTCAAAAACTAGAAATGGAACCTCCATACGACCAACCCAGCTATCCCACAAAAGATCTAAAACCAACATCTATAGGGATGCAGCCACATCAATGTTTATAGCAGCACAATTCACCATAGCAGAGCTATGGAATTAGCCTAGGTGCTCAATGGAACAAGAAAATGTGATCTTTGCCACTGCTCCTCAGGTAGGACATTAATATCCAGAGTATATAAATATTATATATTATAAATATATATATACATATATGTAAAAGGGAGTTTTACTCAGCCAGAGAGAAGAATGAAATCATGTCATTTGCTAGTAAATAGATGGAAATTGAGAACATCATGCTAAGTAAAATAAGTCACTGCGAATGTTTTTGAATGTTTTCTCTCATATTCAGAAGCTAGACAAAAATAGGAGGGAAAAAAAGGGGGGGTACCTTGAAAATAGTCAAGAGATCAGTGACGTAGGGGAAGGGGCTTGAGGGAGAGGGAGGAGAAATGGGAAAGGGGAGGAATTGCTGAAAGAAATGACCAATTATCCCATGTACATATATAAATATACCACAGTAATTTCACAGTTATGTATATCCATAATTTTTTTTAAAAAACTATAAATAAATATGAGAAAGATCAGTAGAGGAAAGGGAACAGAGAGGGAGGAAGGGAGGGAAAGGGGAAGTACTGGGGACTGAATTAGAGCAAATTATCACTCAATTGTTGTATAATTGTGTCAAATGAACTATGATATTATGCATATCTATAATAATCTAGTAAAAAAGTGCTTTATGGAAAAATAAAGAAGGTTACTTAATAAAAGTATCATTTGATCACATGATCTTATGAGATTTGGGAAACATTATGTAAAATAGAGTATCTCAGAATTCTCACTATTACAGCATATTTGATAATTTTTCAAGAGGGAAATACAACTTAAGTTACCTCCAGGAATAAAGGCATGTGGAACACAATTTGGAAAACTGAGCAAATCAGACAGCCTGTTCTCTCATCTGTGAAACAGTGCAGTCAGACCAGAGGAACTCATAACATCTAGAATCTTAATTCTAGATGTTTTAGTTCTACAAATTTATGGTTCTATGAAAATGGCTTGAGAAATTATTTCTTAGGATTTTCAAGGGTAAAATATGGGTTATATTTTATCTAAAAAATCTTTAAAGGTCAAAATGTTCTAAGACATTTTCAGAAGCTATTTTCCTGAGGAGCAAAGCAATACAAATTGTACCTCACCTGTTTACAAAATGTAGTTGTGACAAAATGAATAAATAGAAATGACTCTCTACTAAAAATTAAAAGTCGTGTGGTTCAGATGCTATGTATGTGGAAAATACTCCACATCAAAGAACTGAAAATTCATTTCACATGGGATTATTTTTAAAGGTTAGTGGCCTCACTCAGATGCCCTCCTTTGGTCATTTTCTAAACATAAGACCACTTTGCAAACCATTAAGGTTGTATAGTTCTGTTATATCCTGGATTTCCAATATCCCCCAAAGACCCATTTGTTGAAGGCTTGGTCCCCAGCCCGTGGCACTATTGGGAGTTGGTGGAACCTCTAGTAAGTAGGGCTTGCCTCTGAAGGGCATATAGGAACCCTACCTAGGCCCTTTTGCTCTCTCTTCACTTTCCACCACCATGAGACAGGCAGCCACCTCTACCACCTCTACATGCACCCACCTTTCTATGCTGCACTACTATAGGCCCAAAGAAAAAGAGCCAATTGATTATGAACTGGAATCTCTGAAACTGTGACCCAGTTTCAGATTCATGATAAGAATATGGTCAATACTCAGAATAGTGTGAGAATAAGAGGAACATTTTGAAAAAGGAGGGAAATATTATGCAAAGTAAAATGACTTTTATAATCACTAACTTCTGAAAGTTCTGACAAATGAGAACATTTTGAAACAGATACTCAAACTCTATTCTGCTATTAAACAGTGTTAAGAATTTCTCTTACTGAGTTGGCTGTTTAATAATCACAAGAGTGAAAAAATCATGCCATCCTCATTATAATAAAAAATGGGGAATACTTATGTATTGCCATAAATGTATTTTGTCCCATAATATTAGAACACTCAGCTAGAATCCAAATGAACATAATACCCTGTATTAACTGACACTCTAAGTTAGGATGTTCTCCAACTTTCAATCGAGATAATGATCACATTGAATATTGGAGTAGTGTCCTACAAAAAGCAAGAACTGAACTGGACATGCATTGACTTTACTAATTTGAAAACCATTAAGTTTTATTTCTTAAAACAGCAGCAGTAATAGAATTGCACTTATAATCCCCCAAACTTGCTAAAGAAACTTCAGTAGGAAACTCAATACCCCATGAGGATGCTTCACTCAGCTCAGACGGACAGGTGCATATTTTGTTTAGACCAAAAGGAACCACAGTGTAATTACTATTTTAAGCCAAGTAACTATCTTTTTTGCTTATGACAACAGTGACATGCTAATTATCGTTTAATTGGAGATATTTTTACAGAACTTTTTTAGAGAAGCTTTAGGTTTACAGAAAATTTAATGGAAAACACAGTTTCCATATACACCTTCTCCCCTCAACACCACCTCCACCTCCCCACATGCTTTCCCCCTGGCATTAACAACTTGCATTAGTTTGGCATATTTATGACATCATGACCGCTCAATGTTTGTGGTCTACTTTAGGATTCACTCCTTATATTATGGATTTTATGGATTTTGACAAAGTACATAACTTGTGCCCACCATTATATCATCACATAGGGTAGCTTCGCTGCCCTGAAAATCCTCTGTGTGGCACCTAGTGATTCCTCCCTCCTTCTAAATCACTGGTAACCACTGTTCTTTTTTCCTGTCCCCATAGTTTTGCCTTTTCCAGATCATCTGATAAATGGCATCAAACAGTATGTGACCTTTTCAGATTGGCTTCTTTCACTTAAATATATATTTAAATTCCCTCTATGTCTTTTCATGGTTGGATATCTCTTTATTTTTTACTATCAATTTGCTAACTTTATTTATGAAACAGCACCCTTAAATTCCCTCCTAAAATATCCATACATGACACATCCTTCAAAGTTCTGGTAAGGAGGAGGCCCACACTGAACACTTACCAAGACAGTTCATTCTGGCACTGAAACTCTCCACTTTTGGAGAAGCCTCAAGAAAGTTCTCTGGTAGAGATGAAATTTGGTTTTTACTAAGGTTTAAAGTCTTTAGTTCCTTCAGGCTCATAGGGGAACATATCCCTGATATTTTATTTCTAGTTATAAAAAACAAAAATGAGGATTAAATTTCGTAAATTCATAAGCTAGCATGGGAAAAAAACAATTTTCCTTCAAACAATAGCATTAAAGCATATTATATTCATTTTAAAATAGGTTGTGAAAACAAGTCAACCAATAAAAACTGTAATGATGATTGCCTCAGTCTTTTACTACATTTTTGTTTAAAACTCATTGCAATGGAAATGTAAGCATATATTACAAATCCTAGAAAGTACCCTCATTGTTATGCAAAATTACATATAAGAGGTTGTGAGGGGAATGGGAAAAAAACAAGGAGAGAAATGAATTACAGTAGATGGGGTAGAGAGAGAAGATGAGAGGGGAGGGGAGGGGGGATAGTAGAGGATAGGAAAGGTAGCAGAATACAACAGTTACTAATACGGCATTATGTAAAAATGTGGATGTATAACCGATGTGATTCTGCAATCTGTATTGGGGGTAAAAATGGGAGTTCATAACCCACTTGAATCTAATGTATGAAATATGATATGTCAAGAGCTTTGTAATGTTTTGAAGAACCAATTAAAAAATAAATAAATAAAGGTAATGCAACCCTGCTATCTTTAATGAATCGTCTTCTTACCCTTCTAAAATGAGCTGTTCAAGTTTCTCCACCACATTCGAGAGGTTCTCAGGAACAGCAGAAAGCTGGTTATAAGACAGGTTAAACTGCTTCAGCGATGGGCACTTCACTGCAGGATCCAAAACTACCAGGGGTCCGATGTCATTACGAGAGACATCAAGGTTGAGGATACAATTCATTTTCAACAAGTAAGAGGGAAATGATGTAAATTTATTACTGTGCAAATCCAAATGTGTCAAACACTTCAGAGTCTGAAAAGACAATATTTTTAAAATTCTAAAATGAACCATCTGAGAAACTTAAGTTTGGCTACTATTTCTGCTTTCATATCTCTGGTAACTGGAACCATCAGAACATTTTTTTAAATTAAAAACACAAGTTACAGCAGAATTTCAGTAAAAATACTTACTGGTCCAACCGTCTCCATTATAGCAAGAGTAAGATCAGGAAAAATACAATAGTTATTCTGTCAAAAGCAGGATCATAATAACAGAATCGAGACTGTAATTCAACTTTTTTTGTAAATTATTTCTGCAAAGAGCAAGAGGGAAGCAAACTAGGCCTCCACAAATATTTGAATTCATGATTTAATGAATAAACAACATGATCCTAGGAAAACATTTTTAAAAATACTACCTTTTAGAAAATGTTACACATTTTAAAACAAATAATAATAGTTACATATGAATACACATTTCATTTTAGAACTTCCTCTTATTTACTGAACTTTGTTTCAGATCTCCAGTTTCTATTTCTAAGCAATTTCTAGTTTTTCAACGATAATAGTAAGCCTGTATTTACATACTATGTCAATTTAAAAAAATTTAGGTTTAGTTTTCTATCAAAGGGCTGAAATACCTAGAACAAATCACATCTCTGTGCTCCTCTTTGTATATCAATTTGTTTTTCCTCACAAGGAATTCTAGAGTTTGATGTGATTACAGCAACTTATTAATGGCTTCACCCCAGCTCCTTTAAGATTCCTGCCTTTATTTATTCAGAAGAAAAGAATTTTTAATTACTTACTCCCAAGTTTAAATTGGAAAATTTTCTTGTGAAAAGATACAACTGAGACCTTGCAGGCAGTCACAAAAAGTGCCTTCCACTGGTGTTATTTGAGAGAGGTTCTGAGCTGGTCTAGGCATTGAATGCCTTAATATGTCTATTTTCTCATGCTCTCTTCAAATTCTCTTTACCTAGGCCCAATTCTCCTCTTCTTTTACTTGCTCATGTAACAAATATTATTGAAGGCTTATCCGATGTCAGCCATTAATTCCTCCATAAACTAATTCAGTGCATATCTATTGAGCCTCTCGCGTATCAGGCTTTGGGAGGCTTTGGGGATAGAGAGCCACAAAGCTGAAACAATCCCTGTCTCCAGCAGTTCATAGTTCAGGGAGGGCAAAATACATTAAATCAAAATGTATGAGTGAATGAGAATTGAAGGAATACATGGCGTCAGTGTAAACCAGGTGAGCAAACAACATAGTCTTGAGAAAGGGCACAGAAAAGAGAAGCACAGGGTGAAGAGGTGACATTTAAAGTGAAACCAGGGTGACTTGAAGAGTTCAGCCCCAGCCAAAGAGAGGAGAAAAAGAAAATACATTTTAGATACAGGGATCGGGGTAGAAGGGTCACCTTTCATTCTTTTATCTCTTCCTATAGATCTCTAGACTGTAAGAGAAAGACCATTTAAATACACTTAAATACACATGTAAGTTTGCTTTTAAAATCTCTCAAAATTATGAAGTTCAATTGAATGGAAAAATAAGAAATTAATTTTCAACAAAACTGGTTTTAAGAAAATAGGTATAATTCTTTATCACATTTTGCAATTCAGTTCAAGAATTCAGTCTGTATTAAGATCATTTTAATTAACCATGGTATGTCCTTTGGCTTTAAAAACTATTCCGATCCAGAGTATATAAAAGTATTAAGCAAAGTCAATATGCAGAAGACTACCTTATCAATCAACTATGTCATACTATAACTCATACAAAATAGGAACTTTATGTAAAAAGATGAATTTTAAGTTATATATAATATTAAAACTAAAAAAATTGCCATCATAATCATTTAGTTGAATCCCTATATTTTACTGATGAGGAGATGATGGTTTAGTGCAGGCTGAGTGACAAATTATTATCACACAGCTGGTAGCTAAGTCCAAATCAATGCTACCAAACCCGGTTTAATTCTAGTCTACCCAATGCATTTTTAAAAGAATAAGTTATCTTCTTAGAATTAAATAACTGAAGGCATAATCCACATACAAGCTTGATACTATAATGTGGACACTGCATCATCAGATCAGAACCTGGAGCTTCTTTTCAGCCAGGTCTGTATTTCCATTGCCTGCCCTCCAAGATGTCCCTAAACACCACACAGACTAAGACAACTCCATGGAAACTAGAAGAATTGGGGAATTATTGTCCAATAACAAAACATAGAGCCTGCTTGAGAAAGATTTAACCACGAGAGTTAAAAATCAATGCAATATCACTTGCTGTGTCCTGTGAGTTATAAGGATGAATTAAATTTACTTCACATAGCTGCTGTGGGAAGCTCGTGAGTGCATTCTGGTGAAGCTCCAGCTTTTCAAGATGCTCCAAATGGCCACTTATACAGCATTTCTGGCTCAGGGCATCAATATCTCTGAGTTCATTTGCTGAAAGGTCTAATGATGTAATATATTCTCTCTCAGAAGCCAGGGAAGAAATGCTGTCTGAATGCCTCATATGGGACTGAAGTTTTGATGACCCTTTGTCAAAAACAAACAAACAATGGATTGTAAGCAAACGATTTTAATTCACGTGGTAAAAGTTTACTGAGCACCTATTAGTGTAAGGCTGTCTTCAAGGCACTGGAGATTCAGTAGAAAATCAACCTATGGAGATTGTATCTCAGTAACAAAGACAGACAGTAAATTAAAAAAACAAACAAAAACTGGAGAAGGAAATGAAGAGTGGCCTTTGCAGTGGTATTATTTAGATTTCAGAAAACTCATAAAAAGGTAAATATTCAATAATATTCATAAAAGGTAATTTTTAAAATTTATAACTATTTCATTTTTCTATAGCCCGTGGAATCATTAAGTGACTCACATATATAAAATTTATGTGAGATGAACTTGGCACCAAGAAATTTGAAGTAATCAGAGAAAATTTAACAAGGCACTGTATTTTGCTCAAAATATCTACTTACTTTTGATTACTTCCAAATACTTACTGAGTGAATCATCTGAAGAAAATATTTTTCTTTTTCGCCTCAGTAAGTCTTCATGATCAAAAATAGGCCCCTAATAAACAAATAATGATGTTTATAATAAAATTGCAATCAGGTTTTTTTAGAAGAGAATCTTTTTATATGCAAACAACTTTGAAATTTTAATGGAATAAATGGCATTTATAATCATGGGGAAAATATAGGTATAACTAAAAACTAAGAGCCCCATCATGAAGATAAAAGAAAACATTTTAGTGTCAAAATTACCTTAGAAAGCATCTACTCTTTCTCCTGTGCTTTAACTATAAGGAAACTTAAAGGCAGAAAGATTGAGTCAGAAAACTATATACATAGAATTTCTTTCACCAACCAAACTGCTTGTTCTAACTAAGCTACTTATAAATTAGATCTGGGGTGTATAAACACTGTGGCCTAATTGAACTGTACAGTTATAAGCATTCATTTTGCCTATCTTAAGATCCAGAATGAACATTAAAAAAAACTCCCATATTTTAATACTAATTACAATCAAGATTAGAGCTTAGGTTAGCATATATCTTTCAAATTGAAACTGAAAATACAGTGACTCCCAACTTTCCCAACTAGAATTGTCAAACTTCCCAGGTAAATGTGCCATAGAGCTTCCATAGTTGCTAAACAGACAAGGAATAATGTTTCTAAAACTTAAATGATTCTCAATACACACACACACACACACACAAATCACATGTTGATGAACATCATTATCATGCTTCTCTATTTTGATCATTGTTCTTCAGGCTGCTCTCTGATACCTTAGAAATCACTATAAGATTTCTAGTTAAAGTTGTCATAGGACACCATTAGGCAAAGACCTGATAGTATTTAGAAAAAGAACCTGAGCTCTATAGAAAAAATATACCTCAGTGGTAGAACACCTGCCAGAAGTGAGGCCCTTGGGTTCAATTCCCAGCATGGCAAAAAAAAAAAAAAAAAGAAGGATAAAACCATATTTAACTATACTCCAAAATTACATACACAACTAAATATATTCAAAGTTTATACACTTAAAAAATCTACAAATGTGAGGTTGGGGTTGTGGCTCAGTAGTAGAGTGCTCGCCTAGCACATGGGAGGCACTGGATTCAAACCTAAGCACCATATATAAATGAAATAAAGACATTGTGTCCACCTATAACTAAAAAATAAGTATTTGAGAAAAATCTAAAAATGTAAATTGAAAAAATAATTTATGTCTAATATATTTTTCATATATCAGGGAATTCTACACTAATCACTTCTAGCTTTGTCACAAACTTTAGTTATCAAGAGACTGTCACTAGCCAAACACAACACAATCTCAATTTAACTTACCAATGAATTAGAATGTCTTTGCAAATTTGGTGAGCAACGCTGCAACGGGACAGGATCACGGTAGAATTCTCCTACACTAATCGAATTTGATTTCTTTTTCACAAGAAATGAACCTTCACTTCCTAATGTGAAATGATAAAATAATATGAAAGTGAGTAAGAAAAGCTAACTCAATCATAAGAGTAAATGTATTTTCATTAATGGAAATCTCAGAATCAATTCCCTTTGCAATATCTTTAAACTGAAAATGATAAACTATGTTGGCTTTTCATTTTAAAAATTCAACCATATTTTTCTTCATCAATGAATATCTATTGAATGACTGTCACAGACTAGACATTGAGCAAGTGCTGGATAATGATAAGTGGGAAAAAATTAATTCTTGCCTCAGAGAAGCTCAAAGCCCAGAAGGAATAAGACATGGAAATCTATGGGTACCCATACTATGCCAAATACAAGTGTGGATAGGAAGCAGAAAAAGTTTCTACACAAATCTTATCAATATTATTCTTTTCCAATTCTCTGAATTTTTCTTATGAATTTTTAAAAACTGGCTTTAAATACTGAAATCACACTTTAAATTATTTAACATTCATTAGTCCTGTTTATAATGCTACCTGAATCTCATATTTCATTGTTTCTCTTGTGGAATGACATTAAAATAAACAATGAGTTTAGCTGGCATTTACCTTTTAATTAATTTTTTTGTTTCAGAATTGGTTGTTGGGCTTAGGACTTTACATATGCCAAGCAAGGACTCTACCACTGAACTACATCCCCAACCTATTTACAATAAATATTTTGTAAAATAAGAGATAAGAAATACTTTTTAAATTATGAATTTTCAAAAAAATAGAGATATAGAAATCATAGTCTCAGAAAGCGTGTAATACAAAACATTGCTAAGAGAAATTTTAAGATAATTAATAGAAATACATACTACATGTATAAATGAAAAGATTCATTTAAATGAAAAGATTCATATTAAGATATCAATTCTTCTAAATGTATTTATAGATTTCATCTACACAAATAATTATTGTATTTTAATTCTATATTTTTGACATTATTTAAGTATACATCATTTATGAATTAATTCTGTATTAAAATTTTATATACATTAATCCCAATAAAAACCTCAGCATAAAATTAATTGATTCAAGTTATATGTTGAAAAGCAAAAAAGCTAAAACAGCATGAAAAATTTTCAAAAAGGAATACCAGCAAACTTATACTACCTGATTTTAAGAACTTCTATTAAAAAAATAATCAAGACAATGAGGTATTGGCAAAAAGATAAAAATATAGGCCAATCAAATGGAATAAATTATTCTTAAATAGAACCTTACTTTTTGATCAATTAAGTTGAACGAGGTTACCATTAATTCAATGAGGAATTACAGTACTTTCAAAAAGTGATGTTGGAACACATAGATATCTACACAGAAAAAAAAAATGTAAACCATTCAATTGACATTCTCTTGATAATAATGTCATTGTTATGTGTTAATCACAAATAAAAATCAATTTGTGATGGTTTGTAGACCTACACATTTAAAGAACTAGGATGCTATCACTTCTAAAAAGAAATAGAGAAAAAATTTTTCAAAAATTCAGGCTAGGAAAATATGTCTTAAAAGAGAGAGAAAAAAATTCAAACCATTAAAAAAACTTGAAACATACCTTGCAAAATTAAAATCTCTTCTCTTTGAAAAATACCATTAATAAAATAAGAGAAAAGATATGACATGAAGAAAATATTTGCAATACATACACCTGCTGTGACTTCTACCCAGAACACAAAATAACTCTTATAATATAGTAAGACAACAACCCAAGTAAGAGAAAAAATTTTAGGGATTTTTTACAAAAAAAATATATGAGTAGCCAATAAGAACATGAAAATATCCTGAATATCATTGATCTTTGAGGCAATGAAAATGAAACCAAATGAGTTACCTCCTCTAGAATGGCTAAAATTAAATTAGCTGACAATATTAAGCATTAACCAGACAGTAGAACAACTAGAATTTTCATGTATTGTCGGTGAGGGTATAACATGATATGAACTCTGGAAAACAGTCAGACACAGAAGAGTACATGCTGTATGATTCTTTTATATGAAACTGGAAAAAACATTAATGTAACCTATAATAACAGAAAGGAGATAAGTGCTTGCCAAGAGTCAAGGTAGAAGGGTATTTTCCATGAAAACATAGGAAGGATTTCTTTTGGATGGCAGAAATGCTGCATAACTTGATAATAGTAATGATTACATGGATGTATAAGTTTCCAAAGCCCATGAAATATACACTTATAAGAATGCATTTTAATTTATATAAATAATATTCCAGGAAAACTGATTTACCAAAAAAATACTTGGACTTGAAACATGATATTTTGGAAAAAATTTTGTTTTTTGTTTCCCCCAAATAACTTTATTTTACCACCCAAAGTTTTCAGTCATACAATGTTAACTTTGAAAAAAAAAAAAACTTGCCCCATTTTTGCTAAATTGTATTTTATTAAATGTTAGCCATAATTACTATCACTACATATTTGCTATGTCATCTTTTTAAAAGTTATGACAAGTAAACTATCAAAATATTAATATTGTTTTTAATTATTATAAAAGTTAAAAGTATTTTTTTTTTACTCAGTGCTTCCTATTTTCCAAGCATGATCTAAACACTTAACATAACTTTTGAATTCCTATGTATATCCATGGAAGGTTGGTATCACTACCTTTAACAAAGTTAAGGAACTACAAAAAGATCTCATTAAGACCTTATCTCAAAATTAAAAAGCACTCATTTAAAGAGAGAACATGGAATGTAGTTCCAGCCTAAGTCAATGTGAGTTGCCATTGGCTGATGGAAGTGCAAAAAGAGACACAACTTCCTGAGCCATTGCTTTTACTTAAATTAGGAGGTGAAACTGTTCCTGCTAATGAACACATTTTTACTCCAGTTTTTCCAGATAAATTTGATCAGGTTTAAGTCTCTCTCAGTCCTCATTGTTCAATGCACTGTGTATGGGTAAACCATAAAGGGAACTGTGATTTATAATAAATACCTTCACTGTCCAGATCATCACTTTGACCAAATACACTGTCCATAGAAGAATCCGGAATAAAGGTCCATTCATCAAATTTATCAAGTACATCCTCAGAAAAATTTCCAACACTGCCTGAAGCTGCTCCTTCTTCCACAGCACTTTTCATCTGATATCTGAGCACCATTCTTGCTAGTATAGATCCTATATCTAAAAATAAAGAAATATACCAGTACCTTATAAATCAACAATAAACATGTACATACATCTTACCAAACAAACATATCTTACCAAAGTTGTTTATATTTTCATTCTTTTGGGGGGATGGGGGAATTGGGATCAAACCTAGAGGCACTTTACCGCTGAGATACATCCCCAGTGCTTTTCAATTTTTTATTTTGAGACAAGGTATTACTAAGTTGCTTAGGGCCCTGCTAAGTTGCTCAGGCTGAGGCTGGCCTTGAATGGAGAATCTCCTATTCTTCCTTCCAAAGTCACTTTAAAATACATAGTAAAACTGAATGATTACCAGATGGCAAATTAAATTTTTTAAAAATCATTTACCCAAAGCTTTGGTATATATAACAAAACTGAATCTGTATGAAACTAACTTGATCCAGGAAAGGGCCTGGGCTTTGAAGCCACATAAACCTGTGTTCAAATCTTAGGAATGCCATTTGCAAATTATATAAGCTCTCTGAGTATCCATCTCCTCACCTGAAAAAGCAAAGATGACAACATATTCAGGACAGGGCTATAGAAAAGATTAACTGAAATAATGCATATAAATATTTAGCACAAAGTCTAGAATATAGAAGATACTGGATCAATGATAGAGCTGTTCATATAAATTTTGCTGAGTGATTCATTCTATCAGAAACTTTGATGGAATTTCAAAGTTAACATTCTTCTTGAAATTTCATTACATTTTCTATTATGCTCTATTACGAAAAATTAAGTTTGCAAAGCCCTCATTGCTCTATACATAGCCTAGAAGATTTCTTCAAATATTACTCTCTCTTAGCTCACATTATATGTATGACATGTGACTCAATCAAGTAGTATCTGAAAATGCTTTAAAACTATGAATCCAAATGTTCCTTATTTAGACCAGCTGCCAATGAAATTGTGGCTATGCCCTCCAATCAATCAAATGACATGTTTATATTTTTCTAATTACATAAAAACTGTCAATGGTAAGAATTTCATAAGAACAAACAGAATACAGTGAATGGGAACTCTCCATCCAGGACTACAATTCCCCTCCATCAGAATATAAGCAAGTTGTTCATGAGACCCAAGTGATGAAATATGGTACCTCATTATATTTCATTAATTTAAAAAGTCCCCAGAAGCAGCTAGGGATGCATTCATAAATTTTTCTTCTTGACACAGTGTCCCCATATTTACATATTGGAGACTCTCATACCTCAATTGAGTTTTCAGCAATATTAGTATGTTAAAAATGCTGTTCTGTGCCCCTTTTTTCTCACCTAATAATGCATTTCCTGTCAGACATTTAGGTTTGCCACATATTTTTCCCAATGATTGCAAAACATTCTACTTCATGAATCTACCATGATTTATTTTATTTATTTGAACAGTTCCTTCTGGTTCTGCTTAGGATTTTTTCACCTAATAGATTTTGGTCTGCTATTATAAACAATGTTTTAATGTGCATCCTTTTACTGGCTCACTTGTGCACACTGAGAATCTCTGTGTTATGGATTCCTAATGGTATATTTCTGGGTCAAGAAAACATGTGTCACCACATATATGTGTAATTTTATGTATTTTAAAAAAATTATAATGTGTGTGTACACTAAAAATAGCAATATATATTGCCAAATATCCTCAAAAGAGGACAATTAAAATTCTTGGCCAAGAGTGTGTAAATGCTTGTTTCCACTGATGGTTTACAACACTATGTATTAACAACTCTTTACTTTTACCAATATTATAAATATTAAATGAATATTTATTATGTGCAAAGTACATGCTAAGGTTACAATAGCAGACAAATTTGACATTCATTTTGTGATGTTTATAATATAGATTATAAAAAGAAAAACTATGATTATACAATGTGATAAGTACTAGTATAGGTGAGAATTAGGGTGCCATGGGAATATGCAGGAAGAGCTTCCCCAAGACTTCACAGGGTTGAAATATCTTGGTAAAAAGTGACAAAGTTATTGAGGCAGGAAAAATGAAGAAAGTGGTTAAGGGAGGGAAGTAGAAAGAATAACATTGGAAAAAAACCTGGATAGAGTATATGAAACATGTAAGAAAACAATAATTTTCCTATATACATACATGAATACAGCCCAACTGGAACTTCCGGGCTCACTGGAAGGATTAGAGACCTTGGTATGTACAGAAACTAGTATGCATGGATGGCCACTTTCCTCTCAGCCCTTAGCCATGCCATGAAAGTGAGGGGAAAAGTCAAGAATCAGACTAGGCAGGACTATGGTATTGGCAGTCAAATAAGTGCTTTTGCATTGAACATGCAAATAAAAACATACGTACATGTGTGTTATTAGCAAGTTAGTCCCTAAGGTGGAGACATGGAGTATGACAGCCATAGGGAGGAGGTGGGCATGGGAGGAAGTTAACAGAGGGGACGCTAGGAGCAAACGCAGTAAAAAATATGCTTAGTGTGAATAAATGAGAGAGCTGAACAGGTGGAAGTATGATCAGTGGAAGAAAAGTGGTCAAAAATACACATAATATATATATAATAAATATCAACTTGAAAAGGTAAATAAAAAATAAATTTACCTGAAATATAAAGCATATATTAACTTGAAAAATACAAAGTATACATGCATGTTTTCTGCATATACATTAAATGTATATGTATACATAAGTATATAAAAAGTACAGGGAAATGTTCCCATTTTATTTTCTTCCTTACAATTTTTCTGTATTTTCGTATTTTTAACTGTGCATATATTACTTTTATTCAAAAAAAAGAGACAAAATATTTTTTTAAAAAAAGTAACCCCTTAGAAACTCTCACTGTTTTTCCTTATTTTAATACAATTCACTAAATTAGATGTAGGGGAATGAAGGGAAAGGAGGGTGATAAAAAGAGGAAAGACAGTGGAATGAATCTGACATAATTTTCCTATATTCATATATGAATACACCACAGTGATCTCACCATTATGTATATCTGCAAGAATGGGGTCCAAATTAGAATAGGATATATTATAATCCTATTGTAGAAGTGCATCAAATCTATTTAGGAAAGGATTTGGATTAGAACTTTGTATAATACTATTGTATAATTATATCAAAATGGATTTCACTGTCATGTATAACTAAAAAGAACCAACAAAAAATAAAATAAAATACAAATTTTAGTGTCTCATTAATAACTTAAATATAGGGGCAAGGGACATATAGTTCAGTGGTAGAGCACTTTACCTAGCATGTGTGAGGCCCAAAGTTGAATCCTCAGTACTGAGTGGGAAAAAAAAAAAAATACTAAAAACAAGAATTATGCAAAATAATCTGAATACTTACTTGTTTGTTTCCTTAAATTAGATGTCTTATCTGGAAATAAAGGACCAAGCCAAGAAGGCTCAATTTTCCCTATGCAGAAACCTCCAAGGCAAATGCTGTTGTTGGCCAGATCCAGAGCGAGCCTCCTAAGGAGCAAGCTGATGATCTGGCTGTCACCTTTCCCAATACTTATTGTCAGTGCTTTCCGCACATCTTGTTCTCGGGCTCCACTGTTCAGTAACAGTTCCACCAATTTGGGACTGCTCTCTTTCTCACATACCTATTAAAGGAAAAAAAAATAGTAAGGTAGGAAAAACCTGTACTTCTTCCATTTGGGGAGATTAGTCTTAAATCAAAACAAAATAAAATAGGAAAAACTTATTCCTGAAATAGATGGGGAAATGAGATTAATGCCCCAAGTATCAGAGTAACATCAGTCAAATAAAATGCCATATTGGGGTTAGGGACAGTGAAGGAGACATCATTCTACTTGCTCTCCCCACCACGACTTGGTTAGTATGGTTCCAGGTCTCCATTCATGTATTTTCATGCCCATTATTAATCCCCCATGTTCTTCTCTACCAGTACATGAAATTACCAAATCCTCAGAAAGCCTAATATGATTAATCCCATCTTTGCTCTGAATAGTCCTTAATCATGCAAATTCTTGGTAAATGAGAACTACTCTTGGTTCCTTATTCTGCACCAGCACAAAATAAGGTAGACTCAATAAATCTGTCTATTATACATAATCAATAATTGATGTTTGCTAGATACAAATAAATTGACAACTAAGATAAATTCTGTAATACATTTTAAATGCAACACCTTGTAATCCATGGATGTAAAGATCTCCCCACTAGTTCTGAGAATCATTATACTCAGGGCCTCACAAACGCCAGGCAAGCACTCTACTGCTGAGCTATAACCCAGTCTTACAGACCTGATTTTGCTTTTAAAGGGGAAAATATAAACAAGTGCACAAAGTCTGAAAGAATATGAGAAGAGGAATAAAATGAAGGGTTATTTTTGTATAGAAAATTTTGGATAAATTGAGAGAAGAGTAGAGAGAATTTCTTGTAGGGAATGTAGTAAAATCTCACTTGGGTAATTTTTCATTATGTTGTTTCCCTAATGAGAAATTAGAAAGGCAACTCCTAGGTTTTTTTCAGTTCTTTGGTATCTCTAAGTAACATCAGTGCAATGATCTGTGTACAAAAGATGCTCAATAAAAGCATATTGAATTATTGAAGGGAATAATTTAATTAATTTAATAACTGAGAAACAACTATTTTCAATGTTGCTTGCTTAAAAGAAATTGGACTGTATAAATAATCTGATTATTTATTTAGTTTTAATGCATAAACATAATGGCACATGAAAATGAGTTACAAGTTCTGTTTCTTTTTGTGATGATTACTAATTAGCATGAACTTAATCTTACAGTTGACAAATTGATTTGAATCCATAGGCAAGTATAAAATTAAATAAAGTAAGCCTTATAAAACAAGTTACCAGAAAACATAGTATCCTGCTGATTATTTAATAATGTGTATTAAATCACAACATAATTGCTTTGTTAGAAATATTATTAAGTTTCTAGAAACAGACCTAGTGCTATCTAAATGCTATTTTTTTGGAATGTTATTATGAACTCTAAAATTTATACAGCTAAGAAAAATCTGAAATACTAGTAATGCATGTTTATAAACCTTTGCTGAGTACATATATACGTAAAGAATGATACAAAGATGAACAATATGCTTCTCTTTCCATATAACCCACAAAACGTACAGGAGGTGTACATAGGTTATGACAGACTTACAAAAGAAGTAAACATTAATTGTGCTTGAGGATCTGGTGATGAGGGGAAGGCTTTATTTAACAAAGAAAATTTGGATTAGAACTTGAAGGAAGAGAACAATCAGATATGTATTTTCATGGTTTAGTAAGAGACAGGGAGAAGGAATGAAAAAACACAGCATCACACACTTCAAGGGTGGCCGACAGCAAGGGATGTATGTGAATGACACTTCCAGGGGTACACAGTGCACAGGCTACATGGACACATGATGAAGCTCTCAGAGGAAAACACTGTAGGCAGAGAAAGGGAAAACAAAGAGGTAATGGTTGGAAATTGATTGTAACAACAGAATTGTATGTTGTGTGAAAAATGTCTAGAGAATAAGTTGTATGGAGATGCATAGTAAGGGACACGTTTGAAGTTATTCATCCATAGGCTAAGATAGATAGACAAGTAAAATGAAGAACTGACTGGACAACACTAATAGGACATTGTTACCTCTGAAGTTCTGGGACTCTAAACCTCTACAACAAATCACAAGCAGCTGTACAATACACTAGTAAATTCTATAGTGAACAATAATAGAATGTACTGAACACTATCGAAGATAAACAAGTGGCCAATGAATGCATGAAAAAGTGCTCAGCATTACTAAGAATCAGGGAAATGTGAATCAAACCACAGTGAGATATCATTTTACTCCAGTAAAAATGCCTACTACCAAAAAAGACAAGATAACAAGCACTGGCTTGTTAAAGATGTGAAGAAAAGTAACCCATGAACACTGGTAGTACAAATGCAAATTAGGACAGCCATTATAGAAAACGGTGTATAGGCTCCTCAGAAAACTGAAAATGGAACTCCTATATGATCCAGTAATCCCAGTATTGGATATACATCAAATCAGTATGTTGAAATCAGTATGTTGAAAAGACATTTGCATTTCTGTTTATTGCACCACTATTTACAGATGTGGAAACAATCTGGGTGCCTATCAACAGATGAATGGATGAAGAAAATACAGTATATGGGCACAATGGAAAAGACATTTGCATTACCACATTTATTGTATCACTATTCAGCACAGCCAAGATGTGAATGAGTCTAGGTACTTATGAAAGGATAAAAAAAAATGTAGCATATGTATATAATATGTATACAATAGAATAGTATTCAGCCATAAAAAAAAACACTGAAACCCTGTCATTTGAGACAACATGAATGAGCCTGAAGAATATTATGTTAAGTTAAATAAAATTTTAAAAGAAAGTTAAGTGAAATAAGCCAGGCAAAGAAAGACAAAACATGTTCTCACTCATATGCAGAACCTTAAAAGGTTGATCTCTTAGTAGTTGAGTGCACAATGGTAGTTTCCAGAGCTCTGGGTGGTTAATAGAGATGGAGGAGTTGTTGGTCAAGTATATATAATTACAATTATGTAGAACAAATATTATCTTAAAAGTCCATAATAGGCAAATATATACAGAAGTTAGTTAAGCGATTGCCTTGGACTAGGGATAGGAAGTAGCGGGTAGGTGTAGAGGCAGAGAAATGAGAAATTACTACTAATGGTTGTGAAGTTCATTTTGGGGTAATAAAACTGCTCTAAAATTGATTGTTGTAATGGTTACACAACTCTGTGATCAGATTAAAAACCATTGGATTGTGCACTTTGTGTGTGTGTGTGTGTGTGTGTGTGTGAGAGAGAGAGAGAGAGAGAGAAAGAGACAGAGAGACAGAGACAGAGAAAAAGAGAGAGAGAGGGAGTCTTGCTATGTTGCCCAGCATAGCCTCAAACTACTGGGTCAGATATCCTTCTGCCTTGGTCTCCCATGTAGCTGGAACTACAGATATGTTCCACCTCTCCAACTCAGACTGTATACTTTAAATAGAACTGTATGACACGTGAACTATATCTCAATAAATCAGTTTATTGTAAGACAAAGGAAAAAAGAACAGGAGGTTAAAAAAGAGACAGAGAGAGAGATCTATCCAGTGACAGGGCCAAATAATACAGAAAAGACAAAAGTGAGGCATTGAATATTTACCTGACAAATTAAGGAAGTTGCTTCGTTTGCTTGATTAGCGTCAGCTCCCAGCAGCAGCAGGCATTCAACCATGATGCTATTATTCTGATCACATGCTCTCTCCAGCATCACACTTTTTAACTCATCATCCATAGCTAATTTTGCAAAGCATTTACAACAGAGGTTTAGAAACTAAAAAGAATGAAAATGAGGATTAGATCCAGCTCCGTATGTAACACTAGGTTACAGGTGAAAAACGTGGTACCTGTGGATCCTTTTGTTCCATGATATTGGAAGACATCTGATGGAATATTACTGAATCAAATGAATGATGCACCAGCAGCTTGGGAAAGGATACTGACAATTCAAATATCGCCAAGATCGTCTGAAATCCCTGAAGGTATGACCAAAAATAATAACATAAGCAATTATGGGCAAAAATGAATAAATAAAACACAGAGCTTGTATATGATACTTAATATCTAATACGTTTGCTTAACTGAGTGGATACATTTGCTGGGTCCTATTCCATGTTAAAAAAACAGTCCTGTACTCCTTGCTCTCTTGTTGCTGAGAAATACAGCAGGAACACGGAGAATAAATGGTAGCCAACCAACCATCCTCAAACAAAGCAGGAAAAAAGGCTCATTCTCCACACAATTTGGCTGTTAAAGATCCCTGTCTGAAATGATACCTTCCAGATCAAAATCCAGACATGAACCAAGATCCGAACAGATGATTCAGCAGGATTATAGCTCCAAATAGGAATTTACAGTAATTTTTGTTTTTACTAGCGGATTGGAGATTAGTTTCTCTAAGGAGCCAAGAATTTTCCCAATTTGTGCTGTTCCTTAATTGTTTTTTTGTCTTAGAAATAAATGTTCACTGCTAGATTACATTAATGTTGAGTGTATTTGAGAAGGCATTCTGAAGTGTATATTTTATTTTACTGTTTTATTTTGTTAACGGGAGTGAACCCAGGACTTTGGACATGCTAGGCAAGTGCTCTACCACTGACCTATACCATTGGCCTTCCCTTTGCTTGCTTGCTTATCTATCTATCTATCTATCTATCTATTGGTGCTAGAGCTTAAATTCAGGTCTTGCACATGCTAGGCAAGCATTTTACCATGGAACTACACTCCCAACTCCCCCGCCCCCCAAAAATACACACACACACACACACACACAAACTTATTACAATACTACAACCAAGGCAAAAACTCTTAAAGAAACCATTTGTTTCACTAAGATTACAAAATAACAATTTCTTTCTTTACTTTTTAAAACTCCCCACATAGGAGGGGTCTTGCTATGCTGTCCAGGCTGGCTCTGAACTCCTAGATCCTCCTGTCTTAGTCTCTTGAGTAAACAGGACTACAGATACACACCACCGTATCCAGCTAGTGATTTATTTCTTAACCTCTCCTGAACTAATCATAGAGCATCTTGAACTCTTTACAAAGACAGTTATTATATATCATGCTTTAAATTGTGCTTAATTAGAAATATTTTAAAATATTATTTTGCTTCAGGGAAAAAAATCAAGAAGTAAAATTACTAGAAATGAGTAGTCCACCACACAACACAGAGAGTGACAAACAATGATAACTTGTGCTTATCTAAAATCTAAACAGAAAAAGAAATCAGCTAACTGTAATTTCTTTAGCACATTTTCATGGGAAAGACAAATGGCACACAAACAGTAATTTCAGAGATTTAATAATGAAACACTAGATCTTTAGAGAGTCAATCCAATTCTCTTCGCCTTCCATAATTAAAATACTACAAAATGATAAATGGTTTTTAATTAACTAGAATACCCCATTAATGCAAGTGGGAATTGCATAAAATGCCCTGAAAGTAAAATCTTCACAAGTTCCCAAATTTCCTTCCAGATAATGCACATACTTTAATCTGTACTTCAGCAACATCTTTAAATCGTTGTAAACTGGAAACCAGAATTTTTGCCAGCAGATGCCCAGTTCCTACACTTAAATTCTTCTTTGTAATCAAGCATCCTATAAGACTTAAACCCAGACACTGAATTTCTAGAATAAGAGAAAAACACAACAAAATTAGTTGTTTTAAAACTCAAAACTGAAGAAAAAACTACAGATATCCAACCAAGAGCTAATGGCCTATAAAAATCAATTCAAAATCCTGTGTTCAAATGTACCGACCTTGGTCATCTGGATACATCTGCAGCGTGTGGAGTACTGAATCAATAGCACCTTCCAAGGATAATATCCCCAATGCATCAGGGAAATGTACTAAAGAAGAAATTACTTTTAAGCCACATTTCTGAATTCCAGGATTTCCAATGAACTGAAATCAAAAGGTGTTTAAGAATTTTGTTAAAAATGAGATCTCAGTACTTATCTCCGTTAAAAACAGTTAAAGATTAATAAAATGTAAGTTAAGTCATCCAAATACAAATTAGTATCTTTAATTCTGCCTTCTATATTATTCATTATTTTTTGCATTAAGAGCTGGCACTGTAACATCAATCAAGTGCTTAGTCAGTGACATGGTTTGTGCTTTCTTTTCATAGTAATCTCACGAAATTCATATGATATCATTACTAAACATATTTTGGAGAAAGGATGGTCTTGCCAATAAATGGTGCTGGGAAAATTTGGTCTATATCCAGAAGATTGAAACTTGACTCCAATCTTTCACCCTATACAAAATTGCGTGATTATTCCTACTATGAGACAGCAAACTGAGGGCTAGAGGTTTAGTCACACAGACTGCAAATTGCAAAAAACTAAAGCAAACCAAGAATGTTTGATCCCAAAGCTTATGCACTTACCCAGTAAAATGCACTGCTGCTATCTCACCATAGAAAACACTAACTGAGCATTTACTCCACTCTAAGAGCTTTACACACTTTATTTCCATTTATTCTCTTCAAGTGCCTCATGTAATAGGCTCCTCAAACTTTAAAGCTTTGGGAACAGGCACTCAAGTCACATAGCTAGTGTCGGGCACAAATGTGTCTCCCTTAACAGCCCATGGATCTCAATCATAACATCTTCCAGCCTCTGTAATCTGGATTTGCTCCAGGTGATCTGACATCATTTATGCCTGGCCTAATAGCGCCACTTCTTTTCTGGGCTATCCTCATTGAGAAGAAACAGCTAACACATTGGTTGACAACCAGTCATGTCTCCCTTCTTTTGATGTCTGTGACATATATCTAAGCCTTGCACTGGTCATCTCTACTTTTCCCCCACGGAAACACTGCTCTCCAAGCTTCTACCATAATGTCAATGCCCACCTTATAGTTCTTCTTTCAAAACGTACAAGGTTATCCTTCTCAGATTTTAGCTTTCAAGTAGATAATGTTGTGTGCATACCAGTGTCATGGCATCTCTATCTCTAAGATCAGATTGCCTCCACCACAGGTCCAGGGGAGAGTTGAAATAGCTTCAAGTCAGACTTCCAGCTCTGTGTAGCCTCTCTAACCAAAATCATCTGTCCTCTCACTTTTCTCACTTAGTACTCTCAAGGAGCAGATTTCTACCCGGTCTGGTCCTTCAATGCCCCTAAAGTGTCTTCATTCAGCATCCTTTTTTTTTTTTTTTAAACAAGGGATGGGAAGAAGCATCAATCTCTCATCCTGAGTCCTTGTTCTCCACCCCTAACTGCTCAGATTATATCTCATCTCCTGTACCATTTTAATAGGACACTCTTACCCCTGCCTCTTAGCAATTTGTTCCTGTCACTATTACCATCCTACTATCTTTTGCTGAGTAGTAAAAGTACATCAGCTTTGGAGATAGATTTGGGTTTAAATTCTGTGAATCTGTGGACCATCAGGAAAAAGAGAGAGAGAAAGAGAAAAAGAGAGAGCAAACTAGATACAGTGACACATGTCTATCATCCCAGCTTGCTAAGAGCCATAACGCATGGCATCTTTGGTTGAAAGGTAATGCCAGCAAGCCATTGAGATGATAAAGATTATGTTAAGATCTGCATTCAATTGGATATTAGATCCCTGCTGTCCGCCTCAGCCTGCTACTTGGGAAGAACTAGCTATAATTTTTATTTTGTCCAGTATGGGCCACCACACCAACAAGAAATCCCTCCTCCGGAAATCCCTCCTACTGCACTTCCCCAACCAATGGGAACTCTCCGGGAGTCCCTTGAGAGCTCCAAGGCAGACAGCAGGGGTCTAATATCCAATTGAATGCAGATCTTAACATAATCATTATCATCTCAATGGCTTGCTGGCATCACCTTTCAACCAGTGGTAAGACACCCCTGGGTTCAATCCTAGTATCTCAAAACCTAAAAAAATTTAAATTTTTAAAAAATGAAATAACCTTTATTCAGAAGTGGTAAGGGGTTACTTAAGAAATATAAGGAAATTCAAAGTCATAAATGTGAAGTTGGAAATATGGTTTGGTGTATGTCTCAGTGTGCTGGTCTCTAAAACAATCCCAATAACACAGTGCTATTACGAGGATAAAATGAGAAAACTCTGTCCAGGCAATAGACATTGAGTAATGACCACAGGTCAAGCCTTGGACAAAGCACTCTCCTCTAAATGACAGACTTAAAAGTTATGGGAGGGGCAGTTTCCCTTAATTAATCTTCCCTTTCATCAGGCTACCACTTTTTCTTCATTTCTGAACTTATTAATAGAAAAGTCTATACCGTCTACCTTCACATTTCTCCTGCTCCTTAATTCCATATAATCAGCCTTGTCCTAACCATCCTGAATTAAAACCATTCAAGGAAAAAAAGTCCACTAACAACTTAATTGCAGCTTTCTCATCCCTTGATTTCCATGACACAGTACTCTTCCCTGGTTATCCTCAAACTTTGAAACCATTCATTTGTCTATCTCCTTAACAGTGTCTTCTTTAAACTCCAATCTTTATGCTAAGTTCTTTTCTTAAAGCTCTTCTATTCAGGAGTGGAATTTTATACATGAAATCCACAGCAGCAGCCATCCCCATCACAGCAGCAAGCACACTCATACTGCCAAAACCCAGGGAGCACTTGCCAGGAGCCAGACCTTTTGCAAAGCACTTCACATACATTTAACTCTCACAAAAATTTCATGATGTAGATACACTATAATTATGTATACATATTAATAAAAAGAATTCAATTGCACAGACTTTTGAGCAGATAACTCAAGGCACAAATCTAAACTCTCTTAAGCCCTAAGCCTACATTTCTCTTGGCTTGACACTGGCATCTTAAAATTCACAGGTTCAAAGTCAAAGTTTAGCATCTTCTCCAAAAAAAGAGCCAGGTTGTCATTCTGAACTTTCTGTTTGATTAATGGTACCATCATTCTTGCTTGACAGGCGAGGCCAGCTTCATGGGTGTGCACCTGTGTGGTCATCAATGGCTCCACACTTGGAAGGTTTCCACCCTTGGTTTAATACTCTTCTGTCACTGCCTTGAAATCTTCAACAATTTTCAAATAAGAGGTCCTGTATTCTCATTTTGTACTGAACCCCATCGTTCTTCTTTTAAACTCAAAAAACATTACAGGCTTATTTTTTTGTGCTAAAATTATGTCAAACTGATGTTTATAAAGCATCCATCTGTGTCTTTAATATCTTCACTTCTAACCCACTTCTGCTTAAGTATTGCTCTTTGCAATGGTGAGCTCCCTTAGGCTCTAGCCTTTTCAGATCCAGTTCAAGAGTTGATCGATGACTTGTAACAGGGAATCTGTGACTTGTCTATGCAAAAAAAGAATTCAGAGTGTCACATGGTCACATGTGACCATGTTCAAACTAGCTGATAACTAAAAATAGACATATTTGATTTCTAATAGCCTAATGAACTTCTTAAAAATCTCTGTGTAGATATACATATTTATGTATTATTGGTATATATACATATTATGTATGTGTGTGTATGTATGTGTCTGTGTGTGTATATACACACACATACATATATGCAATTTGCAAGCCTAAAATGGACTTTCCTTAACCTATCTAATGCTCTGTCTTGAAAAGAACAGTTTACTGCATTGCTATTTATGTAGGAATTAAAGTTAACTTACCAGTTTCTATTTAGCAAGTGTTTTTCAAGTGGAACTTTTGGAGGAATGAATGATGGAAGAATGTCTACAGACACTGCTTGGAAACATCCTATCACCCATGCTTCACATCTTCAAAAACTTTTCAAGAAATCCATAAACAATAGAAATAGCTACTTGAAACAGCCAGGTAAGCAGTTCAAAGGGAAAAAATGTCCACACTGGCCTCTGTCCTCACCACCAGCTAAACAGATAACTAACGAAAGGAAAAATGACTATTCCTTGGTCATTTACATTGATGTTGTTTCTCCATTCTCCTTTTTCCTTTCTAGATCCCACTTTTTCTCTTAATAGAAATAAACAAAACAAAAATGTATACATTGAATAGACGAAATGCTTTTGATTTGTGATCCCTTTGTTAGTCTCTAAAATATTAAAAGATTAAGGTAAAAGAGGCTAACATCATATGACTGATGTCCACAGAAAGCCATAATAATGAATATATATATACATATAATAAATATATATATTATATATACATAATAAAGAGGTCCATCTATCTACATTTATATTACAAAATATGTAGTATAAACATGCAGTTCAAGAAAACTTTCCAGATTCGATGTATACCTATCGTTAGAATGAGGGCATCATATTCCAAGACTAAAATTGAGATATACCTTAATAAAGTGACTGGAATTTGAGATAAAGAATCTTTTGCATAATCAGGCAAAACTATCAAGTCACTTAAAAGTAAGAAAAAGATGAAGCCTGTTTCATACTTCTCCACTTAAATAATCAATACTAGTACACAGCAAAAGAAAATAAAGCCCCAATATTTTATAACCAATCAAAATGTTTTCTCAAGAGTTCAAACATAAAACCAAATATTCTACACATTAAAATATTCAAGGAATGCAACTTTTAAACAAATTCTGACAACAAAGCCATGAATGCAAAAAAAAAAAAAAACTGTAATGAAACAACTTATAAAGATTTAATCCCCCTATTTGAAGGATTAAGAAGACAGAAACCTTAGGAAGAACAGATATAAAGCTGACTGTAAATATTGTAGAGCTTCCAGTGAAGAATCAATTTACTTCACAAAAGTCAGTAGGAAAGCAAGTTTTTGGTTAGATGTCAAAAAAAATACCTTTCAATCTAATAGTAATAGCATTAAGTTACATTTATTTAATTCATGCTACGTGCTAGGAATTGTACTGATAGTTTTACATGAAACACCTCATAAAATCATCAAAATAACCCTAAGTGAAAATGTTTATTATCTCTGTTTCATACATAATGAATCTGAGACATAAGTAACTGTTCAGTCTGTAGGTGACAGACCCAGACAGATCCAAGTCCAGATATCCTGTCTCCAGAGTCCACAACTTAACTATATAAAATTTTGTAAAGCTGAATCCATAAATGCAAACACTATAATCTGTAATAACAAGGTGATGGAGAGGAGGGAAAAGGCATAAAGAAGTAGAAATATATTTTTAATTTCATTAAAAAGTGCATATAGTGTGATAAAATAAATGAAGAAAAAAAAACAATAGCCTGGGATATAATCAGATTAATGGAAAATTTGAGATTTCTTTCCATAGAAGCACATTAGAAATCTCACTTTACTGCTTTTTAATCTCTACATAGAATCATATAGTTTGGTAGGAGTATGTAGGATTTGTTTAGTCTGTTGCTGGCCATTGTGTTATTAGGACAGATTAAAATAAACTGTAGTAAAAATCACAAAATTTCAGGGGCTGAAAAAATAATAAGTTCAACTTTTGCTTCTGCATGTTACAGTCACTCAGGAACCTCTGCTGACAGAACAAACACTTTTCCAAACACTGCAGGTCACAGTGCCTGAGAATGTTCGGGAAGATGTCTCACCACTTATTAAATGTTTGGTCCAGAAATGACAAACATTTAATTACATTACATAACCTCTAATTATAGCTTCTGCTCCAAAACGAGTCACATGCTCCAAAATACTACCCTACAAAATATTATTCTAGAATCACCAAAAGGTGGTACTAACCTTCCTCCAAGCAGCACTAATGGTTATCAAGTAAACATTTAGCTTTGTTGCTAAATGTTTATTTGTAGTATTATAATATAATAATACTACAATGACCTGCTCTAAAAAAATGTTCTGTGTACATGTTCAAGTATATCTATATTATAAATTCTTAGAGTGAAATTGCTGATCAGAAAACAGATTCATTTTAATTTTGACGGAGATGACCAGATTTTTCTCAAGGAGGACTTTTTTATTTAAATTTACATTAATAAAGATTATAGTCGAGAACTTTTTCATATGTACATATGCCAATTCATTCTTTACCTGTTCATTCCATTCATCTATAATGTGTTTAGGAAAAGGATAAGGTAAATACTCAGCTTCTTCTGTTTTCCTCAAGTCACTGTAGAGTTAGTTGTTAACAAAAATTACTGAGTGAACTACTTTTTCTCCAGCAGTTGGGGACTATCACATACCAAGTGCACACTTTCATTTTATCTATTTCTTGAAACATCATTATGGGCCACTGCCCTGCTCCTTCCAGTGCCAGTGTAACACTTTATTCACTAAAGTTTTATAAAAATTTGATAATTTGTATGATTTAGCCAAATTTTCAAAATTCTCCTGATTATTCTTGCAAATTGATTGTTTCATAAAAATTGTATACTAGTTTGCTTAGTTCAAAAAAATGCTAATATTGTTTTATTAAGGGTTCATAAATATAAATTTTCATTTTTGAAAGTCTTACCAAAAAGAAGATACATCTTTTTGTTTGTCCAGCTCTTCCTCTGCACCTCCGAGTTGAATTTCATCGTCTCTGTAGAGTAGACCTGGAAACCTTTTTGCAACTTTGCTCATACGTAATTTCCTCTTATTATTGTGTGATTGATTTTGCAGATGTACTCTTTCTTTGACTAACTATTATTTACAACTGAAACAAATGTCTTCAATATTTAATCTGGGAATATTCTGCTTCAAGATTTTTGAAAAGCATACAAGCTCTTTCAAATGGTGACATTTCGTCAACAGATTCGTTTTACTTTACTGGTTCCATGACAAAGAGAACTGGAGTGTCACTGCATACAAAACAAAGATGTGGCCAAAATGTTGAGAGTCTATTTGTCCTCCAGAAATAACACAGGACAAATAGATCTCTATGGAGCAGGTGCTGAAAGTTTTCATGTGTAAAAAGCCAAAAAGGCTTAGGCATAAATGCAAGGTCAATGTTCCAAAAAGAGATTTTAGCTTCAACTCGAGTTTTATTGATATATTTATATATCTAATCACTGATTCACTTGAATAAATACTTTTCTTAGTTTCTGCTTTGTAAATGACAGTTGAATCTCAATTTTTACCTTATTTAGAATTCTTCTCTCTGGGTTTAGATTTAGCACTGACAGTTCATTTCATTATGTCTGTAATAATTATACCTAAAACTTCCGATGCTTTGTAACTTTTACTCAGAATGAGACATACAATCACAGAATTTCAGAGCTACAGAAGTGACTTGCTATCATCTTTTATATTCTCTTTTCTCAGTCCTGGTGAAGGATCAGGGGAATAACATTGGAAAAATTTTTGAAATAAAGTATCATCACTTTTATTTCCCCATGACCATAACTGCCACCCCAAAGTAAAAGTCATCACTGAATGAGATGCTGAGTACTATTACTCAGGGGTTGGCATTGGGGGGAAAAGCAGTTCTCAATCACTTCTCCTAGGATTTAGTAAAAGAACGTAAGGCTTGAAGCTGAGCAGCTTTCTCCACATCATAGTACTTGCAGGCTTTCTTGACTCCTGATTCCCTCTACTAGAAAAGGCTGGCTAACTGGAACCAGAGCTATCTGTAAAGCTTTTCTAGTGTCTCTGCTTCTACCAACACTAACCATGAATAAAACCACTTCCGCCTCCATGTTCATAGAATAGGTTCACAAAACTAGTACTGTTCATAAGTGCTAATATAGAACAAGTGGTTTTAAGTGCGGTTGTTACTCCCTCGGCCAGATTATGAGATCCACCACAGAATGACCCAATGCAAAATCACTTTTGTCTTCCCAATGCCTAAACCAGTTCCTTCCTATAAATATGGAAAATACTTATTTTTCAATAAAAATTTCTGAATTAAACTTAACCCATTATACCATATATTCTTTCTATATTTAAGAATTTCATTAAGGTTTTGAGTACAAACAACTCACATATCACAGACAATTACAATATAAAGTTCAGTTTAAATTGAATTTTTAAAGGCAATATCTCTGGAAGTTACTCTAATTAATTCAGAACATTTATCTAAATATAGCAAACTACAAGAAATCATTTCTATGAATTATTCTGAGTACTATCTTCCTTTCATAAGAACATTAACCTTAATCATTGTTTAAATTGTTACTCATATCTTAATGAAGAACCAATTTATTGTATGGTAAACTTCCAAATTACCTTAATTCCATCAGTACTTTTTTTGCATTGCACAATATGAATGTAATTCCTCTCCTTTTTATACTTAGTATTATTTGTTGATATTTGAACTATTATGTATAGCATAAATGAACACAGATATGTAAATACCTAAAAATAAGAAGAAACAAAGCACACCAAACCACTTCAGAGGTTATCTCCTCTGAAGAGAACAATGAAGTCCGGTATCAAAGAAGATTTTAATGTTTTGCCCGGATACCTTTGCAGGCTGAACCATTTACCATAAGACCACAAAAGAAAGGTGAACAGCCAGAGAGAAAAGAATAAAAACAGCAGCCATGATTCTCAGCATCACTGATGAAATTTATCTGCACATCTAAGTCTTTGGTTGTCTTTCTGATTGAGCAAATTGTTACTAGCAATCAAAAGAAGTTTTTCAAGTCCATAGTTGACAATACACTTACCTTATCTGGACTGAGTTTAGTATTCATCTCATTGCCCTTCACATCTTTTATTTTTTTTTTTTAATTGTTTTTTGGTTGTAGATGAACACAACATCTTTATTTATTTATTTTTAATTGGTGCTGAGGATCAAACCCAGTGCCTCACATGTGAGGGGCAAGCACTCTACCACTAAACTATAGCCCTAGCCCGCCCCAAACATCTTTACTGTCACCGTATGTACTAACCACATGACTTGCTACTATCATAATAAACGGAGGGTGGAAAACTTAAACTAACACAGTCCTCTAGATCCCAAAATTTAGCATTCTAGTTAACAGTATAAAGACAGAAAAACTTATATTCAACATACCCTGTTCAAAGCTGCTAAGACCAGTTTGTGAATATCATTCTTGAAACACTGTTTTTTAACCATATTTAGCTTATGCTGAGATTCATCACTGGATTCTTCTGGCATGCCTAAATGCAAGAACAAATAAATACACCCACACTGAACAAATCATCACTTATTAAAAATTTTCATAATTTATTCAACATCATGCATGTATACATTTTTCTAGTAAGTATTTCCTTATCAAAGCACTAACACCTTAAGGAATCTCTAAAAATAGTTCATCATTGTATGTAAAATAAATACAATGAGTATGGACGTTTATTGAAATTAAAGTAACAAGTAGTGGGCTGGGGATGTGGCTCAAGCGGTAGCGCGCTCGCCTGGCATGCGTGCAGCCTAGGTTCGATCCTCAGCACCACATACAAACAAAGATGTTGTGTCCGCCGAAAACTAAAAAAAATAAATAAATATTTAAAAATTCTTTCTCTCTCTCTCTCTCTCTCTTTAGAAAAAAAATAGCAAGTAGTTACTCGTGGTGGAAAAATATTCTGTAGCAAACAATCTCTTGTTTGCAGGAGTAGGCTGTGGTTTAAGATTTTGGAAGGTTTTTATGCAATAGTGGAGAACTTGAGAACATCTCAATGTTATTGGGACACAATATAAAAAGGTCAGATATGAAATGCATCATACAATAAAAATAGCTGAATAATTATGAAAAAATAATTTAAGTTTCAGGATTATGATTGCAGAGAGCATGTCATTAATTTGAAGTCTTCTAAAGACTGCACAAAGAAAGTTATTTAAAGAAAACACTTCTTATTAAGATACTTTATAGCTGAACTATTCCAAAACTGTTGAAAATAGCCAAAAAATCAACTGTATACTATAATAGTAAAATTATAATGAAATAATATTTTCCCAAATTTTAATATAATTATTAATAAAGAATTAATCATAAGTGTTCGATTTTATAATTTTTTGAGTAAGTTAATTATAAATTAATTTATAATTTTATAAATGACTGCATATAGCTTTTCTTTTGCCTACTAGATATTTGAATGCCAACGACATGCCTGGGATTTTTCTATATGCTGAGAATACCACAATAAAGAAGGCAGGCTGGGTTCCCATCCTCCTGGAACTTTGATTCTTCCTTTAAAATTTGTTACAACAGGGTCTGACATTCACTATAGCTCCATGTAAGGGGAAAGTCCCTTAAACTCCCTGTGTCTCATTTTCAGTGACTGAGACCATGTAAAAGTAATACACAAGTTTGTTATTAAAGAAATCTGGATATGGTCTATTTCATCAATAAATATCCTAGATACCTTATAAGGACATCAACTTAACCTATTGAAACCAATGTTATATTCAATCTCAGCACTACCAGAGTACGGATACCATAGTCACTCCTCTATATGTAGACTGATACAGTGCATGTTAAGTTGTGCTATGCTACAGCATGGTATAGTGGTGTAATACAGCAACACAGAGCAGAGCAGATGCTTCAGCCTCTACCTAAAGGGCAAATACTTACATACTGGTACATTTATAAAATGTATCTATTAAAATATTTTTCATACATAAATTAGAGCCCTAAAGTAATTATTTTCAAGACTACCCTGAATCATCCCAATGATTATTGACTAACAATGCTGCTTCAGGGTCAATTTGCAATCAATGGAAGAAAAAATATTGTATCCAAAACTTGTTATTTGACTACTTAAAAGACCATTATTTCATTAACTAACAGACTTGATTCTGCATGTCTTTTGTTTATCTTCACAATTCCAACCCATGGCCTCAAATGAATGAAGTTGACACCTTTAATGATAACAAAAAGGGGGTAGTGGTTGTTTTATTCTAATCCATAAACAAATTTTTAAAAACTCATAATAGTATATAAGTAAAATTATGTTTGTCAAAATAATATGTCCTCATGTTTAGTAGTCACAATGTCAAATAAAACACCTAATCATCTCTTAAATCCATCCTGTCTTTCCACTGCCCCTTCATCCACTGAACTAGCAACAACCTCCAGCCCAAATCCCCTACTTAGTCTCTCTCCCTGCCAATCATCCTTTACACCATAGTGCTATTGCTGAAAATTGCAAATGTGGCCACTACACTACAATTTGTAAGCACCGTTCATAAATTTGAACTTTCATAAAGGAGCACAAATTTCTCAGCAATGCATTCAACGTCCCTCATTTCAGGCCTCCTTCTGTTTGTCCACACTGATACCCAAGCACCTCTCTATTCATTCTCCTCACTCATCCCAAACCATGTGAACTTTCTCCTGCTTGAAAAGTCATCTAATCCTTTCTAACAGGCCAGCGCTCAATTTCAACTACCAAAATCACCCTTCAATTTCAAGTATCAAAATATCTAACCTACTTTTTTGAATACATTATACATACCTCCATCAATAGTCTTTTAATCTTTCACATATTTATCTATGATAGATCTCACACTGTCTTGTGATTATTTACATGCTCTATCTATTTCTGATCTCCTATAATACCACAGCACGCGTTTCTTTCATTCATCTTTTGAACCACAACAACATCATCAGAGTGTTCAGAATATAAAAGGCACTTAATAAACATGTGCTGAAAATGTGAATGTGTAACCGATGTGATTCTGCAATTTGTATTTGGGGTAAAAATGGGAGTTCATAACCCACTTGAATCAAATGGATGAAAGATGATATGTCATGAGCTTTGTAATGTTTTGAACAACCAATAAATAAAATAAAAAAATAAACATGTACTGAAAGAATGCAGGAGCAGGTGTCTTCAACTGGGCTTTGCAGGACAAATTACAATAGATATAAGTAGGAGGTAAAGGGGACAGAGGGTAGAAGCCACTAGAGTTAATGAGTAAAAGTGACATGGGTATATTGCAGAAAAATAAATTCAACACAGAGGAAAAGAAGGACTGAAATAAAGTAAGAGAGGACTATGAAAGTTAGTTACTATTAGTTCAGGCAAGTTTAAAAACGAGGCTCAAACTTGAACTTGGATGATGGCAAGAGAAATAGAAAAGAAACATCAGAGATAACTACCCCTCTTAGAGAAAGAAAGCTCCACGTTTTTCTGAGGCCACAGCTCAGTAGTAGAGCAACTGTCAAGCATGTGAGAGGCCCTGGGTTCAATCCACAACATTACCAAAAAAAGGAAGAAAGAAGCACCAATAACAATACATTTTTTTAAAAAGGTTTTCTTATAAATTATCCTATTTGGCTCTTCTTCTACATTATTATTATCTCTATTTTTATTTTTGGTTGGCAGAAAATCATCCTTTAACTTTTGCCTAGAAAGTTGAGGTTTCATGAAAAGTTAAGACCCTATTGAAACTGCTGTCTCTTCCCACAATCACTTTTGTAACTTACCTGGCACTATAAAATGTAAAATAGCTCGAAGTGCCTCCAGCTGCACTGATAATGATGTCTCATGACTTTTCATAACTGTTATTATTTTGGGGACCACTGCTGCCATTGTATCCAGCGAAGTGTTACTGGAGAAATAAAATTGACATGTTTACTAGAAATACAATCTGATTCAATTTTACAAACACCAAATTGAAACAAAGGCAGAAAAACAGAATCAATATATTTTACCAGGAAAGACTATCTAAAGATTACTTGAATTCAGTGATGTGAGCATACATAATTCAAATGAACAGTGTTCAATTAAATACTGTCCTTAAGAAGTAGAATTCACAGTAACCCATGAATTTTTTACTTAGTTTCATAAAATTCACACCTTTCTTCTGATCTACATCTGGGTCACTATCAATAACCCTAAAATGAAAGTGTTATTACCCCTATTTTCCAGATAAAGAATTTAGGTGGCTAGATATTAAACTAGAAAGTAACAGAGTCTAGCCAGTACCCAGTCTTGTCTGATCCTACGAGACTTTTCCATCATACCAAGTTGCTTCTTCCATATTTAACAACACTAGAATTTTTAGCTGGTGTTCATAATTAATTTTAGTTTATATTAATGCCTTGGTTTCTTTAAAGTATTTACACATTTCTTCTTCACCAATGAGCAAATGTCACTTGACTAGATCTCAGTAGGTACTTTGAACTTTCATAAGGCTCTCTGCTTTGCATGTGCCAGGTTAACTGAAACTCATAAGTATCAAACCATGTCCTTACTTGGCATGATTCCACTTTCACTGATATATATACCCTCTCTTTCATCTTAAAGTCTCACTTAGAAAGCATCCCTTCCTTGGAGCCTTCCCTTCTTTGGTAATGCTAGCTGGGTTCCTTCGCTCTTACACACCTGTCTTCTATACCTCTGTCTTTGCAATAGTGTCACACTAAAATGTAATCCTCTCCTTGCATATCAATCTCCCCAGTTAAACAGTGTTTTGGGAGGCAGCATATTGTCATAGTTAACTTCAAATCTCCAGGACTGGAACTCTATGCATTTTCCATATGAAAAAATCAGAAACATGATTTGGCTTGCTCAGGATCCATGTAATCCTAAACCAGGGGGGGTGCCTATTTTATAAAGGTTTTTGCCCCATTTAGGAATATTCACACACTTCTAGTGCCATAAAAATCAACATTTGCAAAAAGATTTTAATTTAAGTGTTTAAAAACAACATTATAATAATGGAAATATGCACAATTAAGTATAGTAGCTGGACTGGTGTTAAAAACAAGATAACGCCAATCCTTATAAGTCTTATATGTATGTTCTTACATACAGTTTATCATGCTATATGCACTTCATTTATTCACACTAATTACAGTATTCATAATAGTTATGATTTACTGAGTGCCTGAAATGCACAAAGCATTATTTTAATCTTTTTATAAAATCAATTTATCTAATCCTTACATTATAAGCAACTTACAAGGTAGTTATTATGATCCCTTTTTATAGATGAGGAACCTGAAGTTTAGCAATCAAATAGTTGGCTCAAATTAGTGGCAAAGACAAACAAATCAGTTTTTACTGAAATATCTGTGCCATTTATTTCTTTTACATATAACAGTTTCCTATACAGATCTTTTTGTCATTTGAAATTTACTCAGAAAATGCCAAAATTATCTTATACTTTTTAGCTTAATAAAATGTAAAAAAAAAACACTGAGCATCTTATGCAGTGGGCATCTCTGCATGTAATTCAGATTTAGTGTTTTAAAACATTTTTTTTCCTTTAAAGACAGAAGTTCTTCCCCCACATCAGTCATCCCAGATAAAAAAAAAAAAAAATCTCTCTGCTGTACCACTAACCAGACACAGTTTTAACATTACTGGACTTGATCTAGATGTGACTAAAAGCTTCCATAGCTACAGAATGAAAGCAGGCAGATAAAATTTCATTCAAATGAAGGATGAAAATGCAATAAATTATAAGCTACATCCTGATTTTTTTCTTTTGCATCTTTTACAATTATGCAATAATGTGAACAACTGTTTTAGGTTGTGCTGCAAAGTTACCATTTTTCAAAGCATAGTCAACACCAAATATGAAGCACAAAAACAAAGCACATCTCTACAATCTCTGCCATTCCTTTCAATATTCAAAGAAGTATCTAATATTAGCGATGTGATATTGAAAAAGGTTTATCTTCAGTGTCTTATGTTTTTGTTTTCATTCTTAGGGAGATGCTTGAAATAATAATATTCTGCCTAGTTCAATACTAGATGTACTTCACAAGTTCACAAATCTATATTACCTTCCTTCAAAAAGATGATTTAGCATTTTACAGCCACTTTCAGCCACTTCTGGAGAATGTGTATGCTTCTGCATTAACTCCAAAACATTCAGGTATATTCCTTTTGACAACAGGATTTTTCTAAAATTAACTGCAAGATATTTGAAGGTTACTCATAGAAATTAAAGCACATTTTCATAAATTTATAATAAGGTATGCAATAATAAAATTGTTCAGATTCCTAGAAAAGCAAATACAAGAGCATATATAACTGATATTTCATTCAAAATGTAAAGATAATTGATGTTTATTTCTTTAAAATATATACCATTCATTCTACTTTATAAAAAATTTATTAATTATTTATTAAGGTGGGTTTTTTTCTTTTGTGTTTGTTATTTTGTTTTGTACTGGGGATTGAACCCAGGGTGCTCAACCACTGAGCAACATTCCCAGCACTTTTTATCTGAGACAGGATCTAAGTTGTTAAGGCTAGACTTGAACTTAAGATTCTCCTGCCTAAGCTTACTGAGTCACTGAGATTACAGACACATGCAACCATGCCCAGTTTTGTTAATGTTTTGATTTAAAAATTGTTACTCACAGAGTAGACCTATTCCAATATAATCACCACTTCCCAGTCCATGTGAAAGGGACGTCTTGCAGAAAAATGCTAAATAACACTCTCCAAAATAAGAGAATCAAATTTCATTCTAATACTTAAAACAAGTTTAGGAAATAATCATACTTCCACAGAACCAAGACTCGCCAGGTATGCTAGACATAGTAAGCCGGGAATAGGTCACTGGTGTGAGGAGATATAACCATTCCCTCAGCTCTTGGTAGGAGGAGGGGCGGGGAGCCAGGGCCTAGAACCAGCCTAGGTTTCCTTGAGCTACTTTGTCCATTACTCAAGGGGACTATATGAATGTGTCATTTCTATGCATGTATCACATGCAAAGGGATAGAAAACACCAACATGAAGCATAAATAATTACATTTATTTTCAGAAAGCAGTACCAAAACTTCAGAAATGCATAGATCTGCGTAACAACTGATTGTACATGTACAATCAGTAGAAAATGAATATATTCCAGTAGTAATACCTAATATTACATAATATATTATCTAATAATTTTCTTCTTTGAAATAAACTTCATTCACTAAATACAAATCCATTGCCTTGAAGTTTTCATATAAGTATGAATTATCTTGAAGCCTCCGTATAAATATAAATTCCAACATTATACACTGTAATTTAACACTTTAGAAGTGGCCAAAAAAAAAAAAAAAAAGGAAACTTAGAAAGCTTTGAGTTTTGTTTTTAAAAGTGTTATCAATCTCATCCAGGGCAATTGCACATGCTTGTAATTCCAGTGGCCTAGGAGACAGAGGCAGGAGGATTGCAAGTTCAAAGCCATCCTCAGCAAAAGCAAGGTGCTAAGCAACTCAGTGAGACCCTGTCTCTAAATGTAATACAAAATAGGGCTGGGGGTGTGGCTCAGTGGTCAAGTGCCCCTGAGTTCAATCCCAGGTACCCATCCACGCACACCAAAACAAAGATAAGACAAAACAAAATAGAAATTGAAATGATATACACATTAGGAAATACTGTCAAAACCTTAAAACTCAGACCTTCCAAAAACATTCAGAAAAATCACACATTAAAATATGGTGAGGACTGGATTACTTTGCTTGGTCACATCAGAAATTGCTGTAAACCCTCCCAAAGTGGCTAGTTTCTAACCAAGGAGATATTTTAAAAGATAAAAGCTATTCTGGACCAGTGGTTTATAAACCTTAGTATGCATCAGAATCCCCTGGAGGGCTGCTTGAAACACAAGAGGCTGTTTACCAACTCAGTAGAGGCTGTTTATGCCTCAGTAGATCTGTAGGGGGCCTTCGAACTCACATTGTTAAACAAGTTCCTGGACAATGCTGCCACTCACTCCATGGACCACACCTTAAGAACAACTGTCCTAGACAGTACCCAATGCGTGCCCCAGAAGTTGCAGACACAAGACCCGAAGGAAGAAACTTCATCAAAAAGTCACTTGAGAGTTTATAGGGCATTTACACATGTTATGTCATTTACCAGCCACCTACAGAATACTATTTGAACTCATCCGCTCTATTTAAGCAGGAAATTATCTGCTTCAAAAGGAAAAACAAAATAAAACAATCAGCAGCTTCCTGCAAGGTTGGATTCAACAGTCCCCTACTTCACTGGCTACCCAAGCACAATTCCATCTCCTCTGACTCCTAACATATCAAATCTTCCTTGCCATATATTTTTCTTAACTGCCTCATATTATGTATTTTAGCTAGTCTTATTATATATCTTCCCTATAGAGCTTCTACTCCACTAGGGTTTCTATGGAATGGCGCGTTTCAAGTCCCTGGAGGATTGTCTAGCACATGGAAGGAGTACAAAGAGTAACAATTAATTAAATATGGAAAATATCACACAAGATGTTGGAGCCTTGGCCAGTTCTTCTGATTGCCAATTCAGTCATTTTTCTAAGAAACTGTATACAGTCCTCCAATATTCCCACTAGTCTTTCCATGAGAAGTTGCCTGAGGAAGTTGGTGAACGAGCTGCTCAAGTTCTTTCATAAAAGCAGAACACCAACGACAGTACAAAAGTAGATGAGGACAGCTTTTACGTGGCGCATGGCCAAATACAAAGAAGGAATGCACCAGAAAGAGCAGAGAACTGATTCTGAACCAATACACCAAGGTTGGCTGAAACTCACTAATCCTCAGACCTTCTATTCAGAAAGAGTCCAAATCTCACAAAATCATGGCTGCTTTGTTTACATCATAAAAGAGATTTCCAAGTGGTTAAGAATTACAGCACTCATAGGACAGTGTTTACATATATAAAATCTGTCCCCTCTCTAAGGAGAAGCACACAGAAGCAGCCCAGTCCACTCCTCATTTTCCAGAGTGAAATCCCTACCCAGGCCTCTCTAACTGCACAAAAGAATATGCAATTTCCTCTGGGACACTCCTACTGATTCATCACGCCACCAGCAAGCCTGTCCGTCTCTCAGAGCCCTTGTCACTGCAAGCCTTTCATTAAAGAACCATTGGAGAGATGGGGTGAGAAAGGAGGAAAAGGAAGAAGGGATGATTTTCTTCTTGGTTTGACCTAACTAACAGTATAAAGAAACACGCATGAGGTGGTTTCTTGATTTCCTTCATTCTACCCAGGCCCTCTACTAAAAGCTGCTGCTTATGCTGCTCTGTGATTCAGATTAATCTTTCAGTGTTTTGTTTCTTTTTTTTTTTTTTCCTTCCTCTAAAAATATCTTGCAATTGCTGCCAAGTCTCAATGCCTTTATGATGAGTTTTCTCCTGAGGTTTTCTGGCAGTATTTCCTGTTTATGGGGGCAGGAATCTGAACAGCCTGAGCCATTATCTTAAACCTAAAGAGTCTTTCCTGGGGTACTGGAGCCATTTTTCTCTCCTTAATCATGGAAAGCTATAACACTTATAAGAATTACATGTAAAGGACCATTTTCAAGACAAACTGAAGCATAAACATTTCATACTGGACAACTTTACCAGATTTTAAAATGGTGAATATCTCTCTACCCAGTCGCATTTCTATAAAGTTAATTCTTAGAAAATAAATGGACCAGGCTGAGGTTATGGCTCAGTGGTAGAGTGCTTGCCTCGCACATGCGGGGCCCTGGGTTCGATCCTCAGCACCACATAAAAATAAATAAACAAAATAAAGTTATTTTAAAAAGAAAATAAACGGACCATTATACATACAAAGAAAAATGGGAGGAAAAAGCAACATTTTGGTGTTTTTAATAGATTCCAAACATTCTCATTCAAAACAATAAAGTCCATTAATAAGATATAGGTTCTTAAATAGACTATAGGCATAAGTTGGAAAACTATACCGCTATTAAAAATGATAATGAGAATATACATTTATCCACATGAAAAAGAAAAATATAAAATGTGGTTATAAAAGAGTATAATATGATTCAATTGCTGCAAAAAGTATGAAATATATTGTGTATATCATGTGTCAGTACATAGAGGTCCAGAAAAATATACATCAAAATGTTTATTTTATTCTTTATCCTTTACCCACATATCAGTATGTCCAAATATCAGCTATACATATATTAACAAATTTGAATTTTTATAATATACAGCTTTTATAATAAAATATACCACAAAATGTATTTTTTCATCTGTTATACAATATGCTACACCTTACCATTTTGTTCTAAGAGGGTCGACAATGCATTTGCAGATGCCTGGAAAACTTCTTTTGATGAAGAATGCATGAGCATGGACAGCATCACTTCCCTATGAGCTGGGAACCTTTCAAAAATTCAACCACAATATCATTGGTAACCTTTTCAATAATGAGCTCAAATTTTCACTATTACCCAATAACGCTAACTACAAATAAGGGCATAAGATAATATTTTACATTATCTCCACTTACAAGAAGGAATTATAGTTAAATAGCTTTCTTATGCCTCCTCCACTTACAAAAATGAATTATAAATAGCCCATTGAATATTAATAAATTAAATTTGTGTCTCTTCAAAAGCTGATAAGCAGAGAACAAATAAAAAATAAAATAAAAATAAAAGCTGATAAGCAATAGAGAGAAAAGTCTCAGCAGATACATACAAAAGTGATAGGAGGAAAAAGTTAAAGTGGGGAAAAGACAGTTTTGCCAACAAGAAAGGAAAAATTAAAAATTGTAAAGAAACAGAGCAGATTTTAGAGGTGTGGAACATAAATATATTTCTCTTAATAACATGCTTATTTTAAAGTCCTCCTATGAATATTGAAAAATAAGTGTGTTAGGAACTAAAATTTACAAATTGCAACTTGAATCTGCCTTAACCAACACTGTTCAACAAGGGATTATTTGCATGCTAGTTTGAGAATTCCCATTTCTTTTCAGAAAGGAAATGTTTGATTCAATAGCATCTGTGTCATTATCATGAGTTCCCTTCTTATTGGCAGTGGATTTTTATACAAAGAGGCTGTCAGGATTTGAGATGCAAAATATTACTATTGCAGTTTCCAAAGTTTTTGCTATTTTAAAACCCAAAGGAAACCCAGAGCAAAGAGCAGAGCATAAGCAGCAGCCATAGTGCACAAAGGCTGGTGAGGTTTGCACAGCCTTCCCTTGAGCCCTCAAGAAGGGCCAGCTTCATGTTGCCATGGAAAGAGAAGCCCATCAGCACGGACATGGGAAGTGAGCATGAGAAGATCTCTGACCAAATCCAATCCTGATGCTGACAACCTGCTGACTAGTCACCACAGAGCCAGATGGCTCTGCGACTTCTATCATCTGAGATGAATTAATGTGGCATTTTACGTGATTAGCCAGAAAACTGAAGGATCCTTTGTCCATGATTCACAAATGACGGAACAACTCTGGATTCCAAATCCCTCAGTAATAACTCTTACATGCACCACCGTTTCTGACTATGGAAGGCCCTGAGATCAAAATACTAGATACCTACCACTAATATGCAGCGATACTTAAGACACACATGCCCACATTAAAAATATTCCTACCACTGAGAGTTATGGTTAAGGTATCTTATATGCATTCATTAAAAATATATAACTGAAATTTTCTTTGGTATAAATGCAGAACTACTGACTGGCCATCTTCATCTCCAATCTTCTCATGTAAACTGTTTTGGTACATAAGGAGATTATTTAGTGCCCAGCATGCGGCCTCCTGGATTTGGGGAAGGAAAAAAAAAAAGAAACTCATCAAAATATAAATTATCAAAAAACACAATTTTGTATAAGTGTGATATTTGTGAGAGCCCAACCTGCACATGTTTGTTCTTCCTATGCCACGTTAAGGCTCGGTAACAGGCTTCCAGCCAGAACCATTTATCTTCTCCCTCCTCTTCATCATTGTCCGGATTCCTTTCTTCTAAGTCTTGATTTAAGAAAATGGTCTCAGCTTGAAAAAATTTTAAAAATAATATATGTATTTCATGTGCATAAAATTCAATGACAGTATGAATAACCAAGTTGAAGTCCATATTTTGAAATGTTGACAACAGAGAGAGGTGTTCTTCAGTGGCAGCCTTTGTTAAACATAAAGCACTTTTTAAGATATTACACACCTCAGAACACTGCCATCCCACATACATAGAAGAAAACATGAGGAAGTGGTTACCATAAAATCCAATAGAGTAGAAATAAAGTAGAGGAGGATTATTTAAGATTAGCCACATAATCAAACAAAACCCCATATAAATTAAGACACCTAGTTGATGAGCACCGAAAAGCATTTAATGCTTTCTCCTCTGCGTGTGGTCCTCTGACCATTGTGATCAACATTATAATGTCAACAGTCAACCTCAGATGCACCATGAGAATTTCCTTTTGGGGGCTGGGGGTGGCAGCTCAGTGGTAGAGCACTTGCCTAGTGTGCACAAGGCCCTGGATTTGATCCCCAGCACTGAAGAGGAAAAGGGAAAAAATAAAATTTCCTTTTGGTAAAGTTACTTACTGAGAAGTGCTAAGCAGCTGAGTGCTGAGATCTGTAACGCTGCGTTCTTTGGATACTGCTGCACAGCTTTCACCACAAACTCGTGTACCTCGTTTAATACCAGGATATTAAAAAAATTACCTACAAGTTAAATGACACATTAGCTAAATTCTCATCCATGGAACTTAAATTGCCTTACACAATATAACAGAATTCAAATCAATAAGTTGAAGTAGTGATGAATGTATTAATGCCATTAAGAAACTTAATATGATTGAGAAAAAGGTTGAAAAAAATTGTATGTGGTCATTTAATTATCTTGGATAAGAGAAGTAACTGAGCAAAAATTAATGATACAAAAGTTTGTTTTATGATATATTTGTGTTCTTGGACTCGTCCCATCATCAGCACATAAAAACAAGATGTCCATTATATACTGCACTACAATATTCATTGTACAATTTTCCTGTCTTCTAAAAGACAGAAGTTAAAAAAAAAAGAAAAGAAACTCTCCCTCTTCATTAAATTATTTTATAAAATACCCTCACCTGAAGGGATACTGCTCAGAAAACCCATTGGCACACTTACCACTATTTGATCTCATCTATGATCATCTTTGAAAACAAAACATAAATTATTTCATCACCTCTAACTCACCCATTCTAAGAAATTTAACAAAACATCCAAAAATATAAATTCTTATGATGATAGAATTTATGTTGTATTCCAAAAACATGTGACTCTTTTTGTTTCTCTTGACACTCACTAACAACCAGGAGTACTATTTATCTGTAAGTACAATTCGATGATCCCTGAGACACAATGCAAAATGGAAAAGATCCTGTATGAGGAAAAGCCTGAAATCTAAACTAAATGTCAATCAATGGCCACAGAATCAGAAGGTAGTTCAACCTGGGAATAGCTCCCCCATCAAGACCTTCCTATGTAAGTCCCTTGTCCACATTCATTCACTAAGCACACATACCCCAGTCCTCAGTGATCCTGAGCCTTGGAGAGTGATTTCAGAAAGATTCTCTTCTACTTTTACCAGCTTGTCTAAACTTGGGTTGTTTCCATCAGCTGTTTTCCCCTATTATTATGGCTATGTCACTGCCAGCAGATGCTTGACCATGGGCCAACTGTGTAGCTCTAGGCAAATACCAGTAAGATGGGCCTTACTGATGTTGAGACAACGTAAATGGAAAAGCATGGAAAACTGCATAAGGCCCTTAAATACATCAAACCCATAATTAGTTGAAATGATTTGAAAAAAAATGTTAAATATTTGTAGACTTTGGAATTTTATTTTAATCATGAAGAAAAAGTTTTATTCAGCTTCTTTTGAAACAATATCAGGAATAATAAGGCCTCTAGTTACTAAATGAAACAAATAATCTCTTAATGAAAGCCAAAAAACACCCTTATCTGACAGGCTTAATGGCACATGCCTATAATCCAGCAGCTCAGGAGACTGAGGCAGGAAGATCATGAGTTCAAGGCCAGCCTCAGCAAAAAGCGAGGCACTAAGCAATTCAATACGATCCTGTCTCTAAATAAAATACAAAGAAATAAAGCTGGGGATGTGGCTCACATCAAGTGCCCCTGAATTCAATCTCGAGTACCCACCCACCCCCCAAAATCACCCTCAAGATCAATTTGATGGCTTTTTATTTTTTCAAAACAAATTATAGAATAATATAAAAATTAAATATGACATGATATATTCTTCAGTTTATTTAATTCCAATAATATAATAATTACCAATTATTATATTATATTATGTATTATATTATTGGAATTATTACCAATAATTCCAATAATATAATAAATAACCAAGAATTTTAATATTTTTGTTGATGCATTTCAATTATACAAAATGGTGGGATTCATCTTGGCATATTAACATATATATAAAAACACAATCTGATCAATTTCACTCCCTAATACTACCCCTCCCCTACCCTCCCTCCTCGCTCCCCTCTGCCCCACCCCTTCTCTCTACCCTTCTATTTTCATGGTGTTCCTTTTTTTCCCTCTAAGTTTCAAATACAAGGGGAAACAATACTTTTCTGAGTCTGGCTTATTTCACTCAAAATTATGGTCCCGAGTTTCAACTACTTTCCTGCAAATGATGTAACTTTGTTCTTCATAATCAAGTAAAACTCCATGATTACATGGACTACATTTTATTTATCCATTCATCTAGGCAACTGACACTTAGGATGATTCCATAAATTGTTTATTGTGAATTAAGCTGTGATAAACATGGGTATGAATCTATCTCTACAGTATGCTGACTTTAATTCTTATGGTTAAATACCAGAGAGTACTATAGCTGGGTCATATAGTAGTTTTATTTTAAGTTTCTTGAGGACCCTTCATATTTGTTTTTATAGCAATTGTACTATCCTGCCAACAGTATATAATAATTCCCTCCCACCTACCCACCCGCAAACCATCCTCTGGCCATCATACACCTTTTTAGGAATCAAGTATCATTTCCCTAAGCTTGAAAACAAAACCACTTCTTCCTCTTGCTCATTTCAAGAGATAAAAGTGAACTCACACTTTTAATGTAACATTTGCAGGTTGAAACTTGACTGTGGAAAGTTATAAAACATATAATAGAACTAAACTTTAGTGTACTGCTGTAACAGCTAGTTTTAAGAAATAAACTTTTGAGTTAGGTGAAAATGCTCACAGATATCAGCCAGTTTGTACAACTGTGTTCCTTCATGAAAATATAATATTTTAAGCTAGTGAATGGCTGCTACATTTTAGAAGGAATGTTTTGTTGTTGTTTTAAATTTTTTAATTTAAACTCAATCTATGCTTAACTAAAACAATGAAGATTGTAATACTTATGGGGTACCATGTGATATTTTAAAATATGTAGACATTGGATAATATTTAATAAATCAGAGTTAACCTATATATCTCCTCAAACATGTATCATTTCCTTATGGTGAAAATATCTGAACCCATTTCCTCTAACTTTTTGAAGTATACAGGACATTATCATTATCTGTAATCAACCCACTGTGCAGTAGCACACCAGAACTTCTCTTTGCCATCTAACTTAGTGCCATCTGTGTCAAGCAAATGCACAATTCCTCATTTCTTCCATTCTCCTACTCTCCCAGTCACTAGTAACCACAGAAGGCATGCAAAAATTTCAGCCTGATTTCACTCTTTTCTGGCTACATGATCTCAGATTAGACTCAAAGACTTGCTGAACCACAGGTGCTCATGTATAAATATGGAGCATCCTAGCATCCCATCTCCTAGGATTGTTTCTTGAATTTAAAAAAATTATATGTATGAAACTACTTTGGAAGCTCTGGAAGAAATGGAAAAATATTAAGATATCTTCATTGTATCTTATAGTATTTTTTAATAAAAAAGCATTAAATAAATGCTTATTTATCATTGAAATACCAAACTAAAGGGTTGCATATGAAACAGAATTCAATCTTTAAACATTCCCTTTAACTCAGTCTATCTAGAAGTATCTCCAATGTCAAAATCAATTTCTAAATTATACAAAGGATATAATCATAGGTCCAGAAGTGAAAATTTAAGTTGCTATAATGAAATCATGAAAATTAGTTTTTTCAAATAAATTATGACTTCTTCCCCAAAGTTTTAGTGATTAAAAGCTAAATGCCTATAATAATAATCCTGATTTTGCACAAAATATTATTGGTGATCCTTTTGGGAAAAGGTCATCAGAACCAATATCCAACAGTTAATTATTATTATTCACCAACCACCCACTTTTTAATGCAAAATTCTACTCACAAAAATACCAAGGAAATCTCCAAGGTGTGTGTGTGTGTTGGGGTGGAGGATGGTGGACAAGTAGAGGGGAGGAATTCAAAAAGGAGTTGAAACAAGAACCATGAGCAGCAAGCAAATGCGCGAGCTAGGAGCCCTGTGGGAAATATGGATTCTGGCACTGCAATGGATGGACAAGCCTCAAACTTGGTCCAATGTAAGACAGCACAGCTAGAATCTCCTGTATTAAGCCTGGCTCTTAACCAGATCATAGCATGCTTTCTTTTTTAAAAAATTTGTTTTTGTTAGTTTTGTTTTGTTTTCTTTTTTTCTTCTTCTTCTTCTTTTTGGTGCTGGAGGTTGACATCAGGGCCTCTTGCATGCTAAACAGGTACTTCATACTGAGCTACACCCAAGCCCTAGAAGAAGATTTCTTAACTTGATTAAATCTATCTGTCATAAAACAAGTTAAGGTTTAAAAAATTTAAAAAGTAGCCTAGCACAGTGGCACATGCCTGTGATCCCAGTGGCTCTGGAAGCTGAGGCAGGAAGATCACAAGTTCAAAACCAGCTTCAGCAAAAATAAAGTGCTAAGCAACTTAGTGAGACCCTGTCTCTAAAGAAAAATACAAAGTTGGACTGGGGATGTGGCTCAGTGGTCAAGTGCCCCTGAGTTCACTCCCCAGTACTTCCCCCCAAAAAGTAAAAAAGTAAACTTTGTAACGAATTATTCTGGGTGACAGAATATTAGAAACTTTCTCCTTAAAATCAAAAGCAAGATGAGGATACCTACCATCACTGCCTCCAGTTAATACCATACAAGTGGTTTGAGTATTGAAAGAAGACAGGAAATGAAAATAAAGACATACATAATGAGTGGGAAGAAAGAACTCAGACCATTATTATTCACAAATTATAAAACTGCTATAAAGACAACCTAAGAACATTTACAAACAAGTTATCAGAATCAATAAGAGTTAGAAAGCTAGGTAGGATCAATATACAAAGAATCACTTCGCTTTCTTCAAGCAAACACACTTCAAAAAGATAATTTTAAAAGAGAAACCACTTATAAAAATAGCAAAAAGTAAGGTACCTAAATATAACTAACAAAGACAAGCCTGGAAGAAATTACAATGTAAGGATGTCAGTTATTCTTAAATTGATCCATACTTTTGGTGCAATTCCAGTCAAAATCCCCTTATAATTTTGAACTGGATAAATTAATTCTAAAATTTGTACAGAGAGAAAATGTCAATATGTGCATCCAAAAGAATGTGTGGTGATGTGACCCTTTCAGAGTTCAGGTCTTATAGAGCTACAGTAATTTAAGCCATGTAATATCAATCCAGACAGATCTACTTAGCCAGTGCAACATTACAGCAGGAACAGAAACACATATATACCATCTGTGTGCCACACCACTGGGAAATAGGTGAGCCCTATGCTACACTGTGCTGAGATGGTGACCAGCTCTCCATATTAAAACAAGAAAAAGGGGGAATTGAATTTTTGCAAGAAAACAATTATAGTCCTTCAACATTTTAATGAGAAAAGTTTAGGGAAAATATTGAATATATTGATTAGCTTGAGGAAAAGTTGCTTTGTGACTTATCCTCTTTTTTTCAAGAAGATACACGAAAGAGGATAAGTCACAAAGCAACTAATTATTAAATTTAACTATCCTATAAAGCCACCATAAAGATGGTGAAAAGATAAGGCACAAATTAAGAGAAAATATTTCCAATACATATAATCAACAATCAAAACATAATCCAGAATCTGTGAATTAATTTTTTTTAAAATGTCCCATGAAAAATCAATAAAAAAGTCAGGTGTGATGGTGCACACCTGTTATACCAGCAGCTCAGGAGGCTAAGGCAGGATTGCAAGTTCAAAGCCAGCTTCAGCAACTTAGAAAGACCCTGTCTCAAAATCAAAAAGGGCTAGGAATGTGGTTCAGTGGTTAAGCACCCCTGGGTTCAATCTCTAGCGTGCGTGCGCACACACACACACACACACACACAGAATAAAAAATAGATTTCATATATCACAAAGTAGGAAGAAGAATCTACAGCAAAGAAATATTTGAAAAAATATTTGCCCTGTATTTTCATAAAACAAAAAAATCCAGACATCCATAGATGAAAAATATGGAAAAATAAATTATGGTATGAACACATAATAGAATACTACATACAACTACATGAAAATATTTATGATTCTTACAAACATAGTATAAATTTTTAAAAATTGTAGAAGGCAGCATACAGTATGATTCCATTTGGATGATGGGTGAAAAACAACCAAATACATTAACAATTTGGCTTAGGAAAACATGCAAATGCAATAAAACTATATTTAGAAAGAAAAAAAAACCGATAAATACAAAATCCTGGAGAGTGTTAACCTTTACAGAGAAAGCAAGGATAGGAGAGAGATTTTTCCAGTCCTGATAAATGTACTAATACTCAAGGCAGCTGGTGAGTTCTTTGCTTTATGCTTCATATTTTCTACATAAGTAGATATCAATTGTCACATTAATGTATTTTAAATATAGTACTAACAAAAAAACACTCCTATAGTATCACTTCTTCAAAAAACAAATTAATAATACTCTTAAATTTCATACATTTTGCCACTTCTTTTAAAATTCCCTCTAAGCATGGCAGTAGCAATTCATAAAATAACAATTTGCTACTTTACAACATGTCCATCCAATGCTATTAGTATACTGCTCATTCATCAACATACGATACACACATGCTATATGTACTTACAACATAAGGATTATGAGAATAAATTAAGAGTCATAACTCACCTAATGTAAGCCTATACAGCAAACAGCAACTCACTTCTTGAATTTTTTCATGGACAGGGAATGCTTTCATGGCTTCCACCACAATATTGTAGCACCTGACATTGCCACTCATGAGGACTTCTACATTGTTGCCTAAATTTAAATAAACCATAATTACAAATAGAGGAAAATTTTCTCCTTTCAGATATGCATAAAACACATTTTAGACTATAAATATATGGAAGCAGAATTACTACATTTCCAAATTTAAATATCATGTCCTATCCAACAGCTATAAAAAATACTATGCAGTTCACTGTTAATATTCATGGGAAGGAGGACTCATCTTTGGCATTAAGGGAAAATTGCTTTATTCCTATTTCTTGGCTTAAAATTTTAAGACCAGGGGAGGGGAGGGGGAAGGGGATGGTCATGTTTTTATGTAAGCCTAAAAATGGCCACATTTTTAAACAAATTAATTTGAAGGCTTATTTCCTAATGAGGACATTGTCATATGGTTTTTGCTTTGCTTCTTTTCCTCACATCATACAAGGAAAATCAAGATTAAGTCCCATAGTAGAACAGCTAAAAGCAAAGGTGATCTATTTCCCACATTCCAGAATGGCCAGTGCAGAAGGCAGAACAACTAACTTTCCTGAAAGTCCTAGATAGATTGGGGAGGCAGTGGAGGTGGCAGTGGGGAAGGGGAGAAGAGAAGTAAGACATTTAACTGTATGATAAAGGGACAAACCTAAGAGAAATAGAAAGTAAAGAAATAAGCCACTTGGAAAGACTATTAATCAGTAAAGAGAGTGAATTATGAAACTTATGCAGAGTAAAACATTTCTATCTTAGAAAGAAATGTTGACTGTTCACTGAGAAAAAAAAAGAATCAGTAAGCAAAACTTTTTTTTTTGTCAACATAGCTAAAACTGGTTTCTCAAATAATATATTTCAATGTTTAAATTACATTTAAAAACAACAAATATTTTAAAATGCATTTAAAAATAAAAGAAAACATCCTCTTAAAACAATTAACTACTTTGACGTAGAACAAGCAGATGTGATTTGCTCTATGATCAAAAGGCAGAAGTCTTTAGTTCAGAACAAGTATTTAAAACTCTTGATATCTTCATTTTTATCTGCTCTTTCTTTGACCTTTACATCATGAATCAACATATTTTAACTAGAGTTATGTCATACGTGGGTGGAAAACAATGAATTCCAAAAGCAACCAGCACAAAATAAATAAATAAATGAATAAATATAGCTCAGGAAAAGTACAATGATGAATATATTCAGTTTGTTGGCAGTGATGACTGGGACAATGTGAAAGTATGGTCATTCTCTGTTATTATTATTCAGTGTTATTCTCTTTCAAGTGCTTAATATCCTGTGAGTGAGAAAATCAGTGTGATTTTATAAACACCACAAAGAAATGGTATGCATTCACAAGGACATTGGGTGTTGACCCTGCTACACTGATGTTTCACATCTTCAGATGGCCAAACTGATTTCCATATCTGAAACCATATAGGAATGTTATCTATAATATGCGACATCATGCATATAAAATCAATATTGTGTAATAATGTTGTCGATGTTTGTATGACATATATTACAAACCAGGAACTATTCTGCATTCTTTATCTTATTTACCTCATTTAATTTTCAAAACTTTACATGTGGGAGAATAAAAATATTACTAGATAAATTCATATGTACATCCTTGTAAACCCACACAGATAGTACATGAAATATGATTATATGTTATTATGTTATTGTGCACTTGCAAAACAAAGCAGAATCTGAAGCATATTTTAGCTCATTAGTATTCATTGGTTGCATACACAACAAATGAATTTCTTTGGATTTGTGATTTTTTTTGTGTGAAAGAAATGGTTAAATTTCAAAGCACACTAAAATGCTAACCAAGAACTATAATAAAGTTCAAACTCCTTCATGTATCTTTTCAGTCCCACATAACCCTACTCCAGGTCTGCAGCCTCATCCATTTACCACGCCCTTCTCCTGCCACCATTAGCAAAACTCGAACACATCACTGGAAACATGCATGCATACTCACACACATGTGTGCAAGCACTCAAAAATCCATGGTTTAGTGAGCCACTTTTATTTTTTTGAAAGCTCTGTGCTTACTCTTGCTCCAGAATCTTTACACTCACAATGCCCACTGCCTGGACACTTGGCCTGCATTCGCACTTCACCTCACTCCTCCCTATAAACAAAACTCTTATCATTCAAGACTCTTCGAAGAGATCTTGACTCGTTCTGTATTTACTCTCATAACCCTAGGTACTTCTGCCACTACTTCCCTTGTAATGCTGCAATCACCTAGGTACTTACCTGCATCCCTCACTGTACCCTGAACTCTAAAAAAGCAAAGAATATGTTCATATTTTCCACTACTGTTTCCCCAATACCAAGCCCAGAGCCAGCTGCAATCATCTCAATAAATAAAACTTAATCAAATAAATAAATAAATGAGTTTAGGACCCACAACACTAAATAACAAAAATATTTTCAAAACACATTCAGAATGGAGAGATAATGTAATTTTCACAGGCAAAAAAGAAATCACGTATATAGGCTACTTACAAGGAATTGCTAAGGAATGTAAACAGTGTAGTACATGAAGCACAATTTCCTCTTCACCTTTAAAATTCTTTAATGCACTCAACAATATTATATAATCCTTGTTCTCAACAAATTCAATGAGTTGTTCCTCAGACACTAAAACATGAAGGACAAAAAATATAAAATAAAATTTAAAATGATATAAAAGTTTAGTTACTCAACAATATATTCATAATAGTTGTATGAGGCATGGCAAATACAATATACTTAAGTAAAAATGTGTTTCTGCAAGATGCCTCCCTAAGAATTTTATAACAAGAGAATTATTTGCATAAAAATAATTTTATTTTGACCTGTATTAGTTATATCAAATTTTGAATTGCAAAGGTGATATTCATCAAACAGTTTTCAAAAAATCAAAATCATTTACAATTCATCTGGAAGAGTCTATAGAGAAAACCAGCCAGTACCAATAAAGATGCCAACTAGAAATGAACATTTTATGCCACTTAAAATTGAGGGGTTAACAGTAGTCTATAGAAGGGCAGCTCGGCTAAATGTATCAGTTCAAAAGGCGTGAACTTTAGCAAATGACAAGTAATTAAACTTCAAAATATTCTCCCTTAATGGTTTTCCTTCAGAATTCAAAAATTATCATCATTAATTCTCATAATTTAAGTCTTTAAATCAAGTCACTGAGTTCCATTTGGAGTCATTCTATTAGCTCAGAACCTCAAAACCATGTATAAAAATCTGGTTTGTTGAGCTTGAGATGTGCACCAACAAAAGTGTTATAAAATGTACCGCTCTTTGTGATGAACATTCATTCTTTTTCAGTTTTATTCTTATGTGACCCTATAATATAATGTGAAATTGGTTAGATTCTTTTAATAAATGAAAGGTAGCATGGAATTTTTTTCATTTCATTGAGGAGTTTCCATAGCATTTTTTTTCCCAAACTTTGGAAATTAAACTTATTAACTAACTTTTAAAAAAAATCAACTTTATAAGCTAAATTAATTGAGTCTTGGGAAACTTGATACTCCTGGAAAATTCCGAACTTTTTCTTCATTACATTTACAATCATAATACTTGGGACACTGCTGATCTTTCTATTGAGTGAGATTTTTTTTTCTTTTCAACATTCCCTGGTCCATCTCCAAGTGTCATGGTAGGGCCCCTAACACTTGTGAGACTGATGACAGTCCTTCTTCTGAGAATAAGAATGTGTTCCTATACTGCAACACTGAAGATTACAGGCCCTGTAGGATGACAGAACCTAAAACTTTATCCTCCCAGTTCCTATCAAAAGCATAGTTGTAAGATATAACATGTATAGCAGATTGCTTGGAAGACAGAGTTCTTTCATTCTGTGTTCACAGTAAACTATCTTCTCTACCAAGCATGCTCACTGAAAAGCTGGGTCCCAGGTTCAGATTGTTCTGACTCTTGACAAAGTCACTGAAATATACTTTGTGTTCCTTGCAAAATGTGTATACTTTATCATCTCATCCAGGGACACCCATGGGGGTGGGGGTTACTCCCAGGTCTTCTACGAGAAAAATAACAAACTTATTTTTCTATAACTTTCCCTTTATCAATTTTCTTATCCTTTTTTGTCTCTAATGAATTATAATTATGTACAAGCTGTTTAAGTAACATCTGGAATAAGACAGGGAATTAAATGATATCAGAAACTTTATCCCATTTCTGGAGCTGCCAGATATTAAAGTGGTAAACTGGTATTGGCAATAGGGCCTGCATAAAGCATTCATTCTTATGTGAAGCCCTAGCAGAGCTGGTTCCAATAATGATGTAAAAGGGACTCTCACAAGACAGCAATAGCTGAACTGTGCTGCAACTAGCTATGTGTCCTCCGGCAAGTTGCTCATTTTTCTGACCCATTTCTTCATTAAGACAGAGGAAGGACTAAACAAAGGTTCCAACCAACTCTGAAATTGCATGATAATCTATTATCAACTGAGTGCCATGCTATAAAATACACATTGCTCTGTGTCCTAAGGGACAATTTATGAACCCTGGTTTATTATCCAGAGTCTTTATATTTTTAAGATCTTGGGTGATGACTCATTATAAACCCAAGTTAACCTGTGCTGGATTCATGATTTTATATTTTTCTTTATTAGCACCCGTACAATCTGGTTTTTAAAGTGAACATTCTGCCTTGCTATACAATGGAATGAAAGTGTACTAATACCGTATGATTTATGGCCCAGAAATGACATTCACATCACAAAAACAAGCAGTATTTCTGATTAACCCTATTATTCACCCTTGACAGACAACTCATTTGTTAATAAATAGTATGATTTAGATACCTTTTTCTTATCATAATTATATCATACTTTTATAATGATAAAAGAGCCTTTTTTCTTATATATATTTCAAAATAAAGATTTTTAAAATTTTTAAATACCTCTTTCAAACAGCACATGTAAAGCTTTGCATCCAAGTTTCTGGACTTCATCATTGGCTGAAAATGTACGCATGGCATCAAAAATTAACAAGAAAATATCACTCTCTTCTTCCAATATCATCAAAGTGATTTTACCTATGAAGAGAAGGAAATGACTCCAAGTGAAGAGCTGCTTCAGGAGTTGTGGTAATTTTTACATAAGGAATATGAATGGTATATTTTTCATAGACCATTTAACTCTCTGAACTGTCATGGGCACCCCAAACCTAGATTACTTCTGTACCCTTTCTTCATAAGTGATATTATCATAGAGTAGTTTTCACAAAAGAAAACATCTAGTCATGTTCCATTCTACATCTTTCTTTCATTCTCTCTCTAACCAACTAATTAAATCATTATTAAGCCCTTCAAGTGTGATCTCCCAAATAAAAAAACTCTTTTAGAACAAGACCCCATCACTCCTATCATGTACCTCATCATATCTCACCAAAAATGCAAAAACATTTGCTTAATTGCTCTGCATGGCCCAAACCTCTACCCAATTAGTTTCTTCCCTGATTCTGTAAATCCTTTGCTGACATTTGCTAAGGCTTTCTCTTACTCCCTAACATGACAAACAAGATTCTTCCCAAAACTACTACATGGATCTCATCAGCCCCATGTTCTTCCATGCCTTTTCTCAACTCCAAATATATTGAATTGCTTGCTTAATACTAAGCTTCTTTTTAATATCCCTTTGAACTTTCTCAGTTGCATGAAATACTCTTGCTCTTTTCTCTACCAAAACTATTATTGCCATAATTTAAGAAATAACACAAATAACACCTATAGGGCAGTAAAAATAATGGTACTGGAATAGGAGTGACAGTAGTAAACATTTTTACAGCATAAATGTGTCAGTCACTGGTTGAAGCGCTTCCTTATACAGGCTTAATCACCACTACAATCCCATCAGGTAGGTCCAATGCCCATTTTAAAGATCAGAAAACTGAGGCACACGCAATCCAAGAACTCTACTCAAGGTCCAACAACTGATAAGAGGCAGAGATGGATAAAAATTTAGGCAGGTCATGTCCATGCCCTTGTGTCCTACAAGCAAGTTTAGCTACTCTTGTGTCCATAGTGGTTTTCTTCATATTTCTTTTTGTAGTACTTTCCTCAACTAAATTTTAATTAATACTATACTTATATAAATTTAAAAATTTTAATTATATATAAATTAAAGAATTACATAAATTCTTTAATCTATAGGCCTGCAATGTCCAATTCTATAGCCACTATCACAAGTGTCTATTTAAATTCAAATTTAAATGAATTTCTATTGAATATGATTAGGATTCAGTTTCTGCTATTTTAAATGTTCACCAGCCAGATATAACCACCAGCTATGGTATTGGAACATTCAGACATTCCGTCAATGGAGAACATTATATTAGACAGCAGTGATGAATTATGAACATCTAAATTGTAGGAATTTTGCCTCATCTGTCTTAGAATTAACTAGCACCCAGAAGAATAGTAAGTACCCAATAACTATTAAATCGATTAATTAATGGCTAGAAAATAAAAATGACTTACAAATCAGCTTTGAGTAAGTACCTGAAGTGAACTTAAAAAACATATAAAATTTCCTAGTAGCTCAAAATTTTGACTGCTATGTGGGAGAAATTAAATTAATCTTTTCAAAACATATTTCATATTTTCTAGCCGCCTGCATGTTGCCAACTTCTATATATTCCAGGGTTGGAAGACTTTTTTTTTTTTATTCATCAACCCTCATTTTCCTGTCCACCACCAAATGGAGAATAAATAAATGCTGTTCTCAAGGACAAGGGTTTAAAAAAATTCATGGTTAAAACTAGTTAGTTTATAACATGCCATTAACTTTTTTTTTCCCCTTTGGTACAGGGTATTGAACTCAGGGACTCAACCACTTAGCCACATCTCCAGCCCTATTTTGTATTTTTTATTTACAGACAGGATCTCACTGAGTTGCTTAGCACTTCACTGTTGCTGAGGCTGGCTTTGAACTAGGGATCCTCCAGTCTCAGCCTCTGAGCTGCCAGGATTACAGGCACGTGCCACCACACCCAGCTCATGCCATTAAATATTCTAATAAAAGGCTATGGTGAAATGATCAGGATCTTCGAACTTTTCCTATCTCTTCTCCTTCATAACCTTTGTCTTCACTCTCTTTCTTGAGAGAAGGGCTGATGTGAACATTATAGGTCCCCACCTATATGTCCAGGATCTCATGCTGCCCTCCCAGGCCTCTGCAACTCTGCAAGAATGGTTCTCCTGACCTAAAACACCCTGTGCTACCTTAAGCAACGCTTAAAGATTAGGTCCCTGTGAGCGGCCTTTCTTCTCAGAACTTTACATGACCTCCAGTGTCTCTCACAGCAGTGACCACAAGAATTGCACCATATCAAAAGTCTTTGTTCAAGTTCATTATCTTCCATACAGAAGTTTTCCCAGGCAAAAAAACAAAAAAAAAACCTGACATGTATACCTTCAATCCCTAGCTCTACCATTTAGTGGCTAAAGCAATCTCTTATCTCAAAGCTTCAGAGTTTCTCACCTAGAAAACGGAGATAAAATACCAACCTCCAAAGCTGTTTTTAAAAGTGTGTGAAGCACTTTACATATGGAGCCTGGCATCTAGCAAGCACTTAAGAAGAAATGCTATATACTTTTAAAATATTGCTATTATAGTATACTATAGAACATATATTATAGAAAACATATGAAAGATAAATATGGAGCTGGGTGTGGTAATGCACACCTGTAATCCCAGCTACTAGGGAGACTGAGCAGAAGGATCTAAAGTTTGAGGCCAGCCTGGGCAACCTGGGGAGATTGTGTCCCAAAATTACACAATAAAAGAACTGAGGATATAGCTCAGAATATAGTGCTTGCTTGAGATCCTGAGTTCAATCCCCAGTACCACAAAAAAAAAATAACAAAAGATATGTATGAAGAAAGATACAAAAATGACCAGGGAATGAATGGTCACCAAGCCAGGGAGAACGTGAAATGTGGGACCAGATTTGACAGTAAATTGGCACTTGGAATAGAGATTTGGGAGTGATATATCAAGAACTGCTTAAAATCAAGGTACTGCATGAAATTTTTAAGAAAAAAATATATAAAGAGATGAGAAGATAGAAACAAAAGAAATATAGAAATACTGATATTTAGGTTATATAATGTTATGATCTTAAATGACTTAAATACATTTAGTAAATGGTTTCAAATATTTTTATACATAAAATATGTAAGCCTGTTACCTGAAGTTAGGAAGAGATCTAAGGCCTTCAGTCCAATTGTTGACAGGTTTACACTGGCATTATGAACGGTTAGCATTTTAAGAATCAGTCTGGAGTTAAAAACAAATCAGGTAATAATTCAAAGTTAAACTCTGAGGTTTGCTTATTTAAGTATTATTTTTTATTTGCATATTTTGGCTAGTCTCATTGTATTTAATTCCTATAGTGAAGCTCATGTATTTTGTTTTGTTTTGTTTTTTCTTCCTACAAACCTGAACCAAGCTTATACAAATTAACAGGAATGTTATTTACTTCATTGTGGTGCATATTTCACAGTACATACATATATTAAATCATCAAGTTGTATACCTTAAATACATACAATTTTTAACTCTCCACTATATCTCAACAAAGTTGGGAGAAAAACAAAAACAGGGAAACTTAACAAGGAACTATTATGAGTCTCTTCACTCCTCAGAAAAGTTATAACTACTGATCATTTTTCCTCCTTTAAAAATTCAAATTCAGTTAACTATTTTCAGCCAACTCCATATCCAAACTATCATGAAGAGCTGCATACATCAAACAGTCAAGACCATTTTTATATGTGATGAAAGCCTATCAATTACATTGTGCATATTGATACATTAACACAGAAAGATCTAAGAGATGCTAGTATGTATATAAGGAATTCATTTAAATACTTAAATTATTGCTACTGTGTTTGAAAGAGAAATAATATGTTACATTGGAAAGTGAACTCAGTCTCTCAACAGCATTTAATTAGTTCTAAATCATGAGATTTTAATCTGTGCATTATTAATCCCAAAATAAAATCTTTAGTCTATTCCTGCCTGGTGTTATTTGCCTTTTGTCAGGAGGAAACCCAGCTTGTGATATTCAGAGCTCTAACAAAATTCAAGAGACTTGTCACATGATTTCCAATCAGCAAGGTGAGGAGCTTAGAGATTCTTTCCTTCAATTTTCAGTCAACTCTCCTCCTATCTCCCCCCACCCAACCTTTCCCTGTTCCACTCCTAGTATTATTGAATTCAACACTATAGAAAACATTTTTCTTTAGTATTTGTAGATCTTTTGTGAGAAAAGGTCCCTGAATATAAAGAAATATGTTTTACAGTAAGTTTTTGATGGGAATCATCTAATAGGCTCCACTGTAAAGAACATTGTATCTATCTTGTTCTGGCTCACTTCTGGCTTAGAGTGGGGACTTAAAAAAAGTAAATGAATGAATGAACAAGTAAGTTAGTGAGTAAATAAGTAGTATAACTTAACAGTTGTTCTGTACTAAAATATGAATAGATCAGTTTCCAACACTCTCAATCTTTGGGAAACTTTCCTTAAAGTTACAATTACTAATTATAGTAATTTTGGATTACTTTTTATTAAATGCCATATAACTGATTCAGAATTTCAGAGATGAGTTTGAAAATGAGAGCATGGATTAATTGTAAACATGCTTTTTCCAAAATATACCCTTGATATGGCAGAAACTAAATATCAGCAACAAATATTTACCAAAAATAGAAAAAATATATAAGCACTAAGTACTTATATGGGGTTTTAGTGAGCATAACAAAATATTAAATGCAAGACTGGCTATACTCATATCTTAGTACTTGGATATAAGATATGCTCACCTATGAACAAACACATAGCTCTAATTGGTCTAAATATATTGTTGATCTATTGTTGATGCTGATAAACAATACAAAGTATAAAATTTAGTTTTTCCTAAGTTGTATTTTTCTCAAGCAATACACCTTTGGAAGCAAAATATAGCCACAATTCCCTTCTCTGAAGTAAAGATAAGTGAAATTAAGTATAAAGAAAACTTAAAGTAAATGGCAGAAGATACTTTTTAAATGTTGAGAAACTAAGTTTTTAAAAAAGAATTTTCCTGGAAATAAATTTTTCCTCAGAAAATTCTTTCTTAACTAATTGTGGCTTAAGAAAGCAGTCTCATCTAATAAGTTATTATGCTGAAAACTGCAGAAAGGTAGTTGGTAAAATAGTTATCAAGACCTGACTGTACAGGTACTAAAGGTAATTTTCTTTTTTTCTTTTGAAAACCATATTTAAACTCACTAAACATGTACATATGAATAAACCTATACTATTTAAAGACAGTAAAGCATAAACATTCAAAATACTACTTATAGAACTAACTTTTCAGTTCCCCTATTTTTTTTTTTAAGAACTGGTAGTCCTGTTAGTTCCACTATTAAAAAGTAAAAGACTCTTTTTTGGTTTGAATTATTAATTACCCATCAAAAATCTACAACTCATCCATTATATAATTGTAGATTATATTGTTAAAATAATAGTCACTTTATTAAGGTGACTATTATTATTATTATTATTATTATTATACCACCAATATGATTTCAGATTAAAGCTGTCTATAAATGCAAATCATTGATTCAAGGAAAAGTGCCTATATTTTGAAGAATTTCACAAGAATTGCCTTGGATCCCAAACAGTATTTTAAAAGAAAGACTGACATAGGTATAGATGCATCTGTCATACTCACTGGTGAACACCAAGGACTTCCCAGTCATTTCCAATATCATGGGGTCCCATTAAGCTCTGCATTGTTCCTGGACAGACCTCTATTAATTTGCATAGAAGTGACCAACCCACCTGAAAGCAAGAAAACAAATATTCACATTTTTAAAAGATGCTAATATAACATTTTCAAACATGAATCTTCATTCTCAGTGGGATAGGTGATTCTATCATTTTTAAATAATTATTTTAAAACAATACCTTGAAACACTTTCTGAGAAATAAATGCAAGTCATATATTTAGAATACATATTAGGATACATATTATTCAAAGAGTCATACAAGAAGGGTATAAAAATCAGTATATTATAACAAAATAATCTAAAATAACCTGCAAAGAAGAAGTTAAGAGGGCATACCAAAATTAAGTGCAAGAATGGCTATACTCCCGTCCTAGTATGTTCCTAACATATATCTCCCTGACAGAATCTCTTCCAGGTATTTAGGATTTTAATTATATGGGAAAACAATGTGAGTTGGAATGGAGAATTAGGGGTAGTTTGAGAGTTTAATAGCAAAGTATAAGTTATCAGAAATGACAGTTCCTCAACTAATGGGGCTAGATTAACAGAGGCAAGAGAAATGGCTTAGCTTATGACTGAATCTACATTTGGTAGAGGAGGAAAAAAAAATAAGTGACTGTAATACAAGAAGGAGGCAGAATTGCTCAAGGTCCACTTTAAAATTCTCTTCAAAGTCTAACTATGAATTGATGTGGCCTGGACATCACAAATGCCCAAAGCTCTTTCATCTTTCCAATGATACTGGAACTCATTGATACATTGTAAATATGTTTACACTCAGTCCACTTACACATGACAATTTGAATAAAGTGCTCTTTATCTCTGGGAGGAAAAAATGAGATATTGATTCCAAACAAGAGATTAAATTTAGCTGGGCACAGTGGTGCACACCTGTAATCCCAGGGGCTCAGGAAGCTGAGGAAGTTGGATCACAAGTTCAAAGCCAGTCTCAGCAATTTAGCAAGGCCCTAAGCAACTCAGTAAGGTTCTATCTCTAAATAAAATATTTTAAATGGCTGGGATATGGCTGATGGGTTAAGCACCCTTTGGTTTGATCCCCAGTACCCCCTCAAAAAATATTTAACCCATACTTCCTTCTGTATATTACTATGTAAATTAAACTATCTTCAATTCTTTCCATTGTATTAGAAAACTGTACTTCATGTGGTCAAAAAAGAAACAAAATGTATATAAATGTTGCATCTAAGACTAACAAAAAAGTACCTAAGTATGATGTATTGTAAAGACCAATAAAATGAGTACTGAAAGTACCTTCTATGAGCTAGGATTGTTCAAAGAAAGACATAACATGAAGGATGCAGAACTTAATCCAGATTTTAAAAGTCCCTTCTAAAACTGATGAGACATGAGGGCAGGTAGCTAAGTGGTAAGAAGACTGCTCCGGGGGAGGACAGTGTCACTGGATAAGATTGGATGTACAACTGGAGTTGAATGATCCAAAGAATTGAATGACAAAGTGAGAAATGTGTAGGAATAGCAGCACAAGTTTCTTACTTGTTTATAGGAGTAAACACAGAGATAAAAATTCTGTTGATCTCTTTACAAGATTATCTCTATAATCTTATTTATAAAATCTCTTCACAATATTTTTTCCTATAGTGAACTGCTTTACTTTGCCACTACTTCCTTTTATATAATTTCAAATTGCTTTAAAAGGCAATGATTTCTAACAGCTATTTTTACCTATGTTTAAATAGGACATCCTCCTCCACCTAAACTGAACAGACATTGATAATCTAGCTGTCATAGAAACTGGTTATTTTGAGCTTTCGTAAAATACATTGAGACTCTTCTCCTCAAAAAAAAAAAAAAAATTAAATAACATTCTGAAGAGCTTCTAATGGGGGGAAAAAATCACACAAGGATGCTAAACTCATGTCTGTACCTGCATGGCTGACTCAAGGAGAAAACCTGTTTTGTTTGGATTGGTAAAGCTGCAGCATCAACTGCAGGAAGAGTCAGGCAACTGAACTTGCAATCACTAAGTGGAGCTTCTTTGATTAAACAGAACCTCCAGCAGCAAAGCAGAGATAACAACTGATTCATTAATCTAGTCAATTAAGAGCTTTTCTTTCAAAGAGAGAAGATTTCCATCCTGCACCATTTACAATATAATTAAATTAGTAGTTTTGCTTTATTATAATCATTCTATAAACTCAAGCACCTAATTCTGCATAGCGGGAAAGAGTTGAGGGGTTAAAGAAAATTTTAGTCACTTTCATTTATTTTGCTCTCCTTCTTCAAAGGGTGAAACTTTGTAGATAAAGGAAAGTAAAACTGAGAAGCAGAGAGAAAATGAATAGCAGGTAGAAAAAAGTACATGGCAGCTGGTCTAACCACCAATTCTCTAAAGATTGTCATTTACTAAGAATCATTAATAAAATATAATAAGACCTTGGGAATAAAAATTCAGTGTCTGGAATATCATTGTTAATGACTTCTGGAAACAAACCTTTCCAAAGAGTAATTTATTTAACTCCTTCTATTTTATTAAGAGTTTTTAATTTGGCCTTTCCAGCTATTTTGAAATATAAAGCAGTAAAGGATCCCTACACTAATTATACCAATATGGTGAGGAAATTTAGAGGAAACAAACTACTTTCAAGGAGAGTATTAAAATATCAGCAGAGACCCCAGTGTATACCTTGAAGAAGACCAGCAATAATTAAATGATAACTGATGACATTGTAGATAGTGAGACCACATTGTACTAAACATTGTATTTTTTACATGTTTACACAAAAGGATTATGAATTCAGTGGCTAGTGGACTGTTTGATGTAGATTTTGAAGGAGTGAAAAGATTTGAATCCTGATTCTGTCACAAGCTCCCTGATCTTCAAAGGTTACCTGCTCTTACTGAGCCACCACAAGTGTAAAATACCCAGTAAGATGTCTGAGAGGGCAGTGAAAATCAAATGATGTCATCATATACACAATGCTCTTTGCAGATGTATATATGTATGACACTGAAATTCATTCATTATTCTATCCCATTAAATTATCAAATCAAAAAACTGTTGCTTATTTTCCAAACTACATGGCCTCTGTTCCTTTCTAGGCAAGGATTTTAAGTAATGTTCATAACTATTCCAGACAAGTGTGCCTAGACATGGACACTTTCTAAAATTAGGAATTAGGGGAGGCTGGGGATGTTGCTGATGGTAGAAGGTACGCTTAGCATTTGGGAAGGCCCTGGGGTTAATAGCCAGCATCCCCCTGACAAAAAAAGAAAATAGAATTAGGTAGTGAGTATGTTTCAGGTTCCCTTGGGTTCTCAAGTCTCTCACTGTCTCCTCTGGACTCTACAGAACAAAGCCTACCCAGGAGTTGGTGTGGAACCAAGCAAGGGTGAGTCTACCAAGCACAGAGCCTGGGAATGGAGGCAGCCAGAATCAGACATTATGAACACAAAGCAGACACTAGTAAGAAGGATGGTGTGGGTGGAGACCAGCAAGCACAATAGGCCAGTGCCTAAGAAGTGACTCACATTCCATGGACAAAATTCAGACTTAAAGTGCTAAAAAGAACAGTATCACATCATGCCTCCAACTTTTCTTGGTTTTGATTGAAAAATCAATAGATGGGAAATATTTTATTGAAGAAAAATGAAAATATTTATTCCATATATAAATGTCTTTATATAAAAGAAGCCAGATACATCATTCACCCAGACTAGATATGGCTAGGTAAAGAACATAAAAACAAAGAGACAAACATCAATATGGAGATTGATAGAATTCTTACATTGGTTTAGCCTCTCAGATGAATAGTAAAAAAAAAAAAAAAATGGTTTTTCTAACTGCACCTCCATAAAGTTTAAAGGCCACTTCTCTTGTCCTGCATGACTTAGTTTACAGATGACAAAACTGATTTCAGTTCCCCAAATCTCAAAATGCTCTAGAGGAAGTTATCACCTTGGGTATTTTTGTCTTAACTCTAAATTATTCTTAATTATCATTTTAGGGCTGCTTTTTAAATATATTCACGGTATTTAGCATATTTCTGGATGTCCTATAGTACAGATTCTAAAAGTCGTGCTTTTGCATTCATTTTACATAACAGCAGTTGCAAAGCATGTATTTAAACAAATAGAACCATAAAACATCATTTTTTATACACTATAAGGTATAGGACAACTAAAGGCTAGAAATCTGTCTTTAAGTTAAAAAATAAAACGAGCTGAAATTTATGAGTGTTTGCCAGTTACTTAATTGTGCAGTATTACTGTTAATTATTTCTCTTTCCCAAACTATGCACAGTGGTGCCATATCTAGGACGTGCTGCACATTGGGAAGATTCTTAGAATACTTTGATCCAAACACTAAGGAACTCCTCTTGCCAATAAAAGAACTAATCCTCAACCTAGTTTTATTCTCCTCCCACTACCATCCATATTCTGTCAGTCGGTTTTTACAAAGTTACCTCTGAAAGACAGGGAACCTGTAGTGGGCCCTTATACTCTGTTAAATCGGCTAATGATTTGACCATGTTTCCATCCTAAAATCACCATCAGCGGTTTATCACGCCAAAGAGCTCCGGATGTATAACATTGACAGAAAAACGTGTCTTCCCAACAGAAGTGGGATGAGCAAAGTGAAAATTCCTTTTACCTGCTGCACGCTGGCAACTCTCATATAGGAGTCCAGGACGATCAACAGAGGCACGTGGAAATTTTTGCCTTCAAATAACTTGGAGGCTGGAAAAGAAGGGGGTTGGGGGGGGAGGAGGCAAAGTCAGGATCCACACCATCCCTTTAAATTTTTACAAGGGGAAAAAAGCAAAACAGATGAGCCCAAGATCTTCCTGGATTTCTCAGGTCCTTGTTGCCTTAAAGAAGGGAGCAGGGAGTTTGGGGATTCGGAAGAGTTCAGGTTTGGGCAAGCTCCAAAGGGCAGGGGAGAAAGTTTGCAAAAGTGAGGAGGAGGGGAGAATAAAGGAGCAGTTGCCTTGCAAATGATTACCATGGTCCGAGTAGGTGAACACCAGCATGTCTTCCAGGATTTGGACCAGCGTTTCTATCTGTTTGCCTTCTTGAACATTATTCAGCCTGACTATCAACTTCTTCAGAGTTTCCTCGTCCTCCACGCAGCCCTGACAGCTGCAACTAGCCATGGTGGCTCCTGCGGCAAACCCGGCACCTCTCCCAGCACGAATGCCCACTGCTGCGGGTAGGGGCCACTGCTCTCGGGCGAGAGCCGCTCACGGCCGGCGGCCAGCGCTACCCGCGGGCCCCATCTGCACCCGACCTGCCTGTTTATGAGGAAGGCGGCGGCTCCCCGCCCTGCGCTGCCCTCCCTCTCCCTAAGCCCTCCTCCCCGGCTTCCTCCTCCCCCACCCAGGCCCCAAAACGAGCTGAGTGGCCTGCCCGAGGCTTGGCCGGGGCGAGGCGACGCGCAGAACCGTGGCGGCGACCTTAGGCGCGGACAGAGTGCGGGCCAGCGGGGCGGACGGTGACCGTGACCGTGTCCCACCCACTGCCCTCGCCTCAGGCCCGCCGGGAGAGACCCGGGCGCGCGCCGCCTCTTCAGATCGGATCCCACTCGCTGCGGCGGCGCCGCCCGGAATAGAGCTGGAAGAAACTGACTAAGCGGACTCCGCCAAGTCCCAGGCCTAGAGCCCGGCAGCGGCGGGAAGGAGGCGCACCGCCTGCCCTGAGCCCACCCGCAGCGACCCGCCAGCCCGGCCTCTGCAGCCCTTCCTAAGGGCTAGGAACTAGGAAGAGGAAAAAAAAAAAAAAAATGAAAGTCGCCTATCTCCAGATCTAAGAATAGAAATCAGGGCGTTGGGAAAAGAGGACACCACCCAGTGGGCCCCTTTTAGGAAAACATTCTCTGCCGCTGTAGGGAGATGAGTAATTTCCCCCAAAGGATGGAGAGTTTAGCAATCGAAATTTGCCCAGTTACATTCTTCTCTGTGATTGTTGTGGCTTTTGTAGGGAAGAAATAAAATTTGTTTTTGTTTTCGAAATCTGTGGTTGCCAAAATGTCACTCGATTGACCTTTGAAAATTTGCGTTTGCACTAGGCAGGATGCTTAGAGTTGGAGCACACCAAAAAGTAGTCGGTTCTCAGCGCCATTAGAATCAAGAGAAAGACAGGGTGGAAAAAGCAATACTGATCTGGTAATGAGAATTGCTTATGAGTAAGGAGGTCAAGATCTCTAAAGTTAAAGCGGGGCCTGAGGGTACATAGCTCAATGGTGGATGGTTTGTCTGGTGTGCCAGAGGGGACACACACACACACACACACACACACACACAGGCTCACAGTGATGTATTTTTCAGGAAGAGAAACAATCAGAAAGAACACTGCAAACAAAGCTTAAGCAAAGATATCTATTTCCTTCAGTTTAATCTATCCTCAAGGTCATTTAAAAAGAAGAGGATTAGACTGGAAATAAGCACTTCCAAACTTTTGATTCCCCACCCCATATCTGTTAATCTCACCTCATGCTCATGACAATGCTGAAATTAATAAATCTTTCCTAAATATCTTTCTTTTATTAAGGAGGAAACAGAGCTGCAGTTGATATGTGAATAACTTTTCTAGAGTCACACAGGTGAGGTTTTGAAAGCCAGGGTCTACCCAGAGAGATCAATTTACTCCAGGCTGAAGTTTCTTCACACTCCACCAGTTCAACCAGAATGAGCTATATATTACAAATTCAGGTATCAAATTCAAACTCAGGTATCAAAATCAAACTCAACCTAGATATTATGAAAAATGCTTGTTGCAAAGAGTTTTTACCTTTTACAGTAACATTTATATACCTACATTTGAAATGACAGAATAGTTAAAATTTGCTTTTAAGTAATCTAGTGGTGGGGAAAGTGACAAAATGGGTCGAAGCACAGCAAAGTAATGATTTTTGAGTTGATAGTTGTTTAAGTTAAGCCAGCAATGAGTTCATGTAGTCTATTATACTGTTTATATATAATTTTCCATAATGAAAAGAAAAAACTCAACTTTATTACCTTTATCAGACTTATATATCATTTTCTAAATGGTTTCTGAACTTGTTTCAACTACTGACTACTAAATCTATATTTCAAACATTCCTAGAATTTCTGTCTTTTATGCCTTCCTTCCTATTATACATTGGTTTCTCCCTTCCCAGTCTACTGGGTTACTACTTTGAAAGAAATTGAAACCTAACTCTTCCAAAATAAAATAACCCTAAGTAAAAAGGTGCCTCCTATTTTCTTCAACCCGTCTATTGCCTATTTATTGTCTACTCTACCTTGGCCAGACTGTGAGTAGGCAATGTCAGGATATGATTTCACTGCTGGGAACATCCTTCCATGAACTCCTGCAGTGGTAGGGCAAAGTAATCATCTGAGCTTTCAAAATGTTTAATTAATTGATTAAAATCCCAAGGCTTATCAACTCTTCAGGTGGTTAAGAATGACAATGAAAGCTACAGGTAGGAATTCAAGATTAAGGCAGTGTTCAGTGGAGAATAAAATAGTAATGAAACATCTGGCTAAGTTCCTGGAAAGAAAACAATAAAACTGATATTACTAATTACAGAAAACACCAAATCAAACTGCAGAAGAATAAAAAATTAAATTAAAATAAACTTAAGGAGAAAATATAGATTAGTAGTTATTTAATCTTGGTATGAGAAAACAAGAATAAGGAAAGAAACCACAGTGACTCCCTAAGTTTTTTGCTGTCATAAATAAATAAATAAATAGACAGATAGATAAAATGACAAAAAGGGGACAAGGGGAATCAGAGTACATATGACAATTAGTCTTTATTATTTATTTATTTATTTTGGGTTCCAGATATTGAACTCAGGGGCACTCAACCACTGAGCCACATCTCCAGCCTCATTTTGTATTTTGGTCTTACTGAGTTGCTTAGCACTTCATCTTGCTGAGGCTGGCTTTGAACCCCTGATCCTCCTGACTCAGCTCCCAAGCAGCTGGGATTACAGGCATGCGCCACTGCACCCTGCCAACCAATTAGCCTTTATTTAACAGTTCTTACAAATCACTCCTCAGAAATGCTAAGAAAAAATAAATTAAGGTTTTGAACAGGAAATTCACTGAGTAAGCAATAAATAAAAGATAAATATGTTCATCTTTACCTAGAAATTATGCTCATAAGCATCAGTGAGACAGTTACAAAATATAATGTGTTTATATTATGTGTTTGCAATAACAACAAAAAAGAGTGGGGGGGGGGATACTTGGGAATAACTCAAACAAACAAAAAAACAAACAAATGAAAAAGTGACCTTCCTTCCAGGCAGACACAGCCCCATGAAAGGGTATACCAATTAGGCTTTGACTTTCAGACTCCACCCATCCATTCATCCTGGTGCCCTTATACAGGACACAACTTGCACAAAATATGAAGCATTGTCTTATTGTGAAACTATAGAAATTAATCAGTACATTATTGACACAGCTACTCAAAATGACTAATGAAAGAATATTGAGATCTGGAAACACACCCTTAAACATACAGAAGTGTTGCACTTTGCATCAATGAGAAGAAAAAGAACAACTGAATAAATGAATCCGAGACCACTGATTGTGGAAAAAGCATCAACTCATGTCTATGTTATGTCATATTCAAAAATAATTTCCACATAGATTGAACATTTCTTTATGAAAAATGAAACTCTCTTTCTGACCTCAATGTAGGGAAACACAAGACAAAAATTATAGTTCATAAAAAGGATGCTTAAGTTCAGAGACATTAAAAGTTGGAACTAAGTATACCAAAGAGTCCATCAACAAGATTAAAAGTAGAAATGGAAGACATTTTTGCACTGCACATAAGAAATGAAAAATTAACAGGAGAATATATAAAAAGAACTATCACAAATCATAAAGGAAAAGAGCACAAGTTTTCATATGAGCAAAAGAAATAAAAGGTAATTTACAGAAGAGGAAATATCAATTGTCTAAGAAACCTGTCAAAAGATGCTCTACTTCTCTTGTTATCCAGGAAAAATAAATTAAAGGAAAATGAGATATTATTCCACACCCTTCAAATCAACCTCACAGTTAAAGTTTGATGATATCAATTATTGGCTGGGATGTAAAGCAACTATACTCCTACTTCTACAGTACGGATGGGAGTATGAGTGAGAAAAATCATTTTGGCAATATCTAGTAAAGTTGGAGATACAGCTATTCCATGATTTGATACTTTCACTCTAAGGATATTCTTAGAGAAACTCTCAAAATCTGCATACAATATTTGTAAAAGAACATTCAGTGCATCATTTTTTTTTTTTCACAATGAAAATGCAAACCATTTAAATGTTCTCCAATACTAAAGTTGCATAGATTCATAAAATGGACTTATATTATCTGTGAAAGTTATTGAACTGGAGCTCTATGTGCCAACACAACTAAATAACAACAACAAAAAAAATGGGCTTTTAAAAATTTATATATAGTGTAATATCAATACTCTAATACTATAAAATATTCAAGGTATACACTTTAGGAAAGCATATGTATGCAGTAAAATATAAAAATAATTCATGGGAATAATATCTACCAAATCCTAGCTAGCAGGTATCTCTGGTGATAGAAAAGTAGAAATGGATCTAGGAAGAATATCTTGGAAACTCCAATTGTTTCTGTAACATTTTCCCTAAAGTTTGTTTTTGGTTATTCATTATATTATTATCCATATTCTTTTTCTAACTTAGTTCATATTATAAATTATCAAATGTATGTTCAACTTCATTAGTGCTTAAAATAACAAATAAAACAATAAATTAGCTCTTGAAAAGTGCTTACCAAATTAGCAAAGAAGTCTTTTCAACTGGTGTGGAATTTTGTTATGAGGAAATGATAAATTATTCATAATTTATAATAAAGCAGGTCATAAGATTCCAGAAGTTTGATCCAAAACAATAAAAAGTGTCCACACAAAAAACTACTAAAATTATATAAGACATCCAATGTAAGAGTGGTTCTTGTTCAGTGATACAATTAGAAGTAATTTTCATGGTATTTATACTTTCCTGTGTTAAGTTTTTCATAGAGAATAGTATAATATTATAGTAAAAAAAAGAAAAAGGGTAGGGCACCTGTCTAACATGTCCCTGAGTTGGACTCCCATCACCAGAAAAAAAATAATGTAAAGAAAATTATATAAACTTTAATATTAGAAAATATATTTTGAAAATATAGTATTAACATTAATATACACTAAAAACACCAAAAATGTGTTATTATAGCATCAAAAAAAAAAAAAACAGA